GGAAATGGACAAGTCCCCCAGAGCACATGGGAGTGGGGGGGGCAGTGAATGGAGAGAGAACTAGGAGAAAGAGAGGAGGAGAGGAAAGCACGTGCGACTAGGAAGATTGAGTCAGAGTAGGAATAGAAGGAGAGAGAGAGAGAGAGAGAGAGAGAGAGAGAGAGAGAGAAAACGAACATAAAAGAGGGAGCCATTATTGGTTTGAAGAGAAAACTGAACCTAAAGAAAGTCTAGACACCTTCAAGACTGCCGCCAACTAACAATTTCAGCAAGTGTGGAAAGGCTACCATAAATGCCCTTCCCGGATAGTGACATCAACAACTAACTTATCCACCATCATGGAGCCCTCATCTAATATCTGTTGGAAACAGAAGCAAACACTCATACCTAAACACTGAGTTGAACTAGAATCCAGATGCAGAGGGAGAGGGCAAGACCAGGTTGCAGAAACACATAGAGACAGCTGACCTGAACAAGGAGGAGCTAATGGGCAACCAGACTGATAGCTGGGAAGCCAACATGGGACTGACTCAGGGCCCCCTGAATATGGGTCTCAGCTAGAAGGACTGAGCAGTCTAAGGGACCTCAGACAGTGGAACTTAGATGTATTCCTGGTGCACAAAAGGACCTTGCGGGCACATCCCCCATGGAGGGATACTGCCTTAACCTAGAGACAGGAGAGAAGTCCTAGTCCCTACTTCAATTGACTTGACAGACATACAGACCCCACCTGGATGGCATTGCCCTACATGTGGGATTGGGGTGGGGGATAGGAGGGGAGAGGGTCAGGGTGCATGTGAGGGGGCAGAGAGGGTAAGAGGGAGGGAGGGAAGAAGGGAGGGAGGGAGAGGGAACTGGGATCGACGTGTAAAATAAAAAATAAATAAATAAAAAAGACAAGAAAAAGACAGTCTCATTCTGTAGCCCATGCTGTCCTTAAACTCATGGCAATGTTTTTTTACCTTAGCTTCCAAGTGCTGGAATTAAAGGTACAAAGCACCACACTTGGCATTGTTTTTATTTTCTTGGTAATAGCTGAATGTTTAGGGTAAGACAGAAGCTCAGTGTAGTTTTGATTTGTATTTTCCTGATGGCTAAAGATGTAGAATACTAAAACAAGATTCCTATCTCTCAGCCTGTTCATATATCCACCCAAACAGGTCAAATATTCTAAAAGTCAAACCTGAAACTTTGAAACCATTAGAGGAATAGAAATCACCCCAAGACGTGGGTATAAGCAAAGACTTTCTCTATAGGACTAGACTTCATGTGTGTAGTTTATGAGTGTGACTGTACATAAAGATATGAGGAGGAAGACCAGAAGATGCCAGGAACATGGGACAGTCACCAAGGGAAACTGCAAGTGACAGGTGTCATGTGTGCTACAAGCAGCAGATCCATAAGGGTGGGATTATCTAAGTCTTTTGGAACCCAGATAATCCCATCCAAATGCCAGATGTAGTAGCAATGGGCATTGGTTTTCCCATTATGGGTTCAGTCTTGCTTTGGCCTAATATTCCTTGCTATGTTCCCATTTTCCTCTTTGGAGTAGAGATGGTTACTATGTGCCATTGTATGCTAAAAATCAATACAAACTTTTTTTTTTAATTTTTTTTTGTTTTTTGTTTTTAATAGACTCACAATTAATATATGGCAGCAAGAAATAAAACCAGGCTTTGGGTGGAGGGGCCACAGCCAGACTGAGGCTGTGACGACTTAATTGTGAGCAGTCAGACTTTTTATACCTCTATCAGAAACAGAATGTAGTGGCAATTGCCAGAATCAATGCAGTTGTAGTTGCCAGGATACAGTGATATTTGCAAGCTATACCAGGTACACAAGATTAGTGTGTAAGACCAATTGTCCAGGAAAGCTTCCATGCCTCCTTGTCTTCTAAGAGATTATACAGAAAAACACAAAACCTGAACACTTCACTGACTGAGAGATTTCCTCAGTTTCTCAGGAACTGAAAGGTGCACAGTACCCAAGAGTTATAGACTCTAACCTGAAAAACCTATGATGCATGCCTCTCAAGGTAGCTAGGCCAGGCCCCCTCCAGAGACACACCTCCTACAGCAAAGCCAAACCATCTAACCCTCCCCAAACATCTCCACCAATGGGGGCAAAGTGGTCAAATGCTTGAGCATTACTTCTCATTTAAACCACCACAGAACTAATAGGGCCAGGTGCTGGTCACAGACAGTCCAGTAGAGGGAAAGCACGGTGTCCATTTGTATAGCTATTGGTGAGCCCACCAGGCTCTGATGGGAAGTTCCGTATTCAGGATCACACAGGTGTTGAAGTTTCTTTCCAACCAGGTTCTACCACCCTTTAGCCCCAACCCCTGAATTAGATCTATGGAATACTAAACAAAATCAAAATTAGTAAACAGGAGAGACTTATAATATCAGGGAAGGAGATTCTTTGAGTGTGGAAAGGAAATGAGAGGGGAGGACCAAAATACATAATATATACATATGAAAGAATAAAATGATGGCCATAGTCCTATAGGAGCAGGGTATGTTGGAATTATATAGTTTGAATGTAAAAATGTCCCCCAGGCTTGTGTCCAAATACTTGGCTCCCAGCTGGTAACACTATTTTAAGACATTATGGGATCATCTGATACGAGGTTTACCTGGAAGATGTGGTACCGTAAGGCCATGGGGTGGATGGTCTTAGAACTAGTTCAGTCTCCCTGACTAGTGCAATATGACAATCAGCCACCATATGCTGCCACCAATAGAACCAACTGGTACCACGCCTCCCCACTATAATGAGTTGTATCCCTCAGACTGTGAGCCAGAACAGATCCTTGTCCTCATTGCTCTCATGTTCTTATTTTCTGAAATGCTTGGGGTTGTTTGTTTGTTTGCCATAGCCAGTTAAGAGACAGCATTCTAGCACATTCCCCATTACATGCCTATTCCTTTTATTTTAGAATTTTGTTCTTGAAAGTCAAGGTTCTGTTTGCATTTTTCATTCCAACAGGAAATAGGTTTTTAAAATTATCTTAAATGTACCCTGCTGGGGGAGAAAAGCTATTAATAGTCTTATTAAGCTAGGGACCCTGCATGCTACACTAATGTCCTGGAAAGCAAGACTGTTATAAACTTCTTACTGACCTCATTTGAGGCCTGCTATTACTGCAAACTTAACCAAAAGCCCATGGCTGAGGAAGTCATAGTCCTTAAAGTTATTTGTGCTAGTTAATTTTTTTGTTTGCTTGGTAACTGAACACAAGCTCGAGTCATCTGGGAAAACAGAACCTCAGTTGAGAAAATGCCCCCCATGAAACTGGCCTGTAGCAAGACTATGTGGCATTTTCTTGATTAATGATTGATGTGTGTGGGCCCAGCCACTATAGGTGGTGCCATCCCTGGGCAATGGTCCTGACTTATATAAGAACACAGGCTTAACTAGTCATAGAGAGAAAACCAGTAAGCAGTGTTCCTACTTCAGTTCCTGCCTCCAGGTTCCTTGAGTTCCCTTAGTGGTGGATTATAAACTACAAATTGATACATTTTTAAATTTTTTTTTTATTTTATTAGTATTTGGCCTTTAGGCATGTCTATATGAGGGTGCTGGATCCTAAAATTACAGATAGTTGTGAGCTGCCATATGAGTACTTGGAATTGAACCTGGGTCCTCTGGAAGAGCAGTCTTTCCTACTCCCCACCCCATAAACAGCAAATTGAAATAATCCCTTTTTCCCCAAGTTGCTTTTAGTTGTTGTGTTTATCACAGCAACAGAAAGCAAACTATATTATTAATATTGTCAATCAAGATGTGCCCATTTGTGAAATAGTAGCATTACTGTTATTGAAATAACAAACTACTTTCTTAGTGAATTTAAGATTCAACTCCACAGAAGGAATTTAAGCCTGGCAATGCAAATTAAATCACAGGCCCTACTACTGTCACTTTGCTAAATGATCATGCTGCCAAACTGCCTCATAACTATTTGTTTACACCCATAGATTATTGCTGCCCTCAGCCTTAATCAGAGAAACTACTGTGCACAGCAAACAATAGTTAATGTAGACTCATAACTAGTCAAAATGTTGAGAATGACTGCTAAGTGCTTACCCTAAACAGCTCTCCAAAGCTCAGTAAACTTTGCAGAAAGAATGTAAAAGCTATATGGGAAGGAGTGATGAGAACTGTTATCTTCACAGACTATTGGACCATGAAGTGACAATAATTAACATCTGCACAAGACTCAGCCCATCAACATCTCATCATAAACAGGGGAGGGGGTGGTGAGGTCCTAACCATCTATCTGCAGATAAAAGAAGTTAATATTTGCTAAGTGGAGAGACTAGCCACTAAGTTGCCTTACTCAAGTAAATAAAATCCCCACCCATGCTCATGTAAGCAATTATATGCAATGGAGAGTAAACACAGACACAGACATACAAATGAAATTAGGAAGTGGATTCACTGCAAAGGGGTTCAGTGGGAGGGCAGAGAAAATAAGAGAAGATAATGGGAAATATAATACATATAAAGTTGTGAAAAAATAATTAGATCATGGATGGGAGAGGAGTTCATGAGGCCAACCATTCCTAAGGAGCTCCATAGTTAATGGTTGCTGAAGGAAGAGTAGACATTTTCTTCAATAGGTAGCTGCTACTAAGTTGCCCATGATCCAGTCAATAACCCCTCACTCACATGTTCATGTAAACAACCCTAACCAAACTCAGTGGTCCATCAAAACCCAAAATTACATCAAAGTGAAGAACTATTTGGGAAGAAGACCAGCAGGCATGGAAGGAAGACAAGAAAAGGTAGTAAAGGTGAACATAACCAAAATGCATTATATTTGTGTATGAAATTATAAAAAATAATGTCATGAAGAAAACAATACTTTAAAATGTTCCTGCCCATTTTCCCAGCAACTCTTCCAGGCATCTGCACTATAAGTGATCCAAAGCACAGTACAAGTCAAATATGTTAAGCGCCTAAGCAAAAATTAAAAAAATAATACAGGAGCAGGCTCAACACAGGATGGTTTATTTAAACAGTGAATCATAAAACCAGTGATTTATTCCAAGCTTTTAAAATATACCAAAGTATTTTAGTATGTACTATTCATAAGGTAAAATACAGAATTCAGTAACTGTCAATGTTATTTAAAATACAAAAAAAAAAAAAAAAAAAAACTAGAAAGAAATAAACTAGAACATTGGCACTGGTCAGACATATCCTAATGATTTTCTTGACTTCTACAATGAGCTCCTTAGTCAGCAAAATGACACACTGTTTCTGCTAATTAAATCCAACAGGTATGTTCAAGACTCATTTACAGTTAGCTTCTGAGCAACCAAAAAACTCAACTGTGAATACTAAAGCTAATTTTACTTTCTGGTTACATTTCATATCCCCTGATACTAAGATATATATTTTAAGAAACAATCAAAAGGAAACAAAAACTTGGATGACAATGAATTTTACAAATGCATATATATACAAAAAGCTAGAAAGAGATCTGTAAAAATGATGACATTATTTTTATTTAGAATTATTACTAGTAAAATTTTATGGCTCTTAATAAAAGTATCCTTTTAGCTTAATTTTTATATGTTCTACAATGAACATGTTGTATCCATAAAAATAAAAAAATGTTGGCCATCTTCCTAAAAACTAACCACTGAGCAGATTACAGTATATCTACCAATGAATTATTAAAATGTTACAGAAGAGTATTTACTAATATGAAAAAAATTCTGACCATAGATCAGACAGTATACTCAAAATGATCCCAATGTCATTCAAAAACAAACAAAAGCCTTTGAATACATAAAAAACACCTACATATGAAATATACCAAAGCATAGTGTTTAGGTGGTAGAATAATATATATACATATACATTTTAAGCCATTTTTGCATCTGTATTTTGGCCAGTTTTCCTCTACTAAATATGAATTTTTTTTCCTAATAAGCAAAAAATAAGTTTTTTGTTTTTTTTTTTAAATCTAGATTAAACAAGAAGTTACCTTCTTAAGCAACAGGAATACATGCTGATGAGCAGAACCGAAAAGTCCTCCTACTGAGGCTTCAAACACTACCCACACCAGTGTCAGTCAACAGGACACTTGCCTTCCAGCATAAGAGCAGTCAGCAAAAGCAATTCTTCCTGCTCATACTTCACTATGTTGGTCTGGATCACTGCTCCCTCTGCAGAGGTCACTGCCAATGACAGCACCAGGTATCTGAAACCCTGTGTTTGTTTCTTTTGTCAGTGCTGGGAATCAGATATTTTGGAGCCCTGTATATGCTAGATAAATGTTCACCAAGCTACATTCCCAACCTGTGGAGCCTCTAAGTCAGACACACCTGATAGAGAACGATCTAAAGGGGAAAAAATGTAGAGCTGAGTCTGATTACAAGTAAACATGATTTTCAATCAAGTGATTGTGGAAATGAATTATTTATATCTTAAATAACACACTAAGTAGGGAATTCTACTCTCAGACCTGGTAGAATTCTGAGGTCATCAGAGGACAATTTTCAAGACATTGCCTTCAAGGGCGTCATGTCAATATTGACTAGAAACAGTATCAGAGATGTCACAATCTAGAAGTAAACAGTTAAAAAAATCTAGCTTCCTGCTTATATTTTTTGAAGTCACTTTACTGCTAGCCACAAAGTGAGTCAGCATTCTGATTTAATCTAAGAATTTCTTGACTTTCCATATACTAAATGAGGCTACAAAGGACAGCTGTAAAGCCAGAAGACACAGGAAGGACAGAAATAAATACAGACATGTGTCCTCCAGCCCAAACAATGAGATAGTTATGGAACTAGATTATCAGTTCAATCTATTTCCAGATCGCTGTCTTCACTATGACAGGTGGCAGAGTCTCGTACAGATGTCAGCACCAAGACTTCCTTTTCTGGGAGTAATCCAAATTCCTGTAGGAAAGCTTCAAGGTCTACAGCAAAGAAATCTTCCCCCAGCTGGTCAGTTACACGAACAAAATTGCCAATCAATTCACCCGCCTTGTAGATGAGCAGAGCAGGAAGGGCATTCCGGGTAAAACGACTGCTGGCTCCAATAACCGAGCTCCTCACTCGACAGAATTTAACAGCTGGGTACTCTGTGGCAAGGCAGATCATGCAGCCATTCATGGCTTCAGTCCCCGGGATGCCATCTTCATAAATATGAACCATGATAAGGGTATTTTTCTGTTCCTTATCGATCATGTCTAAAAATCCTTCTCCACTGGGGATCTCAAAAACTTGCTTGAAATGGGGCCCTTTATGAAACTGCTGCCGCATCTCTTCCATTCTCTGTTTCCGGTACTGCTGTAAAAACTCTTCATCATCCAGGTTCTTCTCCATCGTAGCAAACTCCTTCAGAGTCATCTGCAGGAAGACCAGCAGTTGTACAAAGACAGACACTGAACAGTTTCATCATGTGAATATGCACTCTGTACTTAGAACACATGAGGTACCATGTTAATGTCTTATGCACATTATCTCATTTCTCTCTCTTTTATGTATAGAGAGGTGTGTTATATGTGTACTGTGTGCATGCTGGTGCCTGTGGAAACCAGAAGAGGGCACTGGATCCCCTGGAACTGAAGTTACAGAGGTTGCAAAGACCCAAACCTAGGTCATCTGCAAAAATAAGTACTTTTTACTTTTACTAGCTGAGTCATCTTTCCAGATCATCTTGAAATTTTTAAAATTACATTTACGTTCAGGGGACAGGGAGCATGCCCATGCTTTGATACTCTTATTAAAGTTAGAGGGCAACTTGTAGGAGTTAGTTCTACCATATGAGGCCAGGGATACTCCTCCCACCCCACCCCCACCCCTTTCTTTAAAACAGGGTCTTGTTATACTGCCTGAACTAGTTTTACCATGGCCTCCCAAGTAATTAGGACTACATGACCTTACCATCACCCTTGAATTCACCTATCACTGAATTATCAAGTTAATTTCACAGGAAAAAATTAAATAACCCCATTTTGTAAACATACGCTTAACCCTAAGACTTTACATTATTTGCACAAATTCACATAAGACTAGGATTCAAACTGGACTGCTTAAAGATGTACTTTTATTGTTTTTAGTTATGTGTACATATGTGTCTGTGTAGGGGTATGTGCACATGAGTGCAGACACCTGAAGAGTTGAGAAGACTGAGTCAGAGTCCCAGGAGCTGGAGTTACAGTTTAAACCCACCATGTGGGTTCTGGGAACCACACTGGGGTCTCTGTAAGAGCTGTGCCTGTTCTGCACTGAGCCATTTCTCTAGCCCCTTAAGCTGGATTTTAGAAACTCGGGTTTTTAACTACAATATCATATTGCCTCTCATTACAAAAGAGGCACCACCACCCACTATCAGTTCTCTGATGGACATCTTAGTATCAATCTCAACAAGTGTTACTTTAGTCGCTTTATCTTTTCCTGAAAAGACAACACAATTAAGCTTCCAAAGGAACACATCTCATGCTGCTTTGTACATACAACCACATCATACAAACTCTAAAAATTTTTTTAAGATTCATTTATTTTATGTGTGGGTGTTTTGGTTGCACATATCTATGTACATCAAATGAGTGTTTGGTACCTTCAGAGGTCAGAAGAGGGCACCAAATCTCCTGGAACTAGAGTTATAGATGATTGGGAACCACTATGTAGGTGCTGGGAATCAAATTCAATCTTCTGCAAGAACAAGCACACTTAACCACTGAGCCAGCTCTCCAGCCCCAACTTTTTCTCTTTTTTGAAACAAGGTTTCAAAAGCTAGTCTGGTACACACTATGTAGAACAGACTGGCTTTAAACTACCAATGCTCCCATCTTAACCTCCCATGAACCAGGCCCAGGTTTTTTATTTGCTAGTCAACTGACTGTAGTTGTCTTGCTTCTGTAGCAAAAGCTGTGGGTATCTCATAACCTGCTTTTGTCTCTAGTTGATGTTAACAATACTTTATAATGACCAGGCACACACCTTTAATCCTAGCACTCAGGAAGCAGAAGCAGGTGGATCTCTGTGAGCTACAGCCTGATGTACATAGTGAGTCTAGGCCAGCACAGTGAGACTCTTGTCTCAAAAAAACAAAGCAGCAATAATAACCAAAACCATTTCCTAATGTTTCCAAACACGTTTATAAATTGATACACAAATGTCATACTTAACCTATCCCCTAGCCTCTACTAAACAGGCAGCTTCCAGTTCTGGTTTACTACAGGCAACTCAATAGGATAGGGATAGAATCTCTCAAATCTGACCTATGTGGTCATATGAATGTTGCTTCATTCTGGTTTCAATGGCTGTGACCAGCAGGCACAATTATCTTCTTTCTTCTGGCCTGGTACAGCAAAACATCTCTGCCTAATCTGGGATAGGGGTGGTAACGAGGGACCAAACTAGAGCAGAACACTGGGTTAGTATTGTATCCTAACTAACCAGAATCCTTCTGAACTCTGTCTTATTACCAATTTTCTTCCTATCACACTGAGACTGTCTTGCTTGGCCAATCTAACTGGGTCTTTTAGCTGATATGGACTTTGTCTAGGTTTTATGTCATTCCCTGGTCAAATAATCAACTTTTGGCTTAATGCTTTATCTGCACCCTTATGCTGGCTGATATTTTTAAATGTCAATTTACTATCAAAGTGTATGCATATGCACAACAATGTGAGTGTGTGGGCTCATGTGCTTCAGGATGCAGGTGGAGGTCAAAGGACAGCCCTGGGATCTGGTTCTCTCCTCCACCTTTACATGGGTTCATAGGTTCTGCTTAACTCAGGTCACAGGCTTGCACAGCAAGCACCTTTCCCCACTGAGCCTTCTCACTGGCCCCTGTGATGGATATTTTTAGCTTTAAGCCACGGCTAATTGATCTCAGGCACTCCTGAACATTTCTTCCTTGGTCAGAGGGAATAAGAGAGACATTTAATTCTGATAAGGTAGGAAGGTGTCAGGGACCCTGGGCTCAAATATTTTCTAGAATGTCTGTTCTACTGTACTGCCTCCACAAAATAAATACTCAGAATATGAGTAAGAAACTAATATATACTCCACATATACTCCACACTTTCAACAGGCCAGTCCCTAAGATGGGTATTTGACTGCAGAACCCTGGGGAGAGCATTTAGCCAATGCTAGCTGAGACCAAGCCCAGATACACCCTGAGTTATGACAGGACTCTCCCCTTTGCCCTGCACTGCAAAGCTACTCAGAAGCAAAATTCAACTTCCTATATTTCCTGAATCACCAAGCCCATTTTCAGCAGTCATGGAAGCATCTGAAGATGCTATTACCTTCCCACTGATTTTCTCCTGGAGGTCCTTCTGTTTCTTTTGCTCCTCCTCTTCATCTAGATTGGACCTGCAGGTCAGAGATAGTTTTTTGATCAGCCGCTCCATCTCCCGGCACTGCTCCTCCCTCTGCTCTGTCTCCAGCTGCTTGAAGCGGCGCCAGTCATTAATCACACCTTTTGGACCTGAGTAGGACAAACATGAACAAGAACAGACACGGGCTTTGGACAAGCTGACATCTGAAAACAGGAACTTACATCTGCATGAAGCTTGCTCTATCTATGAGACAGCAGGAGCATCCATACACCCTTACGCAGGCCAGACTGTTCTACATACAGTAAGATCTACTACAGCATTAGTTTGCAAGAATTAAATGGCCAACCTAATGTCCAATGTTGTACAAATCTACCCAAAGGTAACTAAAGAAACACTTAAGAAGAGCAAGATGATACTAGGCAGAGCTTGGTGGCCCATAACTGCAATGCAAGAATTCCACAGTGAGGAAGATCACATATTCATGGTCAGCCTGAGCTATTAAAAAATCCTTCCTTCATTTGTAAATTGCTTTTGGCAAGATTGCCATTTTTACTATGTTTACCCTACCTATCCAAGAGCATGGGAGATCTCTCCATTTTCTGGTATCTTCTTTAATTTCTTTCTTTAAAGACACAAAGTTCTTGTTATATAGGTCTTTCACTTGTTTGGTTAGTGTTAACCCAAGATATTTCATGTTGTTTCTGGCTATTGTAAAGGGTAAAATTTCTCTGATTTCTTTCTCAGACAATTACCGTCTGTATATAATAGGGCTACTGATTTTTTTGAGTTAATCTTGTATCCTGCTAATTTGTTGAAGGTGTTTATGTAGGAGTTCCCTGATAAGAGTTTTTTAGGTCACTTATGTAAACTATCATATCATCTGCAAATAGTGACAATTTGACTTCTTCCTTTCCAATTTGTATCCCCTTGATCTCCTTTTGTTGTCTTATTGCTCTAGCTAGAATATTGTACTTCAAGTACAATAATGAAGAGATATGGAGAGAGACTTGTCTTGTTCCTGATTTTAGAAGAATCGCCTTAAACTCTCCATTCAGTTTGATGTTGGCTGTTGGTTTACTGTATATTGATTTTATTATGTTTAGGTATGTTCCTGTTACACCTGATCTCTCCAAGACCTTTATCATGAAAGGTTGTTGGATTTTGTCACAAAGGCATTTTCAGCATCCAGTGAGCTGATCATATGGTTTTTCTTTTTCAGTTGTTTATATGTTTACATTGATAGATTTTCGTATGCCAAACCATCCCTATATCCCTGGGATGAAACCTACTTGGTCATGGTGGATGATTTCTCTGATGTGTTCTTGGACTCCATTTGCCAGTATTTTATTGAGTATTTTTGCATCAATATTCATGAAGGATATTGGTCTGTAGTTCTCCTTCTTAGTTGTGTCTTTGTGTGGTTTAGATACAATGCAATCCCCATCAAAATCCTAGCACAATTCTTCACTGACCTTGAAAAGATAATACTCAACTTTATGTGGAAAAACAAAAGACCCAGGATACCAAAACAACCCTGTACAATAAAGGAACTTCAGGAGGCATCACCATCCCCAAGTTGAAGCCCTACTATAGAGCTATAGTCCTGAAAACAGCTTGGTGTTGGCACAAAAATAGACAGGTATATAGATCAATGGAATTGATCAATTCACTTGGAAATCCTGACATTAACCCACATACCTAAGAACACCTGATTTTTGACAAAACAGCTAAAATTATATTTGGAAGGAGGAAAGCATCTTCAACAAATGGTGCTGGCACAACTGGATGATGGTGTGTAGAAGACTGCAGATAGACCCATGTCTATTGCCATGCACAAAAGTAAAGTCCAAATGGATCAAAGACCTCAACATAAATCCAGCCACACTGAACCTATTAGAAGAGAAAGAAGGAGGTACCCTTGAATGAGTTGGTGCAGGAGACTGCTTCCTGAACATAACACCAGTAGCGCAAACACTGAGATTGACAATAAATGGGACCTCCTCAATGAGAAACTTCTGTAAGGCAAAGGACACAGTTGTTGACAAGAGGAAATCAAAAAGGCTGAAAGACACTTAAGAAAGTGCTCAACATCCTTAGCCATCAGGGAAATGCAAATCAAAACAACTCTGAGATACCATCTTACTCCTGTCAGAATGGCTAAAATTAGAAACACTAATGACAGTTTATGTTGGAGAGGATGTAGAGAAAGGGGAACACTCCCCCACTCAGTATGACCGTTCATACTCTCTACCACAGGATCCAGTAATTCCACTCTTAGGCATATACCCAAACGATCCACATTCATGCAGCAAGGTCATCTTGTTCAACTATGTTCATAGCACCATTATTTGTAATAGCAAGCACCTGGAAGCAACCTAGATGCCCCTCAACTGAAGAATGGATAAAGAAAATGTGGCACATTTACACAATGGAATACTACTCAGCAGGAAAAAACAATGGAATCTTGAAATTCTCAGGCAAATGGATGGAAATTGAAGAAACCATCCTGAGTGAGGTAACCCAGTCACAAAAAGAGGGACATGGTATGTACTCACTCACATAAGGATTTTAGACATAGAGCAAAGGATCACTAGTCTATAATTCATACCACCAGAAACTAGGATACAAGGAGGAACCTAAGAGATTCATACAGGTCCCTCACAGAAGGGGAAAGGAACAAGCTCTCCTGAACATATTAGGAGGGGTGGGGACAGTGAGTCAGAGGAAGTTAGGAAAGAGAAGGGGAAGGAAGGAGCACATGTGGGAACAGGAAGATTGAGTCCGGTAAGAACTGACGAGAATAAAAAAAAGAGATATCATAATAGAGGGAGCCATTATAGGTTTGAAGAGAAAACTGACTCTAGAGAAATGTCCAGAGACCTACAAGGATGACCCCAACTAACAATATGATCAATAGTAAAAAGGCTACCTTAAATGCCCTTCCCTGATAATTAGATTAATAACTAACTTATATGCCATCATAGAACCCTCACCTAGTAGCTGATGGAAACAGAAGCAGACACCCACAGCTAAACACTGAGCCATACACCTGGAATCTAGTTGCAGAGAGGGAGGAGTGATAAGAAAAGGGGTCAAGACCAGGCTTCAGAAACCCACAGAGACATCTGACCTGAACAAGGGGAGCTCATGAATCCCCAGACTGATAGCTGGGAAACCAGCATTGGACTGAGTCAGACACGTTGAACATGGGTCTCGGTTAGAAGGCCTGGGCAGTCTAAGGGACCTCTGACAGTAGAACCAGGATGTATCCCTGGTGCATAAAAGGACTTTGGGAGCACATTCCACATGGAGGGATACTCCATTAGCCTAGAGACAGGAGGGAAGGCCCAGACCCTACTTCAAATGACTTGACAGATTTTGATGATCCCTCCTGGACAGCATTACCCTCCCTATAGAGTTGAGGGGATGAGAGGGGAGGGTGACTAATATGTAAAATAAGGGAAAAATTATATATATATATATATATATATCCATTCTTCCTTCAAAAACCAAGGGTTAGGAATATAGTTCAGCTATAGAATACTAACTAAGCATTCACAATGCCCTGGATTTGATCCCCAGCACCAAAAGGCAAGAGATGGCAGGATGAGACAATTCCACATTTCTTGACATGAAAAATACTCCAAAAATATTAGGGAAAAACAAAATAAAAAAAAAAAAAAAAACAATAAGCTAGGCATAGTGATGCATGCCAGAAGTTCGCCAGGAATTCTTTCTACAGAAGCTGAGTATAGAGGATCATTTGAGATCAGGAGTTCAAGACCAGCCTGAGCAACATAGTGATACACTTATCTCTAAAAAGAAAACAAAAATGGCTATTTCTGATCCAATAAGATGGCACCAATTTAGAAAGTTGTTAACACAGTAGAAAAAAAAGGAAAAATATGTATTGCTGGCTGAAGTCTAAGCATCACCTCAACTTACAGCACAATAAAAATAGATTTTAATTTAAAAAACTAATCATGTACATATGCCATTTCTAGGAATTAATTCTACAATACACTCATATGTATGACTTATGGGTTCCCAAACCCTGCCCAGCTGTTCCCTGACATGCTGATATGCATACAGATTTGCATTGTACAGAGGAAGAGCTAAAAGCAAGCACAATGAACAACACTGGGAGGTCTCTGGAGTTAGATGAAGGAGAGCATGAGCTTATAGTTGATGCATACTTCACAGGGTACTTTTTTGAGCCAGCTTCTAGAACTCTGATCCTTCCAGTACCTGTATTGATTGAAATGCCTTCGCCTGCCAGCTCAGCCTCAACAGGTATGGAGCTGCTGGCTGGGGCTCCATTGACTCTGTCTCTGTCTTCATGGTCACTCTCCTCATCCTCACTGGTGCTGTAGTAGTACTGTAGTTTCTCCCCCAGCAGCTTATCATCCAGTGTTGTCATGGTGCCTGGAAGAAGACAATGTGTCATGGATATTTTTGCTGGCTTGAGCAAGAACATGAATCTGAACCTTACGAGGTGCACGTGTGCTAACATCTGACAAGTTAATGAATCTAAAATGTTTTCATAAGCTGAATTTCAACAAACCCCAACTCTGGCTTTATGCCATAGCTTACCAGGCTTCTGTTAGAGAAAGCAAAACTGAGGCCTAAATAAAAAATATTTCTTTCCCAGGCTCAGCAACAAATCTGCTAACAGATCATAGATGTCTGATTCCAGGAGCCTGAGAGACATGATCCTATCTAATTGTGTGTACTGGGCAAGAGCAATCTACTGGCTCATAGTTTTTATTCATATACACTTTTAATTTTAAGACTGCTAGGTAACAAATTAGGCAAAGTCCTCAGGGAAAATGTCAAAAGAAACCACCAATGGGTGTAGTGTTGAAACTAAGTTGTTCACTCCTCTGCCTCACGAAGCCTGGATATACAAGCAGGACCAATGCTGACTAGCTAAAGCAAGTCTCCAGGACAAGATTTAAACAGTAACCAAATGTTAAAAAAAACACCTAACACACAGCTATTTGGGGAAAAGGGATATTTCAGTTCGTTAAAAGTCTGAGTATCCAGCAGGAATGATTAGAAAAAAAATACTCTGGGTGTGGTGGCTTTGATTCCAGCACTTCCAAGGCAGAGGTAGGCAGATCTCTGTGAGTTCAAGGCCAGCCTGGTCTACAATGTAAGTTCCAGGATAGCCAAGACTACACAGGGAAACTGAGTCTCACCCCACCCCAATGAAAAAAGGAAAGGAAGAAAAAAGAATACAAAACAGCCCTTCCTCTAAGCATACAAACACCATGCTTCAGGAGAGACTTAACACATGGCTTTTACACTACTACAATGTGCCTTTCTCCCACAGAGTAGAAACCCAACAGTCAAGACAGAGCACTGTGCAGGCCAAAGAAAACTTCAAAAAGGAGGAGAAGAAAGAGGAAGAGGAGGAGAAGTAGTAGTAGCAGTAGTAGTAGTAATAGTAGTAGTAGTAGCAGCAGCAGCAGCAGCAGCTAGGGATGCACAGATAGAGATGTGCAAGATGGCCAGAAGAGGAATGTGCTGAGAGGGTGAGCTGGAAGTGTAAGAATGAGGGGGAGGATCATGAGGAGGGGGGGGCTAAGGAGAGACAGAGAATGCAGTGAGATGGGTATGGCAAGAGAAAGGCTTACAGAAGAGGCAGGGAAAAGAAGGGCAGGGCTGGGAGGGTTGTTCATAGAAGGTAGGGCACTGAAGAGAGCAGGGCTGAGGAGGTGGAGCAAAGAAGGCTGAGGCAAGGCAGAGCTTAGTTTAGGAGACAGATGGACAGAAGAAATAGGAAGAGCTGTGAGGAAGGGGCCAAGAAGGTGGAGCCATATGGGGCGGGGCAGAGAAGGGTGCCCTAAGGAAGGCGGGGCCAGGGTAGAAAGGCGCGAGGAGGGCGGGGCTAAGGAGGTAGGGCAATGTGGAGTGCGTGGTGAGGGGGTAGAGCAGTGAGGAAGGCCAGGTGAGGAGTCAGCTAAGGAGGCGAAGCACCATAAAGACCGGGCCGAGGAGGGAGCGGACTGAGGAGGCGGAGCAGGGTGGAAGACCCGCTGTGGAGGGACGATGAGGACAGCGGTGCGATGAAGGGCTCGCGGAGTCTCGAGGGGAATAAGGGGAGCCCGGAAGCGGGAATCCCGGGTGCCATGAGGCAAAGCAGTTCAGGCCTGCACGGGAGCGCACCCCTGCCCCACCCCATGTCTAGGTCCGCCGCTTCCTCCCGCTGACGCCTGTACACTTACCTCGCCTCGCTCAGTCGGTTTCCTTTGGACTAGCAGCCCCAGTCACCAGCAAAGAATGCTCGCTGAGAGAAAGAGAAGTGCCGGAACACCTTGAGCGACAGAGAAAAGCGGCCAAAAGTGGACTATGCGGTCCAATCAGCCGGCCTTCCGGCGTCATGGCGGACGCACGCTGCCCAATCACAAGAAGCTTATCCCGGCGGAGCTACCGGTCTTGTCTTAGGACAAAACACTTCGACATTACGTTTGAACTTTGAATTTCTAATTTTGACAACTTTCCTTCCAAGTTTTGAAAAAAGTTCCAGATGCGTTTTCTTTCTTACTTTTTTTTTTTTTTAAATCATGCCTATTAAAACGAAGAAATGGCTCAAAAACATTCATTTTGGCCGGGCAGTGGTGGCGAACACCTTTAATCCCAACAGTTAGGACACAGAGGCAGGCAGATTTCTGTGAATTTGAAAACATCCTGGTCTATAAAGAGAGTTACAGGACAGCCAAGTCTGTTACACAGAGAAACACTGTTTTGAAAACAAAAACAAAACATTAATTTCTTCTAGCATAAATAACACAAAGAGCAGAAATTAAAACTTAAAAAATACAAGCCCAAGCCTTTGACAACCAAAAGCTGCATGACACCCTGCACTGGGTTATTGGACAGGAAAACGGCATGGACAACTAAAGAATTTGAATGGCCCCTATCAAGTAATATTAGTTAAATAATTATTGAATCAATAGCTGGCTTAATTTACTAATTTATGCACCGTGATAACCTTCAAAGGTTCTATCAAGAAAGCTACACTATTTTGCAATTTTGTTAAACCTAATATGGTTTCAAACTGTGAGTCTTAGTTAGGGTGTCCAATACACAACTGTGAAATTGCTCCTTAAAAACCGTGCACAAATCATATAAAATATGCTAGATTTATGTGAAATACACTGCTTGAAATAGGGCTCCTACACCTGGCGGTGGTAGACCACGCCTTTAATCCCAACACTTGGAAAGCAGAGGCAGATGCATCTCTGTGAGTTTGAGGCCAACCTGGTCTACATACAGAGTGAGTTCCAGGACAGCCAGGGCTAAACAGAAAAACCCTATCTTAAAAAAAGGGGTGGGGCTCCTAATTTGAGGAGAAAGGTTCTCAATTTGTGGTTCTAGGCTCACCTACATATTTTTTTCAAATTTGTCTATGTGTACATTTTCTTTAGAAGCTATTTGTTTGGGCTATCAGAGACAGCACCCTCCAGCACCCCCCACACACACACAACACACCAATTTAAAACAATTCATTTAAAAAGCTCCTATGGGAGCTTTTATATTTTTGTTTGAAGAATAAATAAATACCTTATGTTTTTCAGTTGTGTGTGCATAGTAGATTTTATGTTTGTGATCTGCTATAAGTGGCACTGCCAGCACTCAGAAAGAGGTGCCTCGTCAAAAAAAAAAATTAACTTCCCTATAAATATTTTTAATGAATATGCTTGAGGGCCAGTGAGATGGCTCATCCAGCAAAGGTGCCTGGAGACCTAGTTCAATCCCTGGGACATGCATGGTAGAAGGCAAGAACTGGCTCTGGAAATATATCCTCTGATTGCTACACAGGGTCATCTCCACCAATGTAAATAAATAAATGTAAAAAGTATTCTACATATACACTTAGTAAATGCTTTGGCTTTAACTTTACTTTTATTCAGTTCTCCCTAATGAGAACATATTCTTCATCTATAGCAATACTTTATCCTTTTAAATTCACTTCAGTGCCGCCTAACAATCCTCCACTTCCTTGGGCAATTTCTTCTCTCACTTTAAGAGAAGCAATTCATATTGTTTTTAAAGATCATCTATACAGTACTTTGCATATATGCCTGCATGCCAGAAGAAGGCACCAGATCTCAGTACAGAAAGTTGTGAGCCACCATGTGGTTAGCTGGGAATTGGACTCAGAGCCTCTGGGAAGAGCAGTGCGCTAAACCTCTAAGCCATCTCTCCACCCCCCCCCAATATTTTATTCTTTATGAAAATATTTCCCTTGTATTTAACTTCCAAGAAATGAAAGTGTAGCTATTAGTCATTGCTATAATAAAATACCTTAGTAACACTGCAAGAAAACAACAAACATAATTGCAGGTTTATTTGGCTCAGGAATCTGGGCATATCTTGGTTGCTGCTGCCCTTGCTCAAGGTTTTTATGATACTGAAGTCAAACTCATTAGAGCATCAGCTAGGGTGGGGCAACAGGGCAACAGACCAGAAAGTCTTGATCAAGCTGGCACTAATGGTTGATGGCTTGTTTGATTGTTTATCCATGGGTTTCTCCATAAACTTCTTTTTTTGTGTGCGGTGTGTTTGATGTGCATGAGTATGGACATATGTGTGCATAAGAAGACTGAAGGCTGATTTCTAGAGTCTTTCTCAATCTTTATTGTATCAATTGAGACACTGTCTCTCACTGAACCTGGAGCTCCTATACGGCTGGTTTGAATGAACCAGCTTTTGCAAGAACCCGATCTCCACCTTCCAAGTACTGCAATTACACAGGTGGGCCACCATGCCTATCCAGCTTTCTGAGATCTGAACTAAAGTCCTTATAGCTGAGTAGCACAAGTGCCTTAGCTGCTGAGCCATCTCCCCAGCTCTTTTTCTTTGGCTTTGGTTTGGGTTTGTTTGATTTGAGTTTGTTTGTTTGTTTGTTTGTTTTGGGAGTTTGGGTTTGTTTTGATTTGGAGGATTTTTTGAGACACTCTACATCCTGAGCTGACCTCCCAAGTACTGTGATTACATATGTACCACAAGACTGGCCTCATAGTCTTGTGTCCAGCTGCTGGTGTGTGTGGGCGGGGGGAGAGAAGGAGGGGAAGAAAGAAGAGGCCAGGCGGTGGTGGCACACACCTTTAATTCCAGCACTCGGGAGGCAGAGGCAGTGGAATCTCAGTGACTTCCAAGACAAGCTGGGCTACAAAAAACTAAATCAAAAACAGACAAACAAACCTAAGATGGGAGCCATGCCTTGTAAGTGACTCTTTGCCTAGAATGCTTAAATCCCCAGATTCAAGTACCAGCAATGGCTTTGGGAGAGTGAGCCAATGAGTCCAACCCACATTCAGTGGGTAGAAACTAGGTCAAAATTTTTAGATTGACTGTTAAGTAAGGTAACACAATTAAAGCCAGAAAGGCTGGTTGTAAGTATAATTTTAAAAAGGCAACTTAAAAACTTAAGTGAATTTATAAGAAAGAAAGCAATCAATACAGGAATCAAAAAGATAAAACTTAAGAGAAAGAGAAAATATATGTAAATGCAATTTTATTGTGTATGCACATGTCTGAATATGGGTTAGTGCAGTACCCATAGTGGCCTGAGTGCCAGATCTCCTGGAGCTAGAGTTAGAAGTGTTTGTGAGCTGTCTGATGTGAGTACTGGGAACCAAATCTAGGTCTTCTAAAAGAGCAGTATGCACTCCTGAGCACTGAGCACTCTCCAGCCTTGTAATGGATCTTTATCTATTTTTATTAGTGTCACGGTGATCAAAATACCTAATAGAAATAACAAGGAGAGGAACTTATTGTTTTGGCTCTCAATTTTAGAAGGTTCAGGCCATCATGGCAGGGAAGACATTGCAATCTGGTGTTCAACGGACTGGAACAGCCGTTTGGGCCCTAGCCTGTGGGATAGCACCATCATGCTCAGGTAAAGCGCTGTAACACAAAAAATAAAGAGCCCACAGACTGATATATTGGGGTTCAAACTTCAAGCTGAAGATCAGAAAAGCAAAACAGCTTCTTAACCTCTACCTCAGGCTGAATGGGCTGATCCTGTCTCCACGAGGATTAGGCTTTCACCAAGCCTCAGACTGTAACCTCTCCTCAGAGTGGCTATAGAATGAATCCCTGATACTATTGAAGGCCCTGCTCTTTTATATCCCTCTAGTGTTGAAATTAAAAGTGTGTGATCCCAGGTGCTGAGGTAATCTTTGTGTGAGTGGTTTCTCTTTAGGATTTGCTCAATCTTGTGTAGATCTGGGTGGCCTTGAACTAACAGATCCATCAACCTCTTAATCCTGAGTCCTAGGATTAAAGGTGTGCCCCACCACTTCCTTAAAGGTATGTGCCTGGCTTCTATGGCTTGTGGCTGACCTTGCTTTCTGAATCCTCAGGTAAGCTTTAATAAATCATAAATAATGTATCACCATAATGTACTGTAGAAACACCCTCACAGACAGATCAAGAGACATGCTTTAAGTTGACCTTGAAGATTTACCATTCCTTCATTCAAAAGAAGCTACTTACACACGGATTTCATCCTTTTTTCACATGATTTCAGATTCACAACGGTTTTTAAAATAGGCCTCCTAGCAGAGCATGCTTGAGGTACCCATCTTCCCTGTGGCAGGACACTTTGGAATGTCACCTTCTTGCCCACACTGGGTGATGGGAGTGATAGGCTTGGAGAGCTGGATGTACCCTCAGATCTGACTAAGCTTCCAAAGTCCACTTAGTTGGTCCAGGATTGGGCTAGGGCTGGACCAGGCTCAGAAATGCAAGGGATCTCTCCAAGCCACCACACTCCTACCACTACCCCTGCCACATGAGCTCTGTAGAGGGATGACATAGTGGAGCTCAGGCTGGCATGGCTCTGGATACCTCCAGCTCGAGGGCTGGGCAGGAGCTGGAAAGGAGAGAAACTCAAAGAGTACCTGCAGCATATCCGGGATGTTCTCTTTGGGAAGATGGTAACCAAGAAGACCATGTGCTGCTTTGAGAACCTGCAGCTTACCTTCAAGAACATGTGTAAACTGAGATCTCTGCTGTAGACAGGAATAAGCAAGAACCTTCAAGAGACATGCAAAACAAAGGCTCTGGGGCAGGCCCACAAGAGAAAGCAAAGGCATGTAGCCAAGGGTCACAGCATGTAGCAACCCTATTTATTTATTTATTTATTTAATATTCATTCATTCATCTTTTAAGACAGGGTTTCTCTGTGTAGCTTCTCAGCCTGTCATGGAATTTACTCTGTCTGTAGACCAGGCTATCCTGGAACGCACAGAAATCCCCCTGCCTCTGATTCCTGAGTGCTGTGATTAAAGGAATGTGCCATCACCACCCAGCTAGCAATCCTATTTTTTACTGCAGCTTTTGTCTTACTCTCCAGTTCACATTCCAAATAATTAACTGATAAGGTCAGCTTGAAAAGAACATTATGGGTGTTGAAAATAGGGAATCGGAGACCATCACCACTCACAAAGGAGGCATAGAGATGGGTTTCTGGGGACAAAAGTAGTGGAAGAGGAACATGGAGAGGAAGAGGGAGGAGAGGGAGATGAAGAGAGAGAGAGAGAGGGAGGAGAGAGGGAAAGAATATGATAGGAGGTGGGCAGGGCCCTTGTTAAAGGGAATATAGTGAATATGCACATGTGGTACTCAGTGGCTTCAGTTGAAGACATACCCTGTCAGAACCCCAAGGGCAGGCAAGTTCAGATGCCTGGATACTAACACCACACACATCCCCACACACACTCTACTTCCCTCTCCTTTACTCTTTTTCTCTTCTTTTTATTTGGGTAGGAGGTTCCATTTATTATGACTGAATGTCTTTTTTTAATTAGAATCCAGAATAACCCAACTTAAACTGGTCAAATCTTTGGTATAGGTTCTAAGTGATGTGTTCTTAGATCGTATGTGACCTTAAAGCAACAATTAACTTCCTGATTAAATCATAAAAAAATCCACAAAACCTTGCTTTTATAACTTTAATACTACTTTCAGCAAAAATACAAATAGCCCATATTCTTAAAAATGTTAAGGGTAAGGGGCTGAAGAGGTGGCTCACTGATTAAAAGCACATACTGCTCTTGTAGAAGATCAGAATTCAGTTTCTGGGACCCATGTCAGGCAGCTCATAACCAGCTGCAGGGAATCTGACACCTCTTCTGGCTCCCACAGATGCCTGTACTCATATGCACATACCCATATAGAGACATACACACATACATGTAATTTAAAAATCTTTTTTAAAAAAATCTAAGTGACCCTATAACAGTATTATTCTGTTAATATGCTCAACTACTGATTTAGAAATTCAAAATCAATCATGCATTTCTGGAAAAAGCCATGTTTGGACTTGATATATTTTGTATATATACTAATATCCTTATGTAGAAGCTATATTAAGAACTCTGTATGTTTAGATATTTGGTAATGTCTCATTTTATTGTCAGGGTTAGTTTGGTATCCTGGTTTGTTGACACAAATCTAGAAATATCCAGGAGGGAGGAAATCTTAATATTGAGAAAATTCTCCATGAGATTGACCTGTAGGCAATGTCAAGCCCATTCTGGGTGGGGTGCCTCTGAGCAGGTAATCATGTAGTGAAGCAAGCCAGTTTTAGCATTCTTCCCTAACTTCTGCTTCAGTTCCTGCTTCCGGGTTCCTGCCTTGAGTTCCTGCCCTGACTTCCCTCAGTGATGGAGAGTGACCTAAGAGTTGTAAAATAAACTCTTCCTTTCTTGTTGCTTTTAGTCACAGAGGATCATCACATAAATAGAAACCCTAATAAAGACATTGGTTTAATAACACTAGTTGGAAGTTAACTCCTCCCACTTTCTTAAGAGTTTTTGTAAAATTGGCATTGTTTCTGTTTTTAATACACTGACTTTGAATGGGTCTGGCATTTTGTTGGAAGGTTTTCTGTAATGGATTCAATTTCCTTAGGTAGCTTGTAAAAAATCTTTGGTTGATGAATTTACTGCCTCTTTGTCCTCAATTCAGTCTTCAGTCTACATAATTCCTCAAAGATTTCTCCCTGCTCTGTAATGACACTGAGCGATTTTCTTATTACAGGGCACTGAAGGGACACTTCAGGTTTTCCTGAAGCCACATGGAAGACCAGTAATATTGACATGAAGGACATTCAGTAGAGCACTCCCCCATTCATGTATCTAGCATGTGGACACTTCAACCTACTAAGAATTTTCCAGAATTCTCAATGCAACTGGTGTCTTGAAGCATTCTGCTTCCCGCTTCCACCTTCCAAAGACCTGGGAACCCGGTACCAATTTTCTCTGCAGGCTGCATACTCCACCTGTGGCCTGAGAAGGCTCTCTGCTTGCCAGCAACTAGTTTAAGCCAGAGCAAATCAGCAATATTTTGCCTACTAGGCTAAGTATAGCATCTCCCAATGATGCTTAGAAGTGGCCTCTTTCCAAGTTTGTCCTTAGGTGCCCTTCCTTGAACCACAGTGTGCTATATTTTATCTTACAGTTAATTCTTTAATATAGTTTAATATTTAAAAAAAAATACATCCCATATAACCACTACATGGTTTCTGTCTCCTGATTGAACAAAATCCTATTGCCAAATGAAACAAACAACCTGTCTCTAGGATTCATGCAGTTGTATACATCTCCCTGCCTCAAGTGTGGACTTGGCCTAGGGCCTTACTTCTGAAGACTAAAATATCACAAAAGTAATCAGATGCCACTTTCAGGGTAAGATTGTAAGACTAACTTTTCAGCTTTCTTGCTTGCTCTATGGCTTTTCTTGCCACTTAGATAAGCCAATCTCATCCAGTCTTCCACTGTGAGATGTACAACGGAGACTTATCTGGCAAAGAACTGGCAGACTAGACTCCAATGAACAGTCAGCAAGTCTGAGCTTTCATTTCAATAGTTCATACAGAAGATCCCCACCAGCCTTCATAGGACTGAACTTGGAAGCTTATTCTTCCACATCTGAGCAGTGAGAAGATGATGGCAATGCCAACCAACTTTTGGATTACAGTTTCTAAGAGACTCAAAGGACCCACTTAAGTCACATTCAACTTCTTGACCTACAGAATCTGAGATAGTAAGTACTGTTATGTTACACTGCTGTTGAGGGAGTGAGTAATTTATGTGACAATAGAAAACTAATACAGGAAAATGCAAATTTACTTTATCATTGTGTATCTATTTTCACAAACTCAATTTTAAAATTTTTATTGTTATAAAAAAGGGCCTTTTGCCTGAATGTATGCCTTGTACCATGAGTACCTGGTGTCCATGGAGTCCAGAAGAAATGAGATGCCCTGGGACTTGAGTTACAGATAGTTGAGTTATCATCTGGGATCTGGAAAGGTCCTCTGGAAGAACAGTATGTTCTCTTAACCACTGAACCACCTCATCAGCACTAGTGAACTGGACTTTTAAGGAATTAATCTTAAATTGACAATTCCTCATCCTCTTCACAAGTAGACAAAAAATACCACTGTATTTACTCAATATTTCAGAAATAAAAACTATAACCACACAAAAGCATTTATACAAATGTTCATAGCAGCTTTATTTGTAATAGAAATTTGAAACAACTCAAATGCCTTTTAATGGAGGATGGTTAAACAAACCATGGTATATCTATACCATGGCATATTACTCAGCGATAAAAAGAACAAACTATTAATACATGCAACAACTTGGATGAAGTTCAAGGTAATTGTGCTAAATTCATTTTAAAAAAACAGCCAATTTCAAAAAATTACATATGGTATTATTTCACTTATATAACATTGTCATCATGACAAAATTACAGAGATGGAGAACAAATTAGTGGCTGCCAGGGTTCAGAGAGCATGCTAAGAAAAATAGTGTGACTATAAAGGGCGAAAAGAATGAATGAGAGGAAAACAGTTGTCTTAGCAATGGCCTTTCCACAAACTTACACTTGAAAAACCTGAGTAAGAACCACTCATACACCCCTTTGTGGGTGGGCATACATAGGTGAATGAATACACATGAAGCTGAGAAGGGGTAAAGAAGGTCTACTGGATTGCATATGATGTCAGTTTTCTGGTTCTAATATTGTACTAGCTATGCAATATACTACCATGAGACAAACTATGTGAAAGGTACATGGTAATGTCTGTACTTTCTGTAACTTCCTATGACTCTATATTTCAAAATACAGTTTAAGAAAATACAACTAATCTTCATTCTCTTGGACTTATATATCTATTTTTAACCACACCTTTCTTACTCTCCATCTGATCCTCATTCAGAATGGGTTTTGAAAAAAATCCTTAAGCAAGACCTATTTATGAAGCTATCCCACAGGTCTCTGAGCAGTAGCATGTTAAGCATGTTTTTACAATAGGCATTAGCCATAAATCTTTGTGAAATTTCATTTCTTCCATGATGGTAACTTTCCATGCTGGGTGTAAAGGTGTACATCTGTGATCTTAGCACTCAGGATTCTGAGTTTGAGACCAAATGGGCTATGTAAGACCCTACCACTGTAGTAACTTGTTTTCTCTGCCTGGTTCACATCTTCATGGCTCTTCTTCTTGCTTCTTCCTATACCCCAAAGTCACTCTGGGGTTTATTCAAGACTGCATGTGAAAATTATACCTGTCCTCAGTAAAACAGGGTTTGTAATCTTTAAACAAATTTCCAGTCCTCTAATAATGCACAGATGTCTAATGCACTTTTTTTAAAAAGCACAGCAAATCTGGTCATTCATTCTCCCCAACCCTAATCTTCAAGCTCATCTCTTTTCCTCCATCCCTGCATGGTCATGTAGTCTACACTTACAGTATTAACACAGCCTCCTTGCTGGTCTATCTCCAGCTTTCATCTTTTACACCACTGCCAAAGTATCCTTTCTAAAAAATCTCAAGTCATTCCCTTATGTAACTTCCAAGATGCTCTTATAATCTCTTTAGTATAATACTCAATGCCTATCTACCTTTTCTAGCAGTGTAAACTTGGGCCCATTCTGAAAAGAATCTATATTCCTTTTCTTGTCTGAGAATGGTAACAATAATCTACGTTGTAACACTTAGAACTCTGAAACATACTAAATGCTCTGAGATTTGGCTGTCTATGTTATTACTCTGTGAAGTCCCATTCCTTAATCACACTTTCCACTTAGGTGGAAATGGATACAACTGCCACCACTATTACCTTTTTGGGAGAGAAAGATGGCAGAACTCTGACTCTATTACTTTCTGGTTATGAGATCTTGGCAAATTACAAAACCTCTCAGATGAAAAACAGGATTAAAATACAAAATAGAGGTAGAGATCAGGAGATCATGAAGATGATTTGTTACTGGTAAAAATGTTATGCAGGATTTAAAGTCTAGCCAGAGGTTGTCTCACAGAGAAGCACCCCCTCTTGATCAACACAACTGTATCTGGACCCTTTGTATGTAGCTTTCTGAGCTATTCATCTTGGTTTTTCCCATTTCTATACCACGAGCTTCTATGGAAAGGGTTCATTTTATTGACCTATAGTCTAAAAGACTGGCACAGACAAAGGCTTAGGACACAGCTGGGTGAATAAATAAAGGCACCCTGGGATCAATGACAATGGTGCTGAGATTCAGGTCATTTAAAAAAACTTTTTCCTGAAGCCTACAGAATGATTTTCATACTTTCATAACACATGACTTTGTCCTATTTATGCATCTGTTCTATTATCTCCCAAAGACAGTATACTCAGTATTATTTCTTTTTACACCACCTCCCATTTAAAAAGTATTCTGTATTTAATGAAATGTCAGACAATTAGGAAATATATCAACTTCCTTGGGTCTATTTACTTCCCAAAGATATACCAATGGAGCAAGAGATCATTTAAGTTCCTATTTAAGGAGCTTTATAAGATATATATCAGAACAACTAAAGCATATCAAAAACTTAACATTCACACTAAACAAACAACTTTTAAGGTGGACAAATAATTTTATTTTGTGCATGCAAATACATGTCAAGTACTGCAAACTTTTTCCATCAGTTTTCTCTCAAACACTGAAAATCATGATGCTCTATTTTGTGAACAGCCAAAGCTAATATCTCTTCACTTCGGTGCTACAGCAAAAACACAACAGAATTCACTCTTTGCTATTCACTATCATCACAACCCTCATTGCTCCATCTCTGCCCTCCCCCCATATACAGGTTTTATAAGTCCTAGCCTTCCCCCCCATTTAATCCTATTCCTATAGCACAAAGGGAAACATTACAATTTGGAAACTCAAATTGAAATAAATGGAATAGAATTTATTCCCATATATATTCCCCATTTCATTGTACAGAATTACTTTATAGTTTTAAATAGAAGCTGAGTATATGCCTTAAAAATGAGCATTAAATCCATCTTAGAGATGGTGCCTGCTTTTTACATGATGGGTGTACACCATCTTTAATTTCATTTACATTTCAATCGAACAATAGATTTGCAAAGAAAATGTCTAATACAGACGTAAAAATATTCACACTAAGCTTCACAATCGGTTGTACAATTGACAAACAGGCCTCTTTTCCCAAACTTTCCAGCTAAGCAAATTTATAAAATGTAATCAATGCAACAAGAAAAACGTTTCTCTTTCATTTCCAGGGAAAAGAATATGCAATAAACAGTAATAAATGCAGACGGCAGTTGCTGCAAGCTAACCACGATACTCCCGAGTGGCTGTACAGTGGGTATGTGCAGTACAAACAAAAGCCACATGTGTTGTATCACAACTACAGTATAACTGTTTGCCCAGCTAAGAGAATGCATGCACTTCCATGCCGTGGGTTATAAAGTGAGGCCTAATTCTTGAAAGGATGATGGAATATGTTCAAATGACCTTGGCTTTTGGCAGTACTAAGTGCAGCCAGTGTCCTTTTTCCAATGGTTTAGGGGATATTTTTAAATTTTTATATAAGAAAAAAAATTTTGCCAGTTTCAGCCTTGGGGGAAAAACTCCCCTTAGAGTAAAAATAAGTCTCCACTCAAATGTGGGGTGTTCTGATCTATGGTTTGACTCCTTGTACTCCCTTGCCAGCAAAGGGATACAAAGAAACAGCTAGTGTAAAGGAGTTACTAACAAACTTAATCTCTAGAAAAAGGGATACTCCTTGAGCATGGCATTTGTGTTCTGCTTACAGAAGGGGCCCTTCTGTAGAAGGAGTTACAGTAAGTGATCCCATCAGTACTCTTGATTCACTAAAACATAAAGAAAGTTCTAAGACAATAATACACAGCTGCAATGCAACTTTACTCTTTAATGATTAGTTACCAATATTGGTGACAGTCTGCTCAGAAAATGACTCCAAGAAACAAGGGAAGAAATTCTCAGATTCTGCTAAAATCACGTATCGAATCTGATTGTTGTTACAAGTTCCAACCCTGGCTAAAAAAGACAACATGGGCTGTATCACATCTAAAATTCAAAAGTAGGGTAGATGATTTTTAAACATTATTTTTTTCAAATGGTTAAATGATCCCATTCAAAAGTCCTACAAATCATTGCATTCTGGAAACTTCTGTATATAAAATCAGGATGTGCTTTGTAACTCAGCATCAACTTGAAATCTGGGTCAAAGTGAGTAGGAGCCGTACAAACGGGAAAGTTTAAGTTTTTGTATGAGAGATTTCATTTAATTCTCTTACTAGAGTAAAAATCTATGAAAGGAGGGAATCAGTGACATGGGCTTAAAGAGCTACCTTAAAAAAAAAAAATTACAATGTACAACTGTCCCCACATATACTGGTCTGTTGCATGACATTGAAATAAGTCATGGTAGCAAGGGCAAGAGAATCTGATTTGTTTAGGTACCAACTAGAAGGAATACACACAGAACTCTTAGAATTCATAAAATGAAATGACCCCACACAAGACTAATGATGTTACATTTACAGCATCTCAATGTGGCACACTTATTAGGATCTAAACTTACAAATTGGGAAGAAAAACAAAACATAAAGGAAACACACAACATTTTCCTGCTTTTCAGACTTCAGACTGCTTTTTCCTGATTGGATCCACAGGCAACACATGCAGTTTATATATCAATATTACAAATTTTCTCTTCAATTGCATTGTAGCCTCTGATGCCAAATGTGTTCATCACAATGTCTTGGTAAATCAAAGTGATGATTGCCCCCAATTTTAAAAAAGCCATGGTCTAGGTCTGTTTGTACTATTTTCCTCTATCATCAGTAGGTAACCATTTTGAAGAAAGGTCAGATGAACTGTTCTTTCTTCTGAAGTGGCAGAGATCCAATGGCTTTATTTCACATTAAACCCACCAAAACAGACAGTAGGTTGTCACCACATAAAAGATGCAATACAGAATAACATCGACACAGAAACAATTCCTATGTTGTTAGTGAGGAAGAGTAAAAATTTAAGAATAGGGAGTAATTACTTTATGGGATCATCTGCTGCAAGACAAGCATTATTTTACTCTAAGTGTGTGAGACATACCAATAAGGTTGGCAAGTACACATACTGATGCAAATGTAATTTACTGAACAAGTAGGTGAACACCTAAGCATCCCAATCCCCTCCAGCAGAGCACAACCACGCTTCAAAATTTCAATTTTAAAATTAAAAAGGTTAAATACACAAGATCAATTTATGTAGTATATATTCACCCTCAGAAAGTGCTGAGGATGTTTGTGTAGTTCTGTTGCACGGAGGGTTCTTTCCCTGAGGGCACATAAGGAGCTCTCAACTGTTAATAGGTCTCTATTTTGTAACAAAATAGCAATTTTAAAATCTTAAAAAAAAAATACATTACCTTCAACATGGAAGATCTCACTATTAAATATTCATGAAACAAACAGACTGATTTACATAACCTTTTTGGAATTATAAACAGAAAAAAAAAAAGAACATTGGAAGCATTTTAAATGTAGTAAGTTCATATTCAAAGAAAGGTTCTGATATAAATTACATAACAATCATGTTCCTGTAATATTCTAAGTGAATTTATAATGTCAGAAATAAGTTAATGTAACATGGTTTAAAACTCTTGTTCCTATTCATTTCAGGTGACAGAGTGAAATAAATAAAATGTCTTTGTAGGGATGGGGAGCACTGGCCATGGCAAAGAGGTACAGTACTAATCAAAGGAAACTAAGTCAAGGCTACTGTGCTGTTATGCTACAAACAAACATCTTCATACACTTAAGTATTAAATAAATGTGTAAGATCTTCCATACTGACACCAGAATATCAAAACTACCCCTTTGTTTCTCAGGTATTATTTACAACTTATCAGTCACCTTATGAGCATGTTCATTAAGACAGGTATCAAACACCAGTATTTACTCATTCCAATCAAGAAATTTCAGGGAAATGTCAACCCTCCCACCCCTGGAAATGTGCACAAAACTTTTATCAAAATCTTATCTGATACAATGCTGTGGTTTTTTTGTAAAATAACTAAATAGCTCAGACGACCAATAACATGATCCTGTTTAAGCATCTTGCTAGCAGGAGAAGCCCTTACATACAGTACACCTGGTGAAAGATCAGCTTGGCTTAAAATATTCCAGTACATTTGTCAGAGTAAACAACTTCACAGAAGTTAATTAAAAAATAATAAAAGTCAAACTAATCTTAAAGAAATGGAGGAAAAACAAAAAAAGATAAACTATAGGTAAGATTACCACCAGGAAGGAATGCCCAGCTTTTGTTTTCAAATGTGGACTGAAATTTAAACTTCAATAAAATACCACCCACAAATGTGAGACATGGCTGACTGAACATAATGCATACTTATAGATGACAAGTGAAAATTTCAGTCACATTATGGCAGGGCAGAAATTATTCATGTTCTTAAGTATGGGTAAATGTTAGCCAATGTTCTACTACTACATGGTTCATAGTCTCATCAAACTAACAGTCAGAAAACAAGGAAAATTAAACCCAACATGAAGTTAATAACAAACAATATGTAACTAAAACAATGCAATGAACACTCAAATTAATCTCTTTAAATTAAAGACCCAGCAAGACCATCTTGTTAGTCAGTGCAAATGCTACAGACAGGGTTTTCTCAAGAAAGGTGAAAGCACCTGATTCTTCTGCCAAGTCATCAGATTCAATAATGCACAGGCTTAAATCTGCATTTTAAAAAATTGCCATTACATTAGTGCATAATTTATCAAAATTGTAAAAACGATTCTGCATAACTTAGGAGAATTTAATATCTAGTACATCAGCTGAAAGACTTAGGCACTTGGTTATATTTTTAATTAATTACTTCAACAAGTAGCCTGTGTATAAATATTAACAAAGCAGAAAACTATTCTTGAAAAATGGGAAATTAAAAATTAAATGCTACAGATAAAAGCACTGCACCACACTTCCACATATAATGCAGTAAAGAAAGCTATTATATAACCCTGTAAAACTCTATGGTAAGAACATCTAACTCCACTTTTCAAAAACAAAAAAGAAAAAAGAAACAGGAAAATAAAAAGAAAAATCCATGCAAAGTCCAATAAAAAAGATAAATAAAGCAGCTGGAATGAGATGGAAATTTCTCTCAGTGAAACACAAAATAGAAATAAATTAATTAACTCTACTTTCACTAGATGTATCATTGTAGGATCCTGCTAGTTTAATAACTGAGTTGTTAATTTACTGTAGAAGCCATTTAAAATAGGAAATGGCTCAGTTACTGCACCGGATTGCTACAAACTCATAAAAAGCTGCTTGAAGCTTAAGATAATGTTGTCCAAATTCCAATAATTTCTGGAAAGTGAACGTTACACCCTAGTAAAGTAAATTTTCTTTTCTTTTTTTTCATAATGCTAATGCAAGAGGGCTTGAAGTATCAAAGAGTCCACAGGAAATGGATGCCCCCAGTAATATCTTTTTTTTTTTAAAAAAAATATACATTATATAATATATATTATATATATAAAAAGCTAGTGTAAATGCTTCCATGGTGTGGTCACAAATTTGAAAGATGAGCCTCCTTTCAGCTGTTAACCATCTTCCCATTTGCAATAGGTTTCAAAAAGTTGTTTTTATCTTCAGACACAACATGAGTTTTCAGAATGAGGTTGCCAACACTGACAGATGTGGTGATGGGGAGGCAGCCTGTACTGCTAATAGACACTGGGAGTGGCTGGCTAAAGCAAGACGTTACCGGAAGAACTGGTTTTTGCTCCTCCCTGAGAGAAAATAAATGATAGTGAAAGCAAATTAACTTTAAGTGCAAATATTTAAGAGTTATAATATATGCTCTCCAAAAGCTATTTCAAACTTTAAGAGCCAACAGAAAAAGCCTATCTTTTCTATCAAGAAAAGTTTGAATGGGGGTTGGCGAGATGGCTCAGAGGTTAAGAGCACTGGCTGTTTTTCCAGATACTCAGGTTCAATTCCCAGCAATCACATGGCAGTTCACAACTGTTTATAACTACAATCCCAGGAGATATAATGCGTGTTCTGTCCTCTGAAGGCACAGCACAAGGCGTGCACATGGTGCAGAGACATATATGCAGGCAGACACCCAGACACATAGAAATTAATAAATGCAAACTAAAATAATTTTTAAAATATCAGTCACTAAAAAGGTTCTATTTCCAAATTTGTCATAAAAGTTCCTGATTAGATGACATGTAATTATCAAGTTTAAGACCAGGCTCAAATCTTTGGCAGTAATTAAATAAAATGGCAAGAAAATCATAACATGACTTTCAAAATAATATTCAACATAGCTTTTGTTTTAGTTTTTATGAATAGTTTAGAAAAGATTTATTTTGTATGTTTTAGATTCATGTATGTATCTGTACCACATGTGTACAATGCACTTGGAGGTCCCACAAAGAGGTAGGATTCCCTGGAACAGAATTACAGATGGTTGTGAGCAACCATGTGGACAATGAGAACCAAACCTGGGTCTTTCTGCAAGAGCAACACATCTTCTTAATTGCTGAGCCTCTCTCTAATCCCTTATGGTTTATTTTTGAGATAGGGTCTTGCTATTGATTCCATGACAGCTTACAACAACTGTTGAAGTTATAACTGTGTTAATCTCAGACTTAAATGGTAAAAAGCCATAACTACTCTAATACTCCATCTACCTCTCTAAGAATTTATACCTTATGCCCCCTGATTACAAAGGGTCTGTCTAACACTCACAGAATCACATGGTCTTCACCTAAGCTCTGTCTCTTCTGCTTTACTGTGTCCTTCTGGTGCTGCTGGCCTGGATGGCCATTTTCCATTGCTGTTCCATTCAGCAACTGATCATTTTGAGAACTGATATCAAGCTGTAGGTCCAGGATTTCCTAAGAAAATAAAATGTTAATCTTTCAATATGACAGTATTTTTTGTGTTTTAATTTACAACAGAACAAAGCCACCTAATTATCTAATTTTGGCACTTACTTCAATTTGTTCACTTTGTCCTTCAGGTTCATCAGTATCAAGTGCTGAAAGCTCTAACTCAATATCTCTATCGGGCTTCGTATCTACTGTGTCTTCTGTATAATCACTCTGTAAATAAGAAAAATATTAATTTTATACCTGAAGAACCTGGAACCTCCTTTAAATTACAATGGGAATTTAATGACTTAGCTAAAGAATTAGTTCAGAAGTCTGAGACTAGTATTTTTACTCTAAGTTTTAAAAAGTAATCATTCATCTGAAAAGTTGAGCGTATATCCCAATACACAGCCATAGAAAGCAAATACGTTAGCATGAAGCTGAGACGTTCAGTTTCCTTACCTCTCCATTTCTCAGTTCAATTTCCTTGCTTAGAAGATTTAAAGTAAGATGTCTGCCTTCATCCAGGGAATTCCATTTCTGTTGCATGGCCAGAGCATTAGCTTCCCTCTGAAGAAGTAGTGAGTTACTCTTGGCCTCCATGAAGAGAGAGGAAAACATAAACTTAGCTTTCAATTATTATTTTAATTTAAAAAAAAGGATAAATAAATAGAGTCTACCTGCTGAAGTTCAATGCTCAAAAGGTCTCCAGTACTGGAATGCTTTCTATGACCAGATAAATCAGTAACAATGAATCTGTCCCTTTAAAAAAAAAAAAAAGTATGTTTATTATAGTTAAAGTGAGACATATAGCATTAATGACTATGTGTTTTTTGTAACTATCCACACTGAATGTGTTTTAGTCACCATTCTAAATATAAATGTTTCAGACATTTTTCAAACAGATCAAATTAGCTGTGTATCTACTATGGCTTATTCCATGGGGTATGAGGGTGGGATGGGGGGAGGAGTTCAAGACAGGGTTTCTCTCTGTAGCCCTAGCTGTCCTGGAACTCACTCTGTAGACCAGGTCAGAGAACTGCTGGCTTCTATCTCCCAAGTGCTGGGATTAAAGGCATATGCCACCATCACTAGGTTGGTTTCTATATTTTAACAGGCATGTAGTTTGTAGTTTAAAAGTAAAGCATTTTGCCCAATGAGATCCGCCTATCGGTGCAGAAACATCCTGAGTATCAGCCCAGCCTTTGTCCTCTACCACCAGCCCTTAGCTAGACATGAGTTTGGGCCAAATTCAGGCGGCCTCTCCCCTACACCCTCTCCCGGGAACTCCCTGGGTTGGGCCCGGATCCCCCTGCTCCTGTGTCCTGTCCCCATTGAGAGCTCTCTTGGAGCTCTGATACACCCCACCACCCCCACTGCAAGTCTGCCCCCCCCACCCTGTGCCCTACCCTGCCCACTGTCCCACCACTCTGGTTGCGCACTGGGACTGAGGGTTGAGCCAACAGTCCACACAATTTGGGGGAACTTCTGGGAGCAGCTCTGAACACAGGAGACCTGCCTATCCACGTGGAACCAACCATAATTTCCACCTGCTTGGTCTCTGAACCCCACCACCGGTCCTCTACTGGAGTCAGGGGCCCCTCCCAGAGATCCGCCTATCTCTGCCAGACCACTCTTCAGTTCCTGCCAGCAGGATGCTTGACCCCCAAACCAGGGCCTCTGCTAAAGAAGCCTCAGTTGGAGAGTACCAAGCCCAGGCTAGATAAGCCTATAGGCACAAGGAACATCCAGAGGCCCGGCCTTCGGGATCTTTGACCCCCATCACCTGGAGCCTGATCGTTGACCCCCATCCCTGGGTCCCTGCCTGTGGAAAGACCTCCTAGAGAGCTTGGACCACGCAGAGCTACAGATATCAAACCTCTGACCCACATAAGCCAACCGGGGAAGCACCATAGAGAGAAGGAGAGACTCCAACAACACCTACTGGAAGTAGCTATGGGAAGACCACAAAACAAGAAAACACCTAACAACAGAAAGACAAGCATGACACCATCAGAATCTAGGGAATCTACACCAACTAGACCAGAACACAACAACAAAGCAGATGAAGCAGAAGGGAACGACTTAAAAATTATCATCATAAAAATGATAGAGGCCCTCAAAGAAGATGTGAGAAAATTCCTTAAAAAAATGGAAAAAATAAACAAAAATGTGGAAGAAATAAACAAATTTCTTAAGGAAAGTAAAGAAAGTACAGAAATCCAAGAAAAAAACAATTAAGCAGGTGAAGGACACTATTCAAGACTTGAAAACTGAAATAGAGAAAATAAAGGCAATACAAACTGAAGGAATGCTGAAAATAGAAAAACCAGGCAAAAGATTGGGAACTACACACGCAAGCATAACCAACAGAATTCAAGAGATGGAAGAGAGAATAAAGAAAGAATATTAAGAACAACGAAAGAAAAAGGACAGGTAACATATAAAGGCAGACCTATCAAAATTACACCTGACTTCTCCATGGAAACCCTCAAGGCCAGAAGGTCCTGGATAGATGTTCTACAAGTACTAAGAGACCATGGATGCCAGCCCAGGTTACTATACCCAGCAAAACTCTCAATCACTGTAGATGGAGAAAACAAGATATTTAATGACAAAACCAGATTTTCCAAATACATATCTACAAATCCAGCCCTACAGAAAGTATTGGAAGGAAAACTCCAACCCAAGGAAGTAAACAATGCCCAAAAAGATGTAGGCAACAGATAATCTAACTACACCAGAAACTAAGGGTAAAGCAGGACAAATATATCCACAATACCACTGCCAACAACAAATCTAAACCAAACAAGCATCAACAATCAATGGTCCTTACTCACACTCAACATTAATGGTCTTAACTCACCTATAAAAAGACACAGGAGAACAGAATAGATACAAACACAGAATCCATCCTTCTGCTGCATACAAGAAACACATCTAAGCTTCAAAGATAGACATTACATCAGGGTAAAGGGTTGGAAAAAGATCATCCAATCAAATGGAACCAAAAAGCAAGCAGGTGTGGCTATCCTAATATCTAACAAGTTAGACTTCAAACCAAAATTAATCAAAAGAGATAAACACGGTCATTTTGTATTCATCACAAGAGAAATCCATCAACATAAAGTCTCAGTTCTGAACACCTATGTCCCAAATACAAAGGTGCTCACATTGGTAAAGAAATGCTACTAAAACTCAAACCTCCCATAAAACCTCACACACTTATAGTGGGAGACTTCATCACACTAGACAGGACCACAAATAAGAAACTCAATAAAGAATCAAAAAGAACTAACAGAAGTTATGTCTCAACTGGGTTTAACAGTCATCTACAGAACATTCCATCCAAACACAAAAGAATATACCTTCTTCTCTGCTCCACATGGAACCTTCTCTAAAATCGACCACATACTACTACTAGGTGGCATAACAAACCTCATCAGATACAAGAGACCACCATGCTTTAAACTTGGAATTCAACAACACCACAAATCGCAAAAACCCTACAAACTTATGAAAAATGAACAATGTGCAACAGAACCACACCTGGGTCAAAGAAGAAATAAAGAAAGAAATTAAGAACTTTCTAATATTCAACGAGAATGAGGACACAATATACCCGAACTTATGGAACACCTTCAAAGCAGTGTTACTAGGGAAGTTCATTACACTAAGTGGCCATATGAAGAAGACAGAGGATAGTCACATCAGAGAATTAACAGCACAACTGAAAGCCTTCAAACACAAAGAAGAAAACTCACCCCGGAGGAGTAGATGCCAGGAAATAATCAACTTGAGGGTTGAAATCAACAAAATAGAAACCAGGAATACAAAAAATAAATAAAATAAAATAAAATAAATCAACGCAACAAAGAGTTGGTTTTTCGAAAAAATTACAAACCTTTATCCAAACTAACGAAAAAGCAGAGAGAGAACATGCAAATTAACAAAATCAGAAACGAAAAGGGGAAATAACAATGGACACAGAGGAAATCCAGACAATTTTCAGGTCATATTTGAAAACCTGTATTCCACAAAATTTGTAAATTCAAAGGAAATGGACAAATTTCCGGATAACTATCACTTACCAAAATTAAATCAAGAACAGACAAACAACTTAAATAGACCTATAACCCGCAATGAAATAGAAGCAGTCATCGAAAGCCTTCCAACCAAAACAAATCCAGGACCTAGATGGCTTCAGCGCAGAATTCTACCAGGCAATCAAGGAAGAACTAATACCACTACTCCTCAAACTCTTCCACAACACAGAAACAGAAGGTTCATTGTCAAACTCTTTTTATGAGGCCACAATAACCTTGGTACCCAAGCCTCACAAAGACACAACTAAGAAAGAAAACTACAGACCAATATCCCTGATGAACATCGATGCAAAAATACTCAATAAAATAATGGCAAACCAAATTCAAGAATACATCAGAGAAATCATCCACCATGACAAAGTAGGCTTCATCCCTGGAATGCAGGGATGGTTTAATATACGAAAATCAATCAACGTGATCCACCATATAAACAAACTGAAAAGGAAAAACCATATGATTATCTCCCAGATGCTGAAAAAGCCTTTGAAAAAATTCAACACCCTTTCATGATAAAGGTCTTGGAGAGGTCAGAGATAACAGGAACATAGCTAAACATAGTAAGATCAATATACAGCAAACCAACTGCTAACATCAAACTGAATGGAGAGAAACTTAAGCCAATTCCTCTAAAATCAGGAACAAGACAAGGCTGCCCTCTCTCTCCATATCTCTTCAATATCATACTTGAAGTTTTAGCTAAAGCTATAAGACAACAAAAGGAGATCAAGGGGATCCAAATTGGAAAGGAAGAGGTCAAACTGTCTCTATTTGCAGATAATATGACAGTTTACATAAGTGACCCAATAAACTCTACCAGGAAACTCCTACAGCTGATAAATACCTTCAGCCAACTAGCAGAATACAAGATAAACGCAAAAAAAAAAAAAAACAAAAAAAAAAAAAAACAATCAGTAGCCCTACTTTATTCAGACGATAAAGAGGTGGAGAAAAAAAATCAGAGAAACATCACCCTTCACAATAACCACAAGCAACATAAATTTTCTTGGGGGTAACGCTTACCAAACAAGTGAAAGACCTATATAATAAGAACTTTGTGTCTTTAAAGAAAGAAATTAAAGAAGATACCAGAAAATGGAAAGATCTCCCATGCTCTTGGATAGGTAGGATAAATATAGTAAAAATGGCATTCTTGCCAAAAACGACCTACAGATTCAATGCAATCCCCATTAAAATCCCACCACAATTCTTCACTGACCTTGAAAGTTTAATAATCAACTTTATATGCAAAAACAAAAGACCCAGGATAGCCAAAACAACCCTGTACAATAAAAGAACTTCAGGAAGCATCACCATTCCTGACCTTAAGCTCTACTACAGAGCTATAGTTCTGAAAACAGCCGGGTATTGGCACAAAAATAGACAGGTAGAGCAATGGAATCGAATTGAAAATCCTGATATTAACCCACACACCTATGAACACCTGATTTTCAACAAAACAGCTAAAATTATACAATGGGGCGAGTACAGCATCTTCAACAAATGGTGCTGGCACAATTGGATGATTGTATGTAGAAGACTGCAGATAGACCCATGTCTGTCACCATGCACAAAACTCAAGTTCAAATGGATCAAAGAACTCAACATCAATCCAGACACACTGAACCTCTTAGAAGAGAAAGAAGGCAGTACCCTTAAACAAATTGGTATAGGAGACTGCTTTCTGAACATAACTCCAGGGGCACAGACACTGAGAGCAACAATTAATAAATGGGACCTCCTCAAACTGAGAAGCTTTGTGAGGCAAAGGACACAGCAGACAAGACCAAACGGCAGCCCACAGACTGGGAAAAGATTTTCACCAATCCTATATCTGACAAAGGGCTGATCTCCAAAATATCAGAGAATTCAAGAAACTAGTTAACAAAAAACCAAAAAACCCTATTAGAAAATGGGGTACAGAACTGAAGAAAGAATTCTCAATAGAGGAAATCAAAAAGGCTGAAAGACACTTAAGAAAGTACTCAACATTGTTAGCGACCAGAGAAATGCAAATCAAAACAACTTTGAGGTACCATCTTACCCCTGCCAGAATGGCTAAAATTAGAAACACCAGTGATGACTTATGTTGGAGAGGATGTGGAAAAAGGGAAACACTCCTCCACTGCTGGTGCGAGTGCAAACTTGTACAGCCATTTTGGAGATCAGTATGGCGGTTCCTCAGGAAAATGGGAATTAGTTTACCACAGGACCCTCTTAGGCATATACCCTGAGGGCATATACCCAAATGATCCACATCCATGCAACAAAGACATCTGTTCAACTATGTTCACAGCAGCATTATTTGTAATAGCACGACCTGGAAGCAACCTAGATGCCCCTCAACTGAAGAATGGATAAAGAAGATGTGGCACATCTACACACTCTGAAGAAAAAAAATAATGGAATCTTGAAATTTGCAGCCAAGTGGATGGCACTTGAAGAAACTATCCTGAATGAGGTAACCCAGTCACAAAAAGAGGTACATGGTATGTACTCGCTCATATATGGATTTTAGACCTAGAGCAAAGGATCAACAGCCTATAATTCACACCATCAGAGAACTAGGATACAAGGTATATTCGAAGAGATTCATATAAAGTCCCTCACAGAAGGGGAAGGGACAAGTACCCCAGAGCACAGGGGAAGTGGGGAGGGGGGGGCACAGTGAATGGAGAGAAGTAGGAGAGAGGGAGAGGAGGAGAGGAAAACACGTGCGACTAGGAAGATTGAGTCAGGGTAGGAATAGAAGACTGGAGGGGGGGGGACATAAAAGAGGGAGCCAATATTGGTTTGGAGAAAACTGAACCTAAAGAAAGGTCTAGAGACCTAAAAGATTGCCGCCATCTAATAATTTGAGCAAGAGTGGAAAGGCTATCATAAATGCCCTTCCTGGACAGTGAGATCAACTAATTTATCCATGGAACCCTCATCTAATACCTGTTGGAAACAGAAGCAAACACCCATAATTAAATACTGAGTCAAACTAGAATCCAGATGCAGAGGGAGAGGACAAGACCAGGTTGCAGAAACACACAGAGATAGCTGACTGATATCTGGGAAGCCAGCACGGGACTGACTCAGGCCCCCCTGAATATGGGTCTCAGCCAGAAGGACTGAGCAGTCTAAGGGACCTCAGACAGTGGTGCACAAAAGCACCTTAGGAACACATTCCTAAGGATAATTGCCTTAACCTAGAGACAGGAGAGAAGTCCTAGTCCCTACTTCAAATGACCTGACAGATCTAAATGACCCCACCTGGATGGCATTGGCCATACATGTGGATTTGGCGTGGGGGGATGGGAAGGGAGGGTGGTCAGGGTGCATGTGAGGGGACAGAGAGGGTAAAAGGGAGGGAGGGAGCGAAGGAGAGGGAACTGGGATTGACATGTAAAATAATAAATTAAATAAAAAAAATACTTAAGAAAAAAAAAAAAAAAGTAAATCATCTTAAGGAAATGAGAGTAAAGTTACCGTTCAATATAGTGTGCTGATGATGTGGCCTCGTTGCTATATGAACTCCACCTTGAATCAGCAGCATTGACATAAGGGACATAATCTGTAGGAAAGAAAAAGCAGAACAGCCAGATAAGGTAGTGAACAACTGGAATGCCAGCTCTCAGAAGGCTGAGTCAGGAGGACCACTACAATTTTGAGACCAGCTCGAATACATCATGAGCCTATCTCAAAAAAAAAAAAAAAAAAAAAAAAAAAAAAAAAAAAAGAATCACCTGATACACTGATGGGCTTAGTTGCACTTCCTTGGGAAGCAGTGGCCTGGATGGGATCTGTTGTATGGTAACCTGTTCGGGAGGATCGGGAAATTGCACCCCATTTTGAGATAATGGGTCCATCACTAAAGGGAATAATTGGGTCTTCTTCTTTTGTCCTTCTCTGTGTTTCAAATAAATGCACTCTTCTCTTTACATCCCCACTGTCCAAGTCCTGCACAAACCAAAGAATATCAATCAAAGAGCTGCTGGCAATTACTGTAGCCAATGATGTTCTTAAAAGACACATAATTAGGCAGTTCTGGGTAATTTCACACTAATTATAGATCTCAATAGTGGGTAACTAGTATATGAAACTATCAAACTATGGCTAAATAATTGAAACATTCCATGAAATTTGTTAAAGTATTACCCTGCTACTTACAGATAAGTTATACAGTCAGAATATTTTTTAAAAAGTCTTCATTTTAAAACTGCAGACATCAACATTATCTTCCCTACCTCCAAAGCCCCCTTTTCCCCAATCAAGCAAAATCATACCATTAGCACAGCATTTGAATTAGCAATTACGTCTTTCGGCTCTGAATCAATGGCATTTATACAAGAGCCTATGGTGCCACAAGACCAGGGAGAATAATGGGAAAGATGGTCTTCCTCAAATTTTGTGCCACTCACACTCTCAGAGAACTGATTAAAAAAAGAAGGAAAAAAAGCATATTAGTATGAAACCTAACTTTACAAGTTTATAACTAATAAACAATTAAAGGATTATATAATTAATTATTTAACTCTTACTATAACTAATGTAACAGCTAAGTGTACTGGCTCACATCCATAACAGCTATCGTTTGTAGACCTGAGGCAGAACTGCATGGAGTTCAAGATCAACTTGGGTTATATATTGAGTTCCACAGCAGCCTGGTTGTGTGGAGCAGAACCTTCTCTCAAAAAGAGTAAAACAAACAAATAAATCGGCTCTAAGAAATAATATTCATATAACAGAAAATAGCACACCTTCTTTTTCTTTGTCTTGTAAGCAATTTATTCTATACCTTCTTTCACTTTTGTCCTAATAAGTGATCTCAAAATTAAAAAATATATTTAAATTTTATTTTATTTATTTAGTGTGCATGTATACAGGTGCCATGATGTGTGACTAGAAGCTAGAGGACAACTTATGGAAGTTGGTTCTCTCCGTCCACCACATGGATTCCAGGAATCAAAATGAAGTTCAAAGTGAAGGTATCAGACTGAGGCAAGTAGCTCTACCTATTAAGCTGTCTTACACACTCAGTCCTTGAAGTGTTCTTACAAAATTCCTGACCAATACTATCAAAATCAATTAATAATAACACACTAACATGGCATGTGATGCTCACAAAATAAAAAAAAGAGGAAAAGACATATGTAGATAACAGTCTATGTCTTAAAGCAGTCTGTAATTCTCATGGAAAAAACATCATGTAGCAAATAAAACATAAGCCATGCAGTATTAAAGGCATGTGCCACCACTGGCCAGTGAAATACTTATTTCTTAAAGTATACTGTATAAAAAAAATGAAAATATGGGCCAGGAGATGGTGGCACACACCTTTAATCCCAGCACTCGGGTGGCAGAGGCAGGTAGATCTCCAAGTCTGAGGCCACCCTGGTCTACAGAGCTAGTTCTAGGATAACCAGAGCTACACAGAGAAATCCTATCTCCCCCCTCCCCCCAAAAAAAAGAGAGGAAAGAAAGAAGGGAAGGAGGAAGACTATAAAAGTGACATGAATATCAATCATTGCCAAGCTGTTTACTTACTCTGAGGCAGTCTTAGTTTAGTGAGATGAATATGAATAGTTTAAAAATATACTTTATGAAATATTTCTAAATAGAAACATTGATCTAATTTAGGTGTTATAGCTCACATTTATTCATTCAGCACTAGGAAGGATGATTCAGGAGAATTGCTGAGTTTAGACAAAATTTGTTTCTTTAGGGGATGGAGAAATGGCTCAACAATGGAGTGTGTTTGCTGCTATTCCACAGTACCTGGGTTTGGTTGCTAGCACCCTCACTGAGGAGCTAATAACCACCTTTAACTCCTTTTACAGGGAATCCAACACTCTCTTCTGACCTCTATGCATCTGTACATGTGGCATATACTCAGACAGGCAGGCAGGAAGACATGCACACACAGATTTTAAGAAGTAAATTTAAAAAAAAAAACTAGATAAATCCAACAAATTAAATTACATATAAATGTGTATTTATAACTGGGACTATGCCAAAATAATCCAGTGGCAAGAAGTACAAATGAACAAATTTGACAAAGTTGACAATTATGAAAGTGATATATTTTATATGCAATTATTGAGTCTTTACATTTTTTTATGCGTCTGAAACTTTATATATGTATAAAAAGATTTAAAAACTGTTTTTTTTGTTTGGTTGCTTTTTTTTTTTTTGTACCTGAAACACTGGGGGATAAGGAATAAACCAAAGTGTATGCTAAAAAGAAATTTCTTGCTGGGCAGTGGTGTCACACACCTTTAATCCCAGCACTCAGGAGGCAGAGGCAGGTGGATCTCTGAGTTTAAGGCCAGCCTGGTGTACAGAGTGAGTTCCAGGATAGCCAGAGTTGTTATAAAGAAAGACCCTATCTCAAAAAACAGTAACAAAAAAGTCTCTAACTATATCTAGAGAAATAATATATATACACACAAAACATACAATAAAAAAGGCGGGTAGAATAGAAATCCTGTCATCAACTTGTTTTATAATAACAAGAATAATGAGCAAAGATATAAACAGCAGAAATAATACAGCAGACATTTTTGCACTTCTTGTGAAACAGCAAAAAAAAAAAAAAAAAAAAAAAAAAAAAAAATATTAGGATTCAAACCCGAGCTATTTATAAACTGGAAGATCTTGGACAAATTACTTAACTTCTCTGGGTTAGGACCTATAAAATGGGAATAAGACCTGCCCTCTAAGGCTTTTGTGAGAATAAAAAAGGTAGCATTTTTAAGTAGTTACTAGGCAAATGGTAGGTATAGATCTTATTCAGAAGCACACACCAATTAGGAGTTAGGGTGAAGCTCAGTGGTAGAGGATATGCAAGGGTCTGGGTTTGGAACTAGTCCAAAACTAAACAGCCAAGAAACATAACAATAAAAATATAAAGTATTAAGTCTACTGCTGCAAAGCTTCTGAAATCCTCACCTCGTCATAGTTTATAATTATTTACTGAGCTAAATTTGACCCCACATAAAACCATTCAAAAACATCCAAAATAGTTAACCCTAGTTTAAAAGTCAGCTGTTTGACCATTACTAAGTGGTTCAAGCCTTTCTTACATCTGTTCGGAAGTCTACACTGAACAGAGGAGAAGGAGGTGTTGGTGACTGTGTTGCCACAGGTAGAGTTGAAGAGACAGGTGCTTTCTGGGTATGGTACTGTGCCCACTGATCTGGCTTTCTTCTTATCTGTTCCTCACAACTGGTCTTCAAATGACCACAAGGCTCCTAAGAAAAATAAAAGAAAAAAATCTTGGTCACCTGTAGAGTGGTAAATAAATGTATGTTCGGTGAGAATAAGGTAAAAAGTTCCATATTGTTGGGATGCACACATATACACAAAGATCAGAGAAACTACCTTAGCACCCTAGTGTTCTCTCCATATATTCAAACAAAAGGTTAACATTCAGCTGACAGCTGATGTCAGGTAAATTGTGAGCACTCATTTTTCTACTTTAGAGTCATTTGTATATATATGAAGCTACTGAAGAGGCCTTGTTCTTCTATCATGAGGATTTTTTCCCCCTACATCAGTTCCTAACTGAACATTTTTATTTTAATATTGGTATGTATCAAGTATCAAGTCTAGTTCTAAGAGCTTAGATTTTTTTGTTTTGTTTTTGTTTTTTGAGACAGGGTTTCTCTGTAGCTGTGGAGCCTGTCCTAGAACTAGCTCTTGTAGACCAGGCTGGTCTCAAACTCACAGAGATCCACCTGCCTCTTGCCTACCAAGTGCTGGGATTAAAGGCATGTGCCAAGAGCATTGATTTTTGTTTTTTAATTAATTCTCACAAAAGCCTTATGAGTAGGCACTACTCTTATTTGCATCAAGCAGATGGGAAAAAAAAAAAAGGTGAAATAACTTCTCTAAATCAGTTAGTGAAAGTCTGTCTATCTGATTCAAGACACAAGATCTCAACTAACACATGACAGTAACATTTCTATGTTCAACATCATTTACCCTTGGTAAAGGCACAGTCGTCCTTGGTTCATTTGGTGGCTGACAAGCCACTGAATAATACCCATCTAATGAGTTATATCTTTCCCGTAAAGATGTCTGATAGACAGATGAGTGCATCACATCCATTGGAGGTAAAGAATTGCTTCTAATAATGTCATCTCGTTGGTACATAGCTGGGCGCCAGATGCGCCTGCTGTCATACACAGGAGCATACATTCCAGAAGGTACTGGTCCATACTGTTGCGGAGGAGGAGGCTGGTAAGGAGAGTTCATCCGGTCTCGAGGGGAAAATGTGCTGTAGTGATCAGCATATGGCATGGAAGCAGGTGGGAGGGAGGACTCTGGAACATTATTGGACCTCACAAAGCGAGGAACACAAGGAGTCACACCAGCTGGTACGGTTGGAGGTGGTGGGTAGTACCCTTGAAAATTGGAAAGAGGAATATTCAATGTAACATCTTAGTAAAAACAGCATTTTATAATGGTTTAAGCCCAAAGCAGCCCAAATTGTGGGAAAATATAATCAGTGTTGACTTTTATCTTGATACTGAAATTGCATTATTGTCAAGTTACCATTACACTAATATTAAAATTCAACATTGTTAAAACTATTCCTTAAAACCAAAACACGGGGCTGTTAGCAGATAGCAGACTGATTCCCATTTAGTGAATCTTCTCTCTCTGTCTCTGTCTCTCTTTCTCTCTCTCTCTAAGGTCTTTTGAGACAGGGTACCTTGGCTGCCCTGGAACTCACTTTGTAGACCATGCTGGCCTCAACCTCACAGAGTTCCCTCTGTCTGCATCTGTGTCTTCCAAGTGCTAGGATTAAAGACATGCGCCACCACTGTCCAGCCCATTAAATGAATCTTTTGCATGAGGCTTCTAAATTAGTAATTAGTTATATCATTGATTCTTTATTAAGCATTTGAATGCAGAGGTTAAAAATCTCTCTCAGAATTTGTTATTCATTTTCTTTTCAAATTGTATAAAAAAAAAAAAAAAAAAAAATGTGGTGGCACTCTCCTTTAATCCCAGCATTCCTGATGCAGAAACAGGTGGATCTCTGAGTTTGAGGCCAGCTTGGTCTAATGGTTTCAGACAAGCCAGGGCTACACATAGTGAGACCCTTCCTCAAAAATAAATAAAAACAAAAGGCAGAGTTGTAGAGATGACTCAGTAGTTGAGAGCACATGCTGTTCCAGCAGAGGACCTGGGCTCAGTTTACAGCAGTCAATGAGCAGCTTACAAACATTGGTAACTCCATCTTCAAGAGCACTGCATGCATACATGCAAGCAAATGTTCATATATATATATATATATATATATATATATATATATATATATATATGTAAAATTAAATCTTAATGAATCACAAAAACGTTTTATTTTACCATTTCACTGAGGTCATTCATGGGCTCTATATTTAATCTTATAAAAGACAACTATTAGTATCTAGGTAGAAGAATGAAATAGACTCATTTCTAACCAGTTATAGATTTAAGATTTCTATGTATTGCATGGAACTATAAATGTACTAAAAGAAATTATGAAAAATGCTTCAAGGTACTAGGACAAGCAAGAATTTTTTTAGATAAGACCCCAAAAGTACAACAACAAAGGCAAGTCATGTAACTGGAATTATATCAAACAATAAAACTTCTTGTAGGGAAAAAAAAAAAATCAGAGTGTAGAGGCAACCTATAGAAAGGGAGAAAATATTTGCAAGCTACATATATGGCAATAAAAAAACAAAGCAACTTGATAAATATAAGCAGTATATCTAAATAAACATTTGTCAAAAGAAGATAATGGTCAACTAGTATAATAAAAATGTTTAATTTCAGTAATATTTTGGATAATAAAAAGCAATATGCAATTATCACCTCACTCCAATATGAATGGTTATTATAAAAGAAGTCAGGACAGTAATATGGCTCAGGTGTTAAGAGTACCTATCATGCAAAATTCAACAGGAGTTCACTCCCAAGCACACACAGTGGAAATAGAGAACTGACTCACAGATTGGCCCCTGACTACCATATATGCATATGGTAGTGCATATTCCCCTTTTAACATGCATATTCCCCTTTTAACACCCCCCCACACACACACACAAAGATACTAAGTATTGACAAGGATGTATAGCAATACAAATCCCTGTAAATTATTGGTGGGAATATAGAAAACATATGGGGCAAGTGATAATGTAAATAAAAATGAATAATAAAACAGCCTTTGCTGATTTGTTTATCTGTTTTGAGACAGGGTTTCATGTAGTACAAGCTGGACTTGAATAAGGCTGGCTCTGACTTCCTAATTCTCCCTGCCACTGACAGAAGTATGAAGCAAAGATTTCTTAGGGTAGGGAAGAAAACTTATGGGTCACAGAGTGATATTAATCTGTTAATAAAGATAGCTTAGACACTCACTTATTTTGGGTAATAAATACATACATTAGCTTCTTTGTTCTTAGAACTGACAAAAATTACTTACCTGTTTGTGGGTATTGTGGGACTTCAAAGGGTATTTGAGTCCTTGGATCTTGAAAATACTGAATGCTTTCAGAATGCTGAGGATATACTGGAACTCTAGTTAGAAACGCACTGGATTTGGGAGGCATGGAGCTCAGCTCTGTTCCAAAATTAGAGGGCCCAGCGGAGGTAGCTGCTGCATTACTTACAGGAGTCTTGGGTGGAGAACTAATTTTACTAAAGAGGAAATTAAACAAAGAGCAAAGGATAACTCACTCTGATCACTAAGTCTTCCTCAAGAGAAATTTCTCATAAGGCAAAGTTTTCAACAGAAAGCACATCAGGTACTTTGACAAGGGCAAAGATATATGGCAAAAAAATCTCACTGCCTCCTCACACTTTACAAGCCCATATAGTAACAATTTTCATGTTCTGATGAAGTTAATAGGATATAAAACAAACTCTAAGCACTAATGTGGTTTTTCAGCTGACTTTGACTCAACTCTTTAAAGATTTTTCCTGTTTGAAAAAAAATTAAAACAAAACAAACAACAAAAAAATGCAACAACAACAAAAACACCCTGCTCAATAAGCTTAAAAAATAAACAATACAGTAGAAGTCTTTGGTGCAAAGGAGAAATAGTAAAAAAAACTTTTTTTGATTATCTAAAATGTAATTTTAAAAAAAGCCCATTTTTGTCTATTTGTTAACTCTACGTGTGGCATCTAGAAAACAGTTCCTGACTTGGAGCAGGCACTCAGTAAACATTTGCTGGACAAATAAAATATATCCTGGCATAAAGTGAGTATTTAATATTTGTTGAGTAGATGTAATTCCAATTAATTTTTAACACCAAAGGATCTTCTTAGTTGAATAAGCAAGTGATCACCTCTAGAGAATATTATCATGGATTCTTGTTCCCTTTCAAAACCTTAATACTCTGCAGGCAATGGTGGCACACAACTTGAATCCCAGCACTTGGGAGGCAGAAGCAGGTGGAAGCTTGGTCTACACAGTGAGTTCCAGGACTGTCAAGGCTACATAGGAAAACCCTGTCCCAAAAAACAAAACAAAAAAAAAGCTTCAAATATGTTTTTCCCCAAGCTAATCTTGTTAATTATGCAAAAATTCAAGTAGTTTTTTTCCAGCTAGGCAGTGATGGCACATGCCTTTAATTCCAGCACTCGAAAGGCCTCTTACAAAAGAACTGAGCACATATATTCCTGTGTTCTGATAATACAAAACCTCTCAAAGTGTATCATATAGAATCTATCTATTTACATATCTAACACCCAAACTGCAACAGAAAACTCTTTGAGGTGGGAGTTGGATCTGACTCATTTTCATTAAGAATATCAGTTGGTCTCATGTTTGGCATGTAACCCATTTACTTTTCTTATATCTTAAATTTTTTATTACATTTTATACACTCATGTGTGCATGTGTACAAACACAAAGAAGACAGAACAGCCTATAGTACATTCTCTCCTTACAACACTGTAGATCATGCAGATTGAATACCAGTTGTCAGATATGGCAACAGGTGCTTTTCCTTTGCAATCCATCTTGCTAGCCCTTACAAATACTTTTATTTTTTATACCTAATCATTTATTTTGTATGCTTGTATGTACTGTTAGAAATACCTGAAAAATAGACTTCTCTCTTTTTAATTTTAAAGGACTCATAGTGCTATCTATGTGGGTCAGCATTTATACAGATGAAGCACATTCGTGTTCCATGTTCCTAATGTATAAAAGTTTTGAGTGGAGGGAAACAGTGTGGTGTCTATTTTTCAGGTATTTCTAACAGTACCAGTGACAAAGCTTGGAACGAAGTAGTCAATATTTTTGACGTCTTTTCTCAAATACATCCCAGAGAAAATCATCCTTTTAATAAAGAGTTTCCCCCATTATATACTGAACCATACAAGTTTAAAATTATAGCTGGGTAATGATGGCACACATCTTTAATCCCAGCACTTGGGAGGCAGAGGCAGGCAGCTCTCTGTGAGTTCAAAGCCAGCCTGGTCTACAAAGCTACACAAAAAAAAAAAAAAAAGAAAGAAAAAGAAAACTATATTCAACTCACATGGTCTCTATGACATGAAGCCAGTAAGTTCAGTGCCAAGCATGATTCTTTTTCCCACAGTAAGTATATACTTGTACTGACAAACTTACTCAAGGGCAATAAAATTTGAAAATGCTTTAATTTCAATTTTTAAACTTTATAAGATTCCAAAACTGGAAGTAACTATCAATTATCTGAACATTTCAACACTTTCCATAAGGTTTTAAAAATCCCTTTGTTAAATAAAATCTTTCATTGATAGTCAACAATAATAATGGTAGTAAAAATGAAGCAGATAATCACTGAGTGGCTACTAAAGGGCAAGAATTGTTCAACATACAGTACAGCATTAACTCACTTAAAATTCACAATCAATATATGAAGTACTTGACCAATGAGCTGCACATCTAGCCCATGAAGAAGATATTATAATTTTATGAACAATTTGAGGTAGACTGATAAAACAATTGGCTTAACATCCAATAGTAGGGAAAAAAAAAGCCATAATTTAATCCCAAAAAGGTTGGCTTCCAAGAGTCTGCCCTTGGGATACAGTGGAAACTGACTGAAGCACATTGGAGCCAGACATTCAACCTTCTCACCCATTTAGGTTTCTACTTAGCATCTCAATTCTTTAGCATGTCTATGAAATTAATACTGAAACTGAAGGAAAAAAAAAAAAAAAAGGTATGGAAACCCTAATTCTAGCCCAACCTCATTAATATTGTTGAAAAGAAAAAAAAAACATAACTCAAGAATAAAGTGACTTTTCAAGTGTGCAAAGCTATTTAGTGGCCTAGTGAGGATTAGAACTCAAATTTCTGCTTGATAGTGGTGATGCACCCTTTAATCCTAGCACTTAGGAGGTAGAGGTAATTGGATTGCTAAGAGTTTGAGGCCAGCCTAGTCTACAGAATTCCAGGGTAGCTAGAGCTACACAGAGAAATCCTGTCTTAAAAATAACTAAAGGGCGAAGAAAAAAAGTCAAATTTCTTTGTATTTAGTATTTTTTTCACCTCCTATTACATGAATAATTGTGCACAAACATTTAACTAATTATTATACCTCCGAATGAAAAAATGAGGTCATTTCTAAAAGGGATAAAGAACCCCATCATTTTCAACCAATACCTACTTTTCAGATACCGACTCTGTAGAGGGCCCAGCAGTATTTTGGCCATTAGTGCCAACTTTCCCAACTTTCTTCACAGTCTCCAGAGTCCTTAAAGCACTGTCAGTGCTCCGTGGAATTAGCTGGGAAACACTGTTTTCTGCATTTGAAATTCCATTTGTACTTGGAACAATTTTCCCAGATGTTTCAGTACTTCCTATGACAGGAATGCCATTTCCAGCTGTGGTTGTAACAGTGCTATTTACACTAACTTTATTTAGAAGAGGAAACGTTCTTACAGTTGCACTCATCTTTTTGTTCCTTAGTCGGTACCTGTTTAAAAATAACATATTTGTAATACTGTTCCCAATTTTCATCTAAAAACACAAAAAGAAAAATTTTAAAAAGGAAACAGCTTTGAAAAGTTTCTTCAGCTACATAACAAATACTTTACATGTCACATATGCATGTTACATAAATGCAAATACAGGCACATAATTAATATAGCAGGCAAAGTACACATGCACTTGAAGCTTTCTGAAGGAGTGGGGTTTGAAAATCTTCCATTTTTATGTAGTACCAAAAAAAAAAAAAAAAAAAAAAAAAAAGAACCAAATTCTGAAAGTAACAGAACAGGAAAGGATTCAAGAGGTGAGCATAGTCTCTGTTGTTATTAAATTATACAAGCAGAGTATAATTTTAAAGCAATAATAAAAACTCAACCTCATTTTTAAACTTTAAACCAAAATATAGAAGTTTTATATTATTTCTAAATGAGTTTATGTCTGAAGAAAAAGAGTATTTAGATTCCAGATTTTTCTGATATTAATTTACGTAGACTGGATATAATATTGTAATACACAAAGTATTTTGATCTTGAATTTCACATAAAATATTTCTATTTGTATATCAAAAATTTCAGGGACTGGAGAGATGGCTGAAGGGTTAAGATCACTGGCTGCTTTTTTAAGGGACCTAGGCTTAGTTCACAGGACCCACATGGCAGCTCACAACTATAACCCAGTTCTGGAGATCCAATGTCCTCTTTTGGCCTTTGCAGGCACTGCATGTATGTGGTACATAGTAAACACTTAGGAACCCAAAATTATTTAATGATTTTTAAAAATTCTCACTATTACATAGTCTTAGTCCTGGTTATTACTTCCTATAATGTTCTCAATATTTCTAAGGGTCAACACAATAAAAAAATGTTTGCTTAAATTACTCTATTATTACTGTTACTTCAACATGGTGATGATGATGATGAATAATGCTTGTAGAAGTTTGTCCTTTAGTTCTTCAGCATCTATAAATAACTTTATTATTCAATTGTTTCTCTGTCTCTCATACAGACCATTAGAAGAAAAATTCAATAAAAGGCAAGTGCCTAGAGACAAGATTGGGTAATGGAGAAATAGAATAAAACAGCAAAAACAAAAAGGAGATAAAGTGTCAACAACTCTTATAGTGACAACATCATGCACCAATAGGCATGGGGGTCAGGACCCAGTGATTACTTCTTGAAGGAGGAGGAGAAACATGACCAGACTTAATCTTCAGAAAGCAAGTTGTTAGCAAGGAGTAAGGAGTTCCTATTTTCTTCAAAATGTTCTCTGAAATGACTTCATTCTATTCTTCAAAGTTCTTAAATAAAATGGCCAGTGACTCCTTGCTTTCCAACTTCACAAGTCAAGTACACATCCTCTCTCTTTAAAATTTATGTGAGTGTATGTACAAGTATGTGTGAGCTATGCTGTTAGTCAGCTATCCCGAGCCATACTCCTATCACTTAATTGCCCCTTAATTGAAGCTGGGATACAGGAAGCTGTAGGGATATCTAACTAGTTACATTGGAGCCGAGATCCAAACACTGGTCCTTGTCATTGTGGAACAAGTGCTTTTAACCAATAATTCATCTTTCCAGCCCTTATACAAGTCCATATTGTTAAGGATGTTCAAACAAGCAATAAACAAAACTTTGTTTGTGAGACTCTAAAAAGAGGGAGAAGTAAAACTATAACAAAATGTGTAAAATCAGAGAAGGTGAATGCACTGGTCCCTTGGTCATTAAAACCATGGATTTACAACCTAAACCTCGTTTTAAAGCAGCAATTCTTTTTAGATCACCCATGAGCACCTTCAAGTACTGCCTCTCTCATTTTACACCTTAATACCAGCCACTAATACTCCCTTTTAAGAATCTTTGACTCCCAGGTCATAGGACATGAAGGCTCAGCTTATGAGGTTTCAGTGGGAAATAACGACTCTATTGATAACTAAGCTAGAGGCCATGTATGTGATACTCTGACAAAGAATCTGCCCATGTATTATGAAGCAGAGTTAGGCTAATTCAAAGTAATAGACTAATTTGTTTGGCAGAGGAAATCTTAAATCAGTATAGTATCCAGACTGCAGCATGGCTATTTCTTAAAGTAGAAGTGAGTATAAGAAAGCAAAACATGGCAACGGAAAGATACACAATCTGTGCAATTTGCTAAGAAAACGTGGTCAGAGAAACCTGGTGCTTTGTGAAGAAACAAGAGGAAAGGCTTCCTAAGAACAAGTCTCTACCTACTGAAGTCTTCACCTTCTAAAAGTACAAACCACAGGGACAACATGCAGAAACCACTGTTATCGTGGTCCAAGGGAGCCAGGCTGCACCTCACCAGTGTCTACTAAGGCCAGGCAATGTGTGGCAGGGACTAATTTCCTGCAGAGAGGCCCAGCAGGGCCATACCATTAACTATGAAAGTATAATCAAAGTTAAGATGGAGACTCCAGGATTTGGGAGTTGCCAGGACTATAGGGGTATCTATCCACTGTCAGGTGTCTTAAAATTGTTTGATTTAACCAAATTGATAATTTAGTTACAGACAGTGTGGAGCTGGGCCAAGGGAGAGACTGTGTGTTGGAGCTGGACAGACTGAACTACCCAAATCCCTGGAGTCCAGGGGATTCATATAACAAGCCCCAGATGTACAATATAGAACTACAGGATTTGAAGTTTCCCCACTGGTTTCCAGTCTTGCTTTTGTTTCACTTTTCCTTCAGTGTCATAGTTCTTCTTTTTTGAAGTAGGAATATTTACTCTAAATTAGTAACACACTTTTCTTTCTTTTTTTTCTTTTTTGATTTTTTTGAGAAAGGATTTCTTTATGCAACTTTGGAGCCTATCTTGGGACTCCACACTGTAGACCACACTGGCCTCGAACTCACAGATCCAACTGCCTCTGCTTTCCAAGTGCTGGGATTAAAGGCATGCCCCACCACTGCCCCACCGTTTCCTTTTTTAAATTATATAGGGAAAAGGTTCAACCTGTGTGTTGAGTTCCCTTTGGAGGTTGGCAGACCCTTTCATAGGGGTTACAACCAGATATCTAGAACATCAGATATTTACAATTCATAACAGCACCAAATTAGTTATAAAATAGTAATACGAATTTTATGGTGGGAGGGGGGACACCACAACATGAAGAAATGTATTAAAGGGTCGCAACACTAGTACAGGGCTCACAGTTAAGAGACTGCCTGAGGGGCTGAAAAGGTAACTCTGCAACAAAAAGCACTTGCTCTCGCAAGAGGACCTGTGTTTAGTTCCCAGAATCCACATGGTAGCTCACAGTACCTGTAACTCTAGTTCCTGGGAATCCAATTCCCTCACAGACACTGTACACATGTGCTGTATATACATACATGCAAGTAAAACATTCATATATAAAAAGTAAATAAATTAAAAAATTTTTAATTGCTTGAAACTCAAATGAGACTTGGAAAATTTGAACAGTTGTTGCAGCTGTTAAAGACTATGTGGTCTTTTGAAGTTGGAATAAATGCATTTTGTATTATAAGACAGTCATGAGCCTCTAAAAACAAAGGGTAGGTTGAGGCTTAAAAATTCTATTTCAGCATCTGAAAAGGGTAGACTGATAAGGGTAGACTCCTGATGGTTAATATAGATTGTAAGCTTGACAGAATCTAGAATCATTTCAGAATATCTGATGGATTTTGTTGATTAGACTAATTAGGTGGGAGGTACCACCCTAATAGCAGGTGGCACCATAACACGGGGTGCAATGGAAGACTGAATAAAAGAATGCAGGCTGACACCCATTATTCAAGGCTCACTGCTTCTTGACCATGGATGCAATGTGACCGACCAACTGCCTTCCCTATGAGGATGAATTGTACCTCTACATTGCAAGCCTTCTACCCTTCACCTGCATTTGTCAGGTATGTGTTACATCAACAAGAAATCAATTAAGGCAAGTAGTGCTTTATTGGTACAAGAGGGGAAGTAGAAATAGGAGAACTGGCCTAAAGCTTAAGAAGCCAGCTAGCTCAGACTATACAGAAAGACTGAGGGGAAAAAGAAAAAAAATAAAAGGAGAAAACTGACTTGCCAAAAGCTGTCCTCTGACCTCCACTTAAGTGTCACAGCCTGTGCATGTATACTCATATATGCCACATGCAAACACACTAACACTTTTTAAAGCTTTTTTTAGATAAAAAAAAATTCTATTTCAAGTGTGGATAAACTGAACATATTTCCTAGAGCAATCCATGGTTTGTGACCCCTTTGGGGGAGGGTCACCTAAGACCATCAGAAAGCACAAGGGTAAAATTCTTAACAGTAACAAAATTCAGTTGCGAAGTGGCAACAAGAATAATTTTATGGTTAGTGGTCACCACAACAGGAGGAGATGTATTAAGGGTTGCAGCATTAGGAAGATTGAGAGCCACTGTCCTACAGCCTAAAAAATAGCTCAGTAGTAAAGAACGTTTACTACTCTTCCAAAATATACAAGTTCAGATCTGAGCAACCACACCAGAAGGCTCATGACTGTCCATGACTCAAGCTCCAAGGGAATTGTGTGCCCTCTTCTGGTTTTCTTGAGCATACACACTTAAGCTTAATTTTTTAAATTGTATTAATATAATTTCTATGCCTAGAGTTATGCCTATGAACATAGCATTCTTTCCTTATGACACTTGCAGATTTTTCTAGGTGCTTTAAACTGGGGAGGGGTCAGAAAAGAGAAGCATAGTCCTAGTCATACCTACAAACATACACACCTTTTCTTGTCATGGTGCAGCCACAGCTAGATATCGTAACATGCTAACCACAGAGGAAACAAAAATATTAGCCATAAATACACATATATGGCTAATAAAGATATTTATAGTATGAAGTATATATACTATTAAAGATGTATATATAGATATAAATAAAAAGCTTACTGGTAAATATGGCACACGAGTCAAACTTACTTATCTTTCTAAGTTTATACCTATGTCCACTTTACACATTGTCTATGGTTATTGAGTGGTCATAAAAGAAACTGTTTAGCCTACAAATCCAAAAACAGTTTCTATGTGAATTTCACAGAAAAAAAAATGTTAACTTCTAATGATTCTGTCTCACATGAAGTAGTAAAGGAATCTTGCTGAAAAATATGAGTGGGAAACAGTTCAAGGAAAAGCTCCAAAGGCAAGGCTAGAACAGCACATGGAGTTGATTTGAGGGTTAAAGGCACAGAGCACACTACAGAAATCAATAGGACAGTAGTGGTGGTAGCACACACCTTTAATCTCTGCACTCAGGAGGCAGAGGCAAATGGATCTCTATGAGTTCGAGGCTAGCCTGGTCTACAGAGTAAGTTCTAGGATATCCAGGACTGTTATAGAAGAAACCCTGTCTCAAAAAAAGTTGAGATGACATCCGAAAAAAATGGCAAATATTAGAAAATGCAGGGAATTTAGTGGCCATAATCTGTGTTTTGTATCTGTAATAACCAGAAGGCAACAAGAACTATCAGAGAAAAAAAAGGAAAGCTACATGTAAAGAAATTTGTTTTCAAAGAATTTCTCTTTTGTAGAAATAAGAGAAGAGAAGGTGAGCAACAGTAGACTAAAGAAGTTAAGTGAGGCTGGGCAATGGTAGCCCGTGCCTTTAATGCCAGCACTCAGTAGGCAGAGGCAGAGGCAGGCAGATCTGAGTTTAAGGCCAGCTTGAGCTACAGAGTGAGTTCCCGGACAGCCAAGGCTACACAGAAAAATCCTGTCTCAAAGAAACAAAAAACAAAAACAAGAACAAATAGGAGAGATCAAAAACTTGTGATGAAAGCTTAAGACCCAGGAAGCTGGAATGGCAGAACTTAGTGACAGTTATACAGGAAAGAGCTGCAAGGAAATTGCTGACAAAGGAGATTCCCAAACCATGCCTGGCATAACAAGTTTATCAGGCTGAAAGCAGCAGAACAAAGATAAGGGGACATCAGGAGATAATTAGCTCACTGAGTGATAAATGTCTACAAACAAAATATATAAATGCACACTATGAGATGGTAAGATGCCAGTTACTTAACAGAAAGCCTAGGCTCACGTTTATTTGCTGAGTTTTGATGAAAACTCTTACTTACCATATTTACTTTTTGTTTGTTTTGTGTTTTGAGACAGTGTTTCTCTGTGAAACACTCCTGGCTGTCCTGGGACTCGCTTTGTAGACCAGGCTGGCCTCAAACTCACAGAGATTCCCTGCCTCTGCCTGACCAGCCCCCACCCCAACACCAGGTGCTGGGATTAAAGGTGTGCACTGCCACCACTACCCAGTTCATATTTACTTTTATGTCCAAACTAAACAAACAAAGAAGTAGTAACTGTCAGGTTTCAAACTCAGGAAAAATGGATAACTGAAATGCCTATTTAACATAGCACAGCAGACTTAACTGCCAGTAAACAGTCTCAGTCTCCACCTGTTACAAGGTATGGCTGGCATACTCTTCCCTATGCAATCCAGCCATCGTTACCCAGTGCTTTCTGTCTACCCTTTACCCTCCTGGCCTCTTGGTCTCCTGCCCCACACCACCCCTGCCCCCTCAAATACACTCTATTCAGGGGCTTGTCCATTCTGAACTCTCCCAGATGTCTCTGCCTCTAGCTATGCTCTCTTTTCATTAACAATAAATCTCCACCATACATCGTAGCAGTCATGTCCTCCTTTTATATCTTTTATGTTTCTTTTTTTCACTTAGTAACTGATAGAAAAATGTTAAAAGAGCAAAAGCCAGAAAAAAATGTCTAGATTTTGCCTGAGATTTTGCTGATCTGTTCAAATGAACCTGAGCAAATAAGACAGAGGCAAAAAGTAGTACTTTCTGCCAGGAAGTGGTGACACACACCTTTAATAATCCCAGCACTCAGGAGGCAGAGGCAAAGGGAGCTCTGTGGGATTGAGGACAGTCTGGTCTACAAATCAAGTTCTAGGACAGTCAGAAATGTCACACAAAGAGAAACCCTGTCTTAAACCACCCCCCAAAAAAAGATAGACAGACAGACAGATAATACTTTCATTCTATACAGGTTAAAAAAAAAAAAAAAAATACATTCCAGTTAGTAAAAGTTTCTAAATATTATCCTCATTTATTATTCCTCATTTAATCTCATGGGTTAAAAAATGACTATTTGTGGGCTGGAGGGATAGCTCAGCTGTTAAAGACTAGGCTCATACACACACATACTACTTTGCAATTCATATTTCTTGTATCTTTGAAACATCACAAAAGACAATAATACATATACCACTCCCTCAATGAATAACCCTATATGAAAGACATTTCTCCAGACTTACTTTTCAAGTTCTTCCTGAGAATGGGCAAAAGTACAATTTGTTCCTCTTGGACAACCCCCTTGTTGTCTTAAGTCTCGGCACATGCTAGTTTTATACTTGCTGTTTGGTTGAGGCTATACCAACAAGCATTTAGCAAATGGAAAAGAGAAGATATCAGTTACTATTCACTCTTTGAACTTCAGAACTTAATGACTATACCACCCTTAAGTCTCTTTCCCATCACAGAAGGAATTTGCATGCTGAAACAAGTTCTACCCCATCATTTCCTATTGGAAAGCCTTCAGGCCTTTTTTCCAAAGTTTAACTGAAATTGACTCAAATTTATATTTACTTAGGCAATGTAATTTACATGGAAAATATTTCTCAATTTATTACTATTTTCAAATTGTGATAATTTTTAAAAGGCACTTTAAAAAATGGCAGACAAGTATCTTTACCCATTAAAAACCATCCCAGAAAAAGTTGAAGTGAAAATTATCACTTCATTAGTTGACATGCATGCACAACTCTATTTATAAACAAACAATGATGGAAGGTATGAATATGAATCTTAACTGCTATAATGTGTATCAAAATCTAAGTTGTTCTTACTTCTGTGACCATCCTTAATAAGATAAAGCATATATTATTCTGTTGATACCTGAATATTATATCTTCTAAATAAAATATGGATAGAAGAATAAGACGTTATCAGATTGTGGAGTACTTTTGTCCCTGTCAGATACTGATAGCATAACCTTCAATATGATATATAAACCCTTTAAATTTCAGCTTGAAACAGCCATTACCTTCCAGTTAGTTGTTAGGGTTAGAAATAAAATATGCAAAACACTGTACATAGGAAGTGGCCCAAAACAATTAACAAATGAGTCATTTGAATAAGGGATTATAATTTAACTTCACATTCTAAAGTACAATAAAAATATTGGGGAATTTCAAATTCTATAACATATTACAAAACAGAAATTTACTTGAAAGATATCAAAGGAGAAAAAAAAAATTCTGCTGAAAAACAAAACTGGACAAAATGTTTGGCCAAAAACATTTGTAATCCAGTAATTAATGTCCAAACTATCCTCTAAACTCACAATACACTGAAAAGCTAAGCAAATACAATAAAAAGTGGGTTTTTCACAAAAATACAGAATAAAGATTTTCAAGAAGGCTGGGTATGTCACTTAATGTCAGAATTGAAGCCTAGCATGCCAGGCATAAAATCCCAGGCTCAATGCCTATGCAGCTACACATTCAGACACACATGTACACCCTCCTCCTACACTTACAACTTCTAAGAAGAAAGGGTTACATAAGGAGTCCATCAGCTAATCAAATTGTTAATATGTTCAGCATGAAACTGTGTTACACTGCAGTAGTCAAACGTGTAAGAAATGAACTTACCTGGGGTGTCTCATGGCCTTTTCTACTATAATTCTGTATGAAGTCCACAAGACCATGAACCACTGTTTTAACAGCTACCATTGCATTTTCCAGCTGTTCCCAAGTTGGTGAAACAGCATCTAAATTAAGAGCCAAAGGGATGGGGTGGGAGTTGGAGGAGACAACATTATCAACGGTCATTCTCTTATGCTATTTACCTCAGAGTTCCATAAAGTACAAGCACTAGTACATTTTCCCACATACCTGGATTAGGATCTATATTTGCAAGAAGTTCTAAGTGAGGCCTCAGTCTGTTTAAATTAGCTGGGTCACCTGTTCGTTGCAAAACAATTGTCAATTCCTGGACACTCTTTGCAAATGATTCTGGAGACTGTAGCTAACAACAGAAGAAAGAATAAATTTTACTCTGGATTTTAGAACACACCTATATTCAAATGCTTTCCAACAGCTCATCTTTCTTAATAGGTTTTCAAGTGTCTTCAGAGATCATAATAGGACGATCAATGATGAATTAAATTTTCACCTCAGAATCTGCCCTATGAAACTCATCACTAGACACTTAGAAAACATATTTGTTAGCTATACTAGCTCTCTGGGGCCAGAGCATAGATAAAAGTTTTCAACCTTACAATGCTACAAAAGCAAAACACATTCAGTAGAAAGTGTTCCACATTTTATATTTAATTTTTCTCAGGTAAGTTAAATGAAATACAGTATTCACATGGAGGTACAATGGCACTAAGCTATAACTCTCAGTAAGCCACATAAGCATGAGGTAAAAGCCAATACTCCACAAAGTGTACAATGCTGCTGCTAAGTAATCATGCTCACTAGGTTAGATGTATGAAATCAATGTCTGGGTCAGATGGGCACATTAGGTTATAAACAGAAGAGTGTGTGTGCTACAGTACTCTGACACAGAAAGGGTGTAAGGTCAGTACCTCTAATTCCACTAATCCCACAAACCTTATCAATGATAGACTGCATGTGTGATTTATGAGCTAAGTCCCCATATAGCAGTGAGGACCACTGCTCAGGTGAAATACGGAGTCCTGCTTCCATGGCAATGTGAACAATTTGGGCATCATGTTCTCTGCGAAGTGCCTCATAACTCCGAAATTCCTCCTTTAACTGCATCAGGGAAGAGTCTTCATCCCTTTTAGTAACCTACAAATGGAAAAAAAAAGGAAAAAAAAAAACAAACAAACAAAACAACAACTCATTAGACTTGGCCTATTCTTTCCCCTTACTCAATTCATTTACTTTAGGTGTGAGGGCTACAGTAAAAGGGGATATATACCAGGCACCACACAAAGTATGAAATGTCAACACAAGTCCTTTTCAGAACAAAACAGAAATTATGTAACTATGTATTCAATCCTTGCCTTCAATATGTTCATCAGCATTTGGCAGGGAAGAAACACTTAGAAAAAGAAAAGTATAGTAATAGGGCTATTTTAGGCTCCATGGCAACATGAACAAAAGGCAATTAAATAAGACAAATAGAAAGAAATTGTTCAGGAAAGGTTTTCTCTTGGCTGAAGACTATGTGATCTACGTCATAAAAAATAAGATTTCTTTAGGAAAAGAGGGGAAATCAAATTCTAAAAAAGAAAAAGGTAAAATGGCAACATCAACGATCAGAGAACAGAGTTAAAAATTATTATATAGGTCAAAGAAGACACACAGATGGCCTTAAATATGATGGCAAATTAGGTATTAAATCCTGAGGGGAATGAAAAGTAACTGAGAATTTTTACAGAAAGAAGTGCTATGATCAGATACGTGTCTTAAAAAGAACATCATTTTCCTTGCTTGGAAAGTTATTGTTTGTTGTTTTAGTGAAAAAAAGAGTCCTGCTTTCTTGTTTGAGGGGGAACAGAGCTAAATGTACTATATCTTCCTTAAGAGAGTTGGGATAGATTAGTAGGAGCATTACTTACTGTGATTCCTTGAGAAATGAGATACTGTAGTTTCAGAATAGAATCCTGTTTCTAACATTGAGATTGTCTTTGTACCTGTGTAGAGTGCTTGTTGGTTCCTGTGTGTGTGTGTGTGGGCGTGCATGTATGTGTACATGTGTGTATAGGTCAGAGGGCAACCTTAGGAGTGAGTCCTCATATTCTACTTTGTCTCTATAGGGCACAGGCTTCTGGGAGAATCACCTTCTATCCATCTACCTGTACATGCACTAGGATTTAAGATTCAAAACACACAAAAACACACCAAATTCTAAGACTCACACTGAACAAATAATTTGATCTATTCAAAATTCAACTTTTCCTGCTGGGCATGATGCTTCATGCCTTAAATACCAGCATTCAAGAAGCTCAAACAGAAGAATCATGAGCACAAGTTTGACTTGCAATATATAATAAGACCCTGTAACAAACAAACACAACTTTATTTTCGTCATTGGTAAAAGAAAAAAAAAAAAAAAAAAAAAAAAAAGCTCCATATTTCCTCAGCGGTTGAATGTATTGAGGGTCTGCCTCAAAATTGCAGAAATCTCTTTGCCCAAACCTCCCAAGTGCTAGGATTACAGGCGTGGACCACTATGCCCTGTTTTAGTAACTATTTTTATTTCTGTTGCTGGCACATCAGATAGTAGCAATATGTCCCCCAACACATGAACATGAAGAAATTAGACATCACCTCAGAATTAACAGGTCATATACTCTTTGGGAATCTAAAAGTAGTTAAAGAGTTTGGGACACTCAAAAATTAATCTTTTTATTTTATGTATATGAGTATTCATCTGTACACACACACAACACACACACAACACACACACACACACACACACACTGCACAGGTGTGCTTTGCCCCATGAACCAGAAAAGGATGTCAGATTCCCTGAAACTGCCATGTAGATGCTGAGAATTAAACCCAGGTCTTCTTCAAAAGCAGCAACTATTTCTATCATTGAGCCATTCATCACTCCATCCCCAATCAATACAATCTTAAGCATTTAATAATGAATGGAATGTGGATTTAACATAAAAGTCAGTATTCTTAAAATAACCTAGTTTAAAAGAACAGAGAAACAAAAGGAGGAATTATTAACCTAAATAAGAGGTACAGTGGAGACTAAACTAAAGATATAGAGTTAATAAATTATAACACACCCATGAATATCAAGAGCACCCAAGTACTTGAAGAAAGATTTAGGTAACTAATAGGGCCTAATCCAACTAGTATCAGTATGTATTGAAATCACTTGTGAAGGGCTGCTGGAGATGCAGCTCAGTTGATACAGTACTTGCCTAGCATGCATGAAGCTGGGATTGGATCCCCAACATTACATAAACACTACTCATAGTTTCAGCAGCTGGCAGGTAAAAGGTTTGTTTGTTATCCTTCAACTACAAAACAAGATCAACCACACACACACAAACACACTCAAATTTAAAATTTGTGATGCTTTGAAAGACATACTGTTAAATCTACTGAATGAGAATTCTTGATTGAGCCTAGGAACATACAAATAGATGACTCCAGTGCTGTATTTTCATTTGGGAACCACTACACTAAGCACAAAAATCATTAATTCTTGTTCTGATTCCATGCTTGGTAAACAAAGGATCTCTAAAGAAAAATGAACCAACATATGAATTTCATTTATCTGGTATGTATATACGTGGACATGCACATGCCATGCACATGTGTGGACTTGAAAGGGCAAGTTTCAGGAGTCAGCTCTCTCCTTAGACAATGTGGACCGAGGCATCAAATTTGTCATTTGGCTCAGTGGCCAGCATCTTTATCCAAAGTCATCTCATTTGCCATGATGTACAATTCCTAGTAGAAATTACTGAAATTGATGATCTGTGTATGTGATCATCATTATAGCTATCTTAAACATGAGGAACAATTATACACCCACAAAAATCTAGTTGCTAAGTGATTAAAAGACACTCATTGGATTGTGTTTAGTTTTCTAAGAGTAAATATCACTTGAGTGAGACTTTTTGGCATTTAAATCTGCACATCTTTAGCATTTCAAATTACATGGCTATAAGTATGAAATATATCCTATGTGTGATGCAAATGACAGATAACATTGGGAACTGTAAATATGTAACAATTATAAACCACAAAGAGTTAGACACCTACAGGAAAAAAAAAAAGGTACAGGTATTTCAGTGAACACAGTGGGAAAGCCTAGTCAGTCAGGTGTGAATGACAAATGACCTCTAAAAACTGGCTGCTTAGCTGAAAACATGTGAGAGACTAGATCATTACCTTTTTTAAGCACACGAAATCAAGCACTACAACTGTCAAAGAGTGTCCCAACCAAATTAGCAAAGGTAAATGAACTTATGTGAACATACTTCCATCATCAATCACCTATTTTCTAAACTGGAGTATTTCCAAGGAAAACTTTTTCAATCTTAAAGCCTTAAAATGAGAAGAAAAAAAAAAAAAAAAACCTAGATATGTGTGATTTACTTTCACAAAAGACTAGAGATCTATTTACAAATCTTTTCATTTTTTTCAGGTGCTAGCTAACAACCTACACTCTGGTAACAGAAAACAAGGATTCAGGGAGCTTTTCTCATCTTTTTAGTGGCCTAAGATAAAATTCTATTTTAAAATACTCTTTGCGTTCCATCAAACAAAATACCAAACATTGCGGAAATCTTCTCAACTTTTGAATTTCTTTTTTGGGGAGCCAGTTTTTGAGACAGGGTTCCTGTGTGTAACAGCCATAGCTATCCTGGAAATCCCTCTGTAGATCAAGCTGGCCTTAAATGCACAGAGATCCACCTGTCTCTGCCTACCAAGTTCTGGGATTAAAGGAATATATCGCCATAGACTAACCTTGAATTTCTTGTGAACTATTTTCACATGAAAAGACTTTAATCACTACACAAAATATAAAACCAAACCGAAACAATGGATTACGAATATTTCCTACTCTTGTGAAGTCTACAGTATGATTTGGGACTCCTTGGTTTTTTTTGTTTTGTTTCAAGACAGAGTTTCTTGGTGTATCCCTGTCTGTCTTGTAACTAGCTCTATAGACCAGGGTGGTCAAATCCAGAGGATCCACCTGCCTCTGCCTCACAAGGCTGGGATTAAAGGCCAGTGGGACTCCTTGTTTAAAACAATGAATATAAAGAAGTGAGGCTTCTTTAGTTCACTTTTATAAGTTTCTGTAAGAGTCTAAAGTTAGGGACTTTACACAGAGAAATCCTGTCTCAAAAAAATACAAAAGAAACAGAATAATAAAAAACCCACAGATGGAGAGAATTTGGATACTGTACGGTATTATACTGTCTTTGTATTGTTTGACTGCTGAGGAAACAATAACTGTTAAATGCTGCTGGATTAATTCAATTTATATATTTTAAAAATGCTTTGACTCAAACATTTAAGTTCAAGGCAGGTTACTGGGGAAAAGGATTTCTATTTTTGTTTCCACAGAAAATGAAAAGCTGTGGATTCCTTCTAGACTAACATGGTTTGATCAAGCCAGACCCCCTGAAACAGAGTTCCTGGTGATCCAACATTCAAAACAGCTTGAACAAGGCACCCTTGAAGACTACAGCCAGGATTTCTGCATCATCTTAGGATCCCCATGACAGCGCCCTTTACCAGCAGGAAGTAGTTTGGAAAGAATGACGCCCAAATTCCCAAATATTGTTTATACATGTTTGTTTTCATTTAAGTGGGCTTGGTTTCAAATGGTTAATGACCACAACCAATCTCTTTTTAAAGGTCTAAAAAGGGGATTATGGTATAGATATGATTACTTTGTTTTGGAATGGATTTTCATTTATTGATACAATTTAAGGTCAATTTTGTGATATGTATATTTCTCCTTTTGTTTAGGTATTGTGTTTATATAGCTCATTTAAATATAATGTATAACTTAGTACAGATTATAGACAGTTACCTATGATAGTGAAAACTTAGAGTTAAGTTACTTAGGTTTTCAAGATGTATTTGAGATGGATAGGCATTCTTCAAACCTTTCAATGACCTACAGAATATGGCATTTAAAATGGTTTAGGGTTTTTCTTGACAGTGAGGCATAACTACTCCTGGCAACACCACCTGCGTCAGAAAGGAAGATGTACCTTGAAGAAAGGAGTTATGAAGTTTGCTCCCAATATGGCAAGACTAGCCATTTGGACAAGATACTGCTATTGTCTAGACTGTTTGACTTTATGCTGTATAAACTGGACATGCAGGACCCACAGAAAAGTGACTGCTGATTGAAGATGGACATTGCTACAGAGTTCCTGCTTCATGAAAGAGTCTGCCAGACAGTCTGCAGGACACAGAGAAAAGTGACTGACAAACTGCCAATACAAGAAGACAGTTTAAAGTTTCCTGCTTTGCTGAAGAGTCTGCTGAAGATGGAAGATTACAGAAGAACTTCAGGTGACTGACAAGGCAAGATGTCTCTGTCATTTCTAGAGTTTATATACTATCCTTCTGTGGTCTTTGAAAGAGTTGAAGACAGATAGTTATGGTTATAGTTTTCCTTAGTTAAGCTTAAAGATAAATTACATATAGGACTTTAAACTCACAAATATAGGATAGATAGAATAGTTTTTTAACCTTGCTAAATGTTAATGGACTAAATATTGTTAACTGTGATTCTTATTTCATAACTGTTGTATTATATATTTTGCTATGTTAAGGTTAAAACCCTTCTTATTATTTAGACAGAAAAGAGGAGATGCGATTCTGTAAATGTGTTTCTCATACTGGTTATGAATAAAGCACTGTTGGCCAATAGGAAAGGGAGATAGGAGACAAGGAGGAAAGAGGAAGTAGGAAGGAGGAGTCAAGATGGAGAGTCTGGAGAGCACAGAACTGCCATTCCTACGCTCACGGTAAGACCACGTGGAAATACATAGAAATGGGTTAATACTTAAGACAGAGCTAGCCAATTAGAAACAAGTAACTGGCAAACAGCATAATATCAAATACAGAGTCTCTGTGCGTTATTTGGGGCTGGCATGGTGGCGGGACAAGACTGGCAGCGGGAGGAACACACCTTACTCTTTACTTTTATGTATGTTTGATTCAATGTTCCTGAAACTAATAGGTAGTAACAAGTACCTAATATCAGAAGGAAAAATTGAAAAAAATCAGTTCTTCTGAACTTTGAAGCATTCCATATTTCTGGGGTCACTACACCAGGTAAAACGGACTCTAGGAAGCCTCTGCCTCACATATAAGCATGTAATCTTCAGAGAGTTATACAGTTATACAATGCTTACCTTAAAACAAGAAGCTCGATATAGTAGCTGCACAACATGACCAATACTTGTTTTTGATGCCTGAGGAAATCTTGGTTCCAGTCTTTGCACAACAAAAAGTACCAAAACTTTCCTTGAGAGGGCAGAACCATCTTCTAATGCCAACAATACCAACTTCAAGGCTTCTTCTTGCATAGCTAGAAACAGTAAAGGAATGAAGATTATACTAATAATGTCTGTCAAAAGGGTATTTGGATATCAATTTATGGTGGTACACTATGCATAATCTGCATCTTAATTAGCATGAAAAAAGGAAATCACACATATAGAAAAACAATTCATTTTAAAATTGATCAATGGCCAGCAAAGTGACTCGAGGTAAAGATACTTGTTGATTATTGTGTGAGATTTTGTTTGTTCTGACAAATAAAGCTTGCTTGGAGTCAGAGGGCAGAGCTAGCCACTAGTTAATCAGAGGTCTGGAGGAGTGTAGACAAGACAGTCAGGAAGTGATAAGATGGGATAGAGGGAAGATCTCTTTCTTTTCCATCTGAGGATTCAAGACAGGTAAGTCTCTGATGGCTGCTGCTCTTTCTCTGATCTTTCAGCTTTTACCCCAATATTTGACTCCCAATTTTTTATTGATAAATCAGATTCATACTTTACCTGATCAAGGTAAAGGTAGAAGATGCCACAATCCTCACCCAATCTCCACACATGTCAAGGTACACTTATAGTTAAACAGATCCAACACAGACACAGACAAATTGATTTTTTTTTTTTTTGAAATGGAGTTTCTCTTTGTAGCCATGGCTGTCTAGAACTCTCCATATAGACCATACTAGCCTTGAACTCTCAAATCTACCTGTTGCCTACTGAGTGCTCAGATTAAAAGCATGCAGTACCATGCCCACTTGCAATATAAAATTTAAAAAAACTTAGATTTATATGTGTGAAAGTTTTCTCTACATGTCTGTACATGTACCATGTGTGTTGTGTCTGGTGCTGTGCAGATTCAGATACAGGACCCCTGGAACTGGAGTTTACAGATGGTATGCCACAATGTGGGTACTGGGAATTGAACCTGGGTCCTCTGCAGGAGCAAAGACTAATCTTAACCACCAAGTCATCTCTACAGCCCCATAAATAAGAATTTTAAAAGTTACCAAACTAAAGAAAACATATTTTGCACTAAATGACCTATCACAGGTGTGAACAGGACTTTATTATTATTATTATTATCATTATCATTATTTTAAATTGTGTATGTACAAGTGTGTGCATGTGCAGGTACTTTCTCAGACTAGAGAAAGAACTTGTAACTCAGACCTGGTTACAAGTTAGTCTACCTGCTGTAAATGCCGGGAATCAAACTCTGTAATAGCAGTAACTGCAGTGAACAAAACTTTCAATAATATCTTCTGTAGGAATGCAACAGTAATTAGATAATGATGTTAATGGGAAAAAAATTCATAAACAGAGAAGTAATTTGGCAATGATAATTTGTAAAGGACATGCATATTTGGCTTATGCACAAGACAACATGTTTGTCAGAAACTATATTGTCTATAATTTTAAATAATATTAGCCTTTGGGTAAAATGCCTAAAGAAAGCATTAATTTGACTTATGTTGATTTATTTATTATTTCTTGGTTTTTCAATACAGAGTTTCTGTGTAGCCCTGGCTATCCTGGAAGATAGGCTGTACTGTGTAGACCAGGCTGGCCTCAAACTCAAAGAGATCCACCTGCCTTTGCTCACAGTGCTGGTATTAAGGGTGTGTGCCACCACTTCATGGCTACTTACAATGTTTTATAATTAGGGAAATACAAACTATTCTCAGTCAAATCACAAGGGAACATCAAGTAAACCTAAGATGACAAATATTCTATAGGTGTTCGGTATTCTTCAAGAATATCAATGCCAAAAAAAGACTGATAATCGTTCAAGATAAAAGAATGCTGATGGAATGGCTAAGATCAAAAACACTGATGATAGATTATGCTAGAGAGGCTGCGGAGTAAGGGAAACACTCCTCCACTGTTGGTGGGAGTGCAAACTTGTACAACTTTGAAAATCATTGTGTCAGTTTCTCAGAAAATTGGGAATCAATCTATCTCAAGGCCCAGCTATACTAATCTTGGACATATACCCAAAGGATGCTCAATCATACCATAAGGATACTTGCTTAGCTATGTTCATTGCAGCTTTATTCATAATAGCCAAACCTGGAGAAAACCTAGATGTCCCTCAACAGAACTCAAAAGAAGAATGGATAAGGAAAATATGGTACATTTATATGATGGGAGTATTACTCAGCTGTTTAAAAAAAAAAAAAAAAAAAAAACCCTTATGGAATATGAAATGGATGAAACTAGAAAAAAAATTCTGAGTGAGATAACCTAGACGCAGAAAGGCAAACATGGTATTTACTAACTCATAAGTGGATGTTAGGAATAAAATATAAGAAACCTAAAATTCAAAGCCCCACATAGGCTAGAAAACCAGGAGGGCCCAAAGAAGGATGCATGGATTTCCCTGGGAAGGGGAAATACAGATCTTCTATGTAAAGGGGGGGATAGCGGGGATAGAAACATGACAACTTGAGGAAGCTTGTTGGGCAGGCTGAATGCAGGAGGCAGGTTATGGGCAGGATGGAGGGGGAGAGTAACAAAAGAGATCTCTTCATGGGGGGGAAGGGGATAACATTTCACTGTTAGGAAGAAACCTGGCACCAGGGAAGTGGCCAGGAATCCACAAGGATGATCCCAGCTAAGACTCCTAGCAATAGTGGAGAGCATGCCTGAACTGGCCATAGACTGTAAGCAGATTGGTGACTACCCTATTCATCATCAGAGATACTCTATCTAGTAACTGATGGAAGCAGATGCAGATATCCACAGCCAAGCACTGGGCTGAGCTCCTGGAGTCTTACTGAAGAAAAGGGAGAGGAATTGACCAAGCCAGGGATGTAATGATGGAGTAACTCACAAAGACAGTTGACCTGTGCTCGTGAAAACTCATGGACCAGCAGTTAGGGAGCCTCCATGGGAACAACCTAGGACCAGTGCATGTGTGTGATAATTGTATAGCTTGGTCTGTTTGTAACTCTCCTAGCAGAAAGATTAGGACCTATCATCCCTGGTGTTTAGCTGGCTTTTGGGAACCTGTTCGCCATGCTGGATTACCTAGCCCAGCCTTGATGCAGGGGGAGGAGCTTGATCCTTTCTCAACTTGATGTGCCATTTTCAAACCCACAGGAAGCCTTCCCCTTTCTGAATGGAAATGGAGAAGTGGATGGTGAGGAGGGTAGATGGGAATGGGGTGGGGGTGAGGCCAAGACTGGAGGAAGGAGGGGAAACTGCAGTCCATATGTAAAATAAATGAAAAAGATATTTTAAAAAAATAATGCTGATGGCTGGACTTGTTAGCATAGGCTGGTAACACTTGGAAGGCTTAGGCAAGAGGCTCTTGAGTTCCAGGTTAGACTGGGCTTCTACACAGTGAGACCCTGGGACTTACACCAGAAGAAAACAATGTCATAAAATACATTTTGGAAAAAATGGACACTATGAAATATGAATTACAGACTGTGGAACTACACCGTGGTCTTTTTTTTTTCTTTTTCTTTTTGAGACAGGGTTTCTCTGTGCAGCCTTAGCTGTTCTTGACTGTCCTGGGAACTCATTTTGTAGACCAGGCTGGCCTTGAACACAAGATCTGCCTGCCTCTGTATCCCCAATGCTGGGATTAAAGGCCTGTGCCCCACAGCTTGTCAACAATTTAATTTAATGAATACTCTTTTCACAGAGTAGTACCCTTGCTTTTAGGAAACACACTAAAATATTGAGTAAAAGAAGGAGAATAAAATATGCAACCTATTTTAAAATATTTCAAAAAGGAAAATAATTACAAATGTAGAATTATAATAAAACTGATAAATGTGGTTAAGGAATATACAGGTATTCTCTGTATTATTTTTGCATATTTTCACTGAATTTAACATAATTTCAAGCTAAGAAATTAAAACCCCACTATTATCTAACAAAACAATAGAACTTTAAAACTGAGATCTCATCAAGAGTCTAGAGTCAATCCACTCTCCTTTCCACAGTGAGGGTATTATGAATCAAATGAGGACAGTATCACAGCACCAGCACCATCATCAGTCAAGAACAAAATTTGACCTAAATAGGGACTCTACAAAAATTTGGGATACAATTCTCATATAAATCAACCACTTCCATAAATAAATAAATAAATAAATAAATAAATGAGCTAGGGATCTATCTTAGATGTAGAGTTCTTTCTTGCCTAGTATATGCAAGGCCCTTAATTCCATCCCAGCACCGTAAAACAAAAAGAAAAGGTGGTTTGCAATATCCAGTAGCACTTAGTACATTCACAAGATTATACAACCATTAACTATACCTAGTTCAAAGACATTTTCACTTCTCCAAAGGAAAACTCACAGTCATCAAGCAATCATTTCTGGTAACCATTTCTCCTTAGCAATCACTCATTTTCTATCAGATTTCTTTCAATTATCACAGTATTTTCAAACACTATCTACAAGAAGCATATATCCATGGATTGTTTAACTGCATTTCTTATATTTTTGGTTTATTAGCCTAGCCTTTAATGGCTGAGCCATCTCTTCAGCCCTACTGCATTTCTTTATATGGTTGGAAGTTCTTAATGAATACATTATGTTTAGATTATGGCTTTATTAGTTAACAGGCAAATAAAATACTTCCACCTTTTTTATACTTTAAAAGAAATGCTGTATATTCAAAACTATTCCTATCATCAAGACAATGCAGGGAATGGTTCCAAATAAAAGAACACTAAAGGTCAGGCATGGTGGCGCATTTGTGAAATCAACACTGAGGTTATTGGAGCCAGGGGCTTGATGTGTAGCTCAGGCTGGCCTCTAACTCATCTTCATACTTGATCCTCTCCAAGTGCTTGATTATGATCAGCTCATGCCTTCGTTTAATCATTATAAATAATAATGCTATAAACAATTTGTGTTCAAATATCAGTCCGAGTATCTGATTTCTATTTTGGAAGGCTAACTTTAAAGAGACTGCCAAAGTCTTTTCCATACAGAAGAGCACTCTTTCCTATGTCCACATCCTCCACAGCCTTATCAACTTATCAGGTGGTTTTGTTTTTAACCACAGCAAATCAAACACTTATGAAGTAGTATCACACTGTGATTCATTATTGTGTGTGTTCGTGCTCTGCACAACAACCTCAGTCAGGGCCTAACACAAGCTAGACCAGCATTACCACAGAACCCCACCCTGCAGCCCCTTGCTGAGTCTGATTTACATTTCAGTACTAACTAAAGACTTTCAGTGTCCTACAAATGCTCGTTCTCCACCTGTCACTTATTTGGATGTTAAATTTTTGATCCACTTTTCAATTAGGTTTTTGTCTTTTTGAGTTACAATAAGGAGTATCAGGTATCTAGTGTATCTACATACATACATACATACATATCAAGTATCCCAAAGTGTCATCCTTAAATTAAGACCCTAAAAAAAAAAAAAAAAAAATGAGGATTTTTTGGAAATTATAATTTAACTTTGATTTGTGCAAAATGTAATGAATATACGTTTAATTGTCAACAAAGCTGTCTTCAGAAAGGTTTATCTACTTTTTCATTTGTCTAGTTTACCTCGTGTGTTTTCTAGTTTACCTCATAAGTCCCAGACAACATATTACTTTACCCTTATATACATATTTGTAATAGGTGATGGTTTTTAAAATTTTTACGTTAGAACATTATCACATCTAACAAAAGTAATGTATTTCCTTAATCTAATATCTAGTCATTTTATTTTTCCCATTGTCTCAAAAGCAGTTGCTTATAGTTAAAGTTTCTAGATATTTAAAGAAGCACCCCCGCCCTTTTTTTTTTTTAAAGGGTCATGTACTTTCTCACAAAGGCTTGTCCATTCAGAGGAAGTGCTAGTTCATAACAGGTGACAAATGGGGGTGAAGGACAAGGAAATGGAAAAAGTGACCATTGGGTTATGTAGTAAGCCACCAGACAGATAATGGAGTCACTGAATATGTGTGTTTAGATTTGTGACTTTAAAATCCTAGATTGATATGTAAGGTTCTTCAATCCCTCGAAGCACCCAATTATTTTGCCACATTTCAGTCCAGTTGTCCATGGTTCCTAATACCCTGTCTCAAAAAAAAAAAAAAAAAATCAAAACTAAGTAAGTTTCTTAAAAGTTAAAAAGATGGCTCAGTGGTTAAGAGCACTAGCTGTCCTGAGTTTAGTTCAAGTACATGTCAATCAGCTCACGACTGCCTGTAACTCTATTCCAAGGTATCTGACACCCACTTCTGGCCTCCTTGGGTACCTGAATACAAGTGACAAACATTCACAGGGACAAAAAGTGCATGCCCTTTGCATTCTTTAAACCCAGCACTCTGGAGGGAGAGGCAAGTGGCTCTCTTTGAGTTCATGGCCAGCCTGGTCTACATATTGAGTTCCAGGATAGCAAGAGCTATGCAGTGGGACCCTGCATTCGTCACACACACACACACACACACACACACACACACACAATTAAGTAAATATTTAAAGAAAAATGTTTCCCAGATGGGTGTGGTGGTGAATGCTTGTAATTCCAGCAGAGGCAAAAGGACTACAAAGTTGGAGGCCAGACTGTACTACACATCAAGTATTCTAGGTCAGCCTTAGCTACACAGGACACTATTTAAAAAAAAAAAAAAAAAAAAATTCTCAGACCATCAAAACAAAATGTTTCCTATATAAATTTTATCTAAATTATAGTTCTAAATCAAATGACAAATCTCCCAATTTTTTGTTAAGCACTTTATAACTTGGTATATAGAGATTGTTTTAAACAGGATACCCATACCACTGACCATAAAGAAGCTTCTTGCTAGTTTCCATAGCTCTTGTTTTCCAAGTGTTATCAATGAAACATTTATTATTTATATCATGCTGACCCCCCCCAAAAAAAAACTTTACCTTACTTGATGTATACCTGTGCAGTTGTAGGCTCTTTCCTAAATCAGTTTTCTAATTTGCAAACTGCAGATGAGCCCTCTATATCACTGATGCCTAAGAAATTTCTCCCAAAGCACTGGCTATGACTTACACTTTACTATGTCAGGATATGCATGATTCTATCTTACCTGGCCCTAGAAACTGGCACCCTCGTGCCCTGACAGCAGCCCACAGGTTGGCAGACAGTTGCTGAGGGTTCTGGTGCTGCAGGATCAGTTCTGTCACAGTTCTTTCTCCTAGTGAACGGGCAGCTCGCATAGCTCTGACGCGACCTTCTTCCTCCACCAGTTGACAGTTTACCAGAGTAACTAGCTTCCTTTGCATTGGACGACTCAGGGCACTCTGGTTCAAACTAGCTACACCTTTTAACAAATGGAGACAAAAGAAACTCCACATTAATTTAAAAAAAAAAAAAAAAAAAAAAAAAAAGGCAATTTTCATTTCCTGTATTTAATTATTAAACAATAGTTCTTTCTGAGTATCTTGATAATTTGACTTTTCTAACTGAATATTGAGTCCCTGTTTATTACCATTCTGTAATAATAAAGAGCCTAGTTCTTAAATACTTCAGATTTCATTTAAGTGTCTTGTTCTATAGGCTGGATATGTTCAAAGAGTATACTGTGATTTACTTTACTCCTGCCTTTAAAAAAGTATCTGGAAATAAATTTACAGACAAATGAATATAAATTTAAACCTCAAAATGTAACACTTAATAATGGTTTTAAAAAAAATATTGCACACAAGAAATGTATGGTGGGGGTGCATGCCTTCAATTCCAGCATCTCAGAGGCAGAGGCAGGTGGATCTCGGTGAGTTTGAGGCCAGCCTGGTCTACAAAATGACTTAAGTGACTTCCAAGATAGGCAGTGCTACACAGAGAAATCCTGCCTTGAGAAAAAAAAAAAAAAAAAAAAAAAAAAAACCACCAAAACAAAAATAAAAGAGAGAAATGTGTAACACTGCTTTAATGTGGTTCATATTATATTCCCTTCACTTGAACCTACTCAGGGTCCTGCTCAGAAATCCTCCCCTCTTCTATATCATACATTTTTTTTTCCCTCTGCTTGATTATTTCCATCAGCAAAATACTTAAGAACAAGTACGCAACCATTCCACTTATCTTAAAAATGTAAGCTTTTTTTTTTCTTTTGCTTTTGAAGACAGAGTTTCCCTGTATAGCCTTTGAAGTCTTTGGCTGTCTTTGAACTCACTTTGTATCTGTAGACCAGGCTCACCTTGAACTCAGAGATCCTCCTGCCTCTGCCTCCCAAAGTGCTGAGATTAAAGACTTGCACCAAGACAGTTCTGCTTTATAAACAGATTTTTAAAAAATGATCTCTGTTCCTTTACTAGTTGTCTTTTTTACTTCCTTGTGTAGTAATCTTCTATTATCTGCCTTTCTTCCTCACTGATCCTATTTTAGTAGATACTCTGAATAAATAGCCTATATGCTATGTAACCCAAGCTACCTTCTGCCTGGCTATCTTATACATTTTCTATTATACACTATTTCCAACATCTTACTTCAAAAGTATGGAAAACTTATTCCAATTCAAGGTTTTGCCACACTATTGTTTACACCAAACTGCTCATCAAGACAATTATATCTACTTTTCTAAATCCACAGCTAATTCTCAATCCTTATCTGACTTTTCAGTAACATTAAATATGGATGACTTTAGTCTTTAAAGCACTTTATTTTGGTTTCCAGAACATTCCATTTTCTTAGCTTTCTTCCTTCTAGTATCCTTTGATAGTAGTTTTTAACCCCCAACTCTGATCTACCAGCAATAAAGAGACTATCTTATAAACTCATTAACACAGATGATTTCATCCAGTCTCATTGTTCCACAAAACAATCATATTAGAATAATCCCCAAAGTTACAGACCATGTACCTCATGCTTAATTCATAACTTATATAACCACTAGCAACTCAATCACAGCTAAATGAATCTTAGACGTCTCAAACTTAATGTAACCAAAACTGAACTTGAGCTCCTTACCCAAACCTAATCTACCTCCACTATTCCAAAAGCGGCAGCAACTCTCTTTGCAGGTACTTAAGCAAACTTCAGAAGTTACATTTGCCTCTTCTGCTCTTTCTCTCAAATTCCAAATCTAGGGAATATTCTTGCCTTACCTCCAAATGGTACCAAGCTCCAGTTTTACTAACTGTGCCTCAATTGTTTAACTGTTCACTAATCCTTTTGACCTCTATACAGTCTCAAGAGAACAGCCGACTCTCTTTCCAGCTCTCTTTGCCCGTTCCTTTCCTGCTGTTCCCTTGGGGAAGACAGGACTTTTCCTGTCTCCCTCTTCTCTTCTGTCCTCTCTGTCTCTAACACTTTATCTCTTTTCTCTTCCCTTTTCCCTACCTCCCTTTCTAATAAAACTTCTCACAAAAAAAGAGACAACAGCTGAAGTGATCTTTTTTTTTAACTTATTTCTTACATCCAATCCCCCTCCCCATCTTTTTTACCCCCCCTCCACACACACACATCTGCTCCTCAGAGAGGATAATGCCTCCCATAGGAAGTCTACTAAGTCTGTCCATCACCTCCTTGAGGCAGGACCAAAGCACATTCCCCACCTCCCCACACCCATGTCTAGGCTGAGCAAGGTATCTCTCCATATAGAATGTGCCAAAGTGATCCTTTTAACATTAGTTGTTATGTCATTACTCTGTTCAAAACCACTCCCCAACTTTGCTCAGAGCAAAAGCTCAAGTCTTTAAATGGTCTGAAAGTCGGTGTACACCTTGCCTGATGATCTTTCATCTTAACTTTTCTTGTAATGCTATCCTTACTCACATTACTCCAAGCACACTCTCCTCTTGCCACAGGGACAATACACTATATAGCGATTCCTACTGACTAGAAAATACTTTCCCAGGATCTACCTCAGTACCCATCTCATCTCTTTTACCTCAATTCAATTTCAAGAACTACATTCAAACCAAGAACTTCACTAGATATTCTTAAAACCTCTTTTAATCTTCTCACCCTGACATTTTAACCTGTGTATTTTCTCTTTACACCAATTACCATTTATACTATATAACCTAATTCTTCATGCTGTTTATTATAGTTTATCCTTTTACAGATACAAGACAACACATAGGTTCAAGTTGTGTTTTCCTGTTTACTAAAGTGTATCAAGCATCCTAAGTCCACACTTTATTAATTAATAGGTACAAAATAAATATTTGATTCATTCAATTACCATTATATCTGTAAAAAAAAAAAATCACTAGCTAATCACCAGAAAAGCAATGATAAATTACAATTCTGCTTTTGCCAAAGTAATGAATAATTTATTATAGTTATATACCCAATCCAATAGACTGTGGACTCCATGACAGGCAGTGACTCTAGCCAACATTAAAAGCTCAACACTTAACATTTGATTGAGTCATTTTTAGTTTTTAGTTTTATTTCCCCCCCCCCAACCACACCCCCTCACACACAAGATTTCTCTGTAGCTTGGGAGGCTATCCAGGAACTCACTGTGTAGGCCAGGCTGGCTTCAAACTTGCAGAGTTCTGCCTGTCTCTGCCTCCAGAGTGCTTGGATTAAAGGTGTGAACTACTACCAGCTGGCCTCAACAAAGTCTTACACACTAATAAAAATGCCACTTACAAACTTACCTTTTCCTCCACTTAGTGGTTTTAAGTAGAGTGCCAAATCTTCAACACATTTTTTTGCCACTTCATAGTGTTTATTCTCACCTAGATTACTTAATTTTATTGACTGATGATCTGGTACCTAAAAAATAAAAAATTGCCGAGATACACTCATTTAGTTCATGCAGCTTCTCTTTAAAAATCTGCTAATAATGTTGGTGAGTATAAAATTGTTATACAAAGATAATATCTAAGCCATTTAAGTGAACTAAAAATGAAGCTGGAAAATTAATAGTATTTTGTCAATGTTAATCTTCAAAACAAAATTAAGAAAAAGTCAGGGATTCTGCCTGCACCCCATACCATTTAGTACTGACTTCTACATGATATACTTATTAAATTTGTAATTTATGATCTATATTCCCTTGACAGAATATATTCACCAGACATATATAACTCGATGAGAATTCCCAACTTGTATATGTGAGGCCCCTGGTCTAATCCCTAGCACCAGAAGAATAAAAAATAAAACATGGGTAAACTTGAAGTCCTGCTTCTCCTATGTGTGACCTTGAAAAATTATTTAATCGGTTCATATCAATTTCCATAATTTGTAAAATGATGATGTTTCATAATGTTATAAAAGTTCAATTCAGTCCAATACTGACATTTAAAGAATATTTCTCACATGTCTACACTATGGAACAATCAATAATCAAAAATGAAAATGTCTTGTCTCAAAGAATTTAAATGCTACAGAGATAAGAGACAGCCAATAAATAAACATATAAATGACTACTATTTTAGAAAGTCATAGGGGAAGTCCTTCTGTATATGTTGATGAATAAAACACTGTTTGGCCAATAGAGGTAGGAAGATAGGCAGGGCTAGGAGACTAGAAGAATTCTGGAAAAGGTAGGCAGAGAAACAGAGACTGCAGAGATGCCATGTAGCTACCAAAAGAGAATCAGGTCTGGACACATGGAAATACACAGATTAATAGACATGGGTTAATAATTAAGGCAGAAATAGCCAATAAGAAGCACTTGCCATCAGCCAACAGTTTTATAATTAATATAGCACCTGTGTGTTTAATTGGGAAACTCCAGCAACAAAATGGCGCCAACACACAGAGAGAGGTTTTCCTATGTAAAACCTGACAATAACTTAAAAAGGGTTCTAAAAACAAAAAAACAGAGGCAAGCACAGCTTCTTGGTAGCAGCATTTTCTCAGGTAGGCTCTGTTTGCTAGAGACAAGCAGAGGCTCACAGCTCCTTTAAGGGAGGCTTCCTGACTCATCATTAGCAGCAAAAACTGCACAGCTCTTTTAAGAGGCTCTGATATCAATTAAGTGGTGTTTGTGAGCGGCTGGCAACATGCTGCTTGATGGTTATATAGACCGAGGTGGTGGGCACAGGGTCCAGCGTTAGTGGTTAATGTACCCCCACTATATTGGAAAGCCAGAGGCTAAAACAGCCACTGTTTTAATTTTAGCAGGTAAAAGACTTGTAGCCAGAAAAAGACAGAGGTACACAATAAAGACAGATTCAGATGACGAAAAAACCTCCAAGGGGTTTAAAATGTGTTTACAAATATACATAGGTTTGGGAGAGAAAAGAAAAAAAAAAGTGGTTAAAAAAGAAATAGAGTAGCTGGGTGTGGTGGCCCATGCCTTAATCCCAGCACTCGTGAGTCAGGCAGCTCTCTGTGATTTCAAGGCCAGCCTGGTCTACACAGTGAATTCCAGGATTGGCAAAAGTACACCTGTAAGTCAAAACTCATAATTATGTTAGGTAGGTATTCTAGATATACAGTGATATATTTGAGATGGATAGATATTCTTCAAACCTATCAAAAACCTACACAATATGGCATTTAAAATGGTTGGGGCTTTTCATGACAGTGACCCAACTGCTCCTGGCAATACCAATTATTTCTGAGAGGAAGATGGGCATCAATGGAGTTTGTTTTCCCACATTGCAAGAGTAGCCATTTGGACAAGAAACTGCTCTTGCCTGGACTGTTTGTATGCTGTATAAATAGGACATACAGGACCCACAGGAAAGTGACTGCTGAAAAAAGATGGGACAGTCATGCAGGCTCCCTGGTTCATGGAAAAGTCTGCCAGATATTCTGTAGGACACAGAAAAAAGACTTGACAAACTGCCAATACAGGCAGACAGTTTCAAATTTCCTAATTCACTGAGAAGTCTGTCAGACATATTATGGCCTATGGGCTGAAGATGGATGCCCCAACATTACATAGAAACGTTGGGTGACTGTCCAGGCAACAAGATGCCTCTGTCACTTCTAGAGTTTATATCCTTCTGAGGTCTTTGATGGAGTTGAAGACAGATAGTTATGGTTATGGTTTTCCTTAGTTATGATAAAAGAAATACATAGATTAATAAAAATGAGTTAATAATTAAGACACAGCTAGTCAATAAGACACTCTAGCCATTGGCCAACAGTTTAATAATTAATGTAAGTCTTTGTGTGCTTATTTGGGGCTCAAGGGTGTTGGGAACTGGCAGGACAAGAAACTCCAGTAACAAGAAAGTGATCAATGAAATTATACCACGAACATATGTGGAAGAAATATGGAGAGGGCCGGGTAGTGGTGGCATATACCTTTAATCTCAGTAGAGGCAGGCCTGGTCTACAGAGCAAGTGCCAGGCCAGGCTCCAAAAACTACAGAGAAATCCTGTTTCAAAACAACAAAAAATATAAAATACAGAGAGGGCTGGAGAGATGGCTCGGTGGTTAAGAGCCCTTGATGCTGTTCCAGATGACCCAGGTTCAATTCGTAACACCCATGTTGGGCAATTCAAATGGCCTACCACTCCAGCCTTAGGGACCTAACACCATCTTTAGAACATTTACATGCATGGGATATTCAAGCACACAGACACACACAAATAAAGATAAGTATTTGGGGTTGTGGCATACCTACATATAGATATATACATAGACAGACATACTTAAACAATTAAAAATAATAAAAATAAATTTTAAAAAGGAAAGAACTGGACAAGGGTTAGAATTTACTATAAAGTCAGGATAAAGCTCCCAGAGAGCTGCAACATTTGTAAATACTTCAATATAGTAAGGGAGGAATCATTCTAGACAAAGACATTTTTTAAATCTCTATGCATTACTATACATAGCATATTTGAGAACTGGTTAGGAGGTCCAGATAAGTAGAGATAGGGAAGAGATGAACCTGAAAAGATGTATGTCACAATGCACACATCCATAGACTATTTTAAGCACTATATGAAATGATTATTCCATAATAAATGGGGGAATAAGATACTGTGCAGAATTTGTTACTGATATAATTTATTTTATATATCCAATTGATAATTATATCCTATACCAAATGAAGTTATAAACATCAACAAAGCTTCCACCTGAGAGCTTTAGTTGGTTCCTTTCTATTTAAACCTTTGATTACATTTTTCAGCTGACTTAATGAATACTGGTATGTCCATACACAAACTGTTTCTCAACAATCATAGCACTTATTTTCATAAATTCTGGCCTTGCTATTGAGAAAACAAATGTATAATTTTAATGGGACTCAATATTTTGCCTAAGAAATATTTTGCATTAAGAAAAATACTTTTAGGAACACCTCACAAAAAGTAAATAAACTGATACCTTTTAGGTTTCAACTACCATTCAATATGCTCTGTACTGGCTAATGAACTAATTTTGACAACTTATACACTAAATCAGTAAAAACACTGGACACTTACCTGGGCTCCAACTAACTGAAGAAGTGCAAAGTTGACAGGGAGCACATCAATGTCTGTGTTTATGGCAGTTTGGTCAAAAGGACACGCTTTTCGGTGAAGTTTATTCAAGCAGGTCTTGCAAACTGTATGTGAACAACCTAAACTGATGGGTTTGTGCACATTCTCATCAAATTCATTATAGCAGATTGGACAGGACAGAAACTCTGTCCACTGAGCTGCCTGCACAGGCATTGTGGAAGCTGATGCTCAGGTTAGCAGTCTAGCAGATCATTATTTTGTTGTGTAGTGTTTTAAAAGCTGCAAATAGACAAAAGTAAGAATTAATACATTAGTCATCCAGTTAACTGTTAAAATCGACTACTATCACTGCAGAATCTGAAACATTTCTGAATGTAAGCTTTAGATATCGCTATAAAAATAAACAACAAAACTATATGTTGAATTGTGGTGACATTTTGTTTATGCTGTAATAAAGCTTGTCTGAAGATCAGAATGCAAAGATAAGCCACTAGTTAGCCATAGAGGCCTGGCAGTGGTGGCCACACCTCTAATTCCAAACTTGGGAGGCAGAGGCAGGCAGATCTGAGTTCAAGGCCACCCTGGATGACCCAGATCCAATCTGTCTAAAAGAGAAACAGAGTTCACAAAGGTGATCCCGCACTTGGGAATCATATGCCTTTAATCCCAGCACTTGGGAGGTAGAGACAATAGTGATATGGCTGGGTGGAGAGAGGATAGAAGGCAGGAGGCAAAAAAGTCCTAGTCTGAGGATAGGATCAATCCTTTGTTCTGAGCATTGCTAGAGGTAAGAACTCTAGTGGCTGGCTACTCTGCTTTTCTGATCCTTCACCTTTTACCTTGAGTTTTTATTATTAAGGCAAATTACAATTTGTGCTACAGTTAATTTTGAAAATTGACCCAGAATCAATTTAATATTATTCCTTTCAACTAAACTCCATTGACTGTTCATGTAATAGTAAACAAAACTTCTGTGTATTTTTGTGACCAAAAACATTTTCACATTCTATTTTTCATTATAATTAATGTTTTTATTTTGAACTAATGTGTATTCATGTGTAGTATGTGGGCCCATGAATGCTATGGCAAGCTAGCCAGTTTTCTGCTTCCACCATGTGGGCTCTGAGAATAGAACACAGGTTGTCAGGTTTGCCAGTAAACATCTTTACCATCTCTCTTGCCTTCCACATTCTGTCTTTAAGAACACAAACTACAGTGGGGCCATGGTGGCACACACCTTTAATCACAGCACTTGGGAGGCAGACAGATCTCTGTGAGTTGGAGGCCAGCCTGCATCTACAAAGCTACACAGAGAAACCCTGTCTCGAAAAATAAAAAAGAACACAAACTACTAGACTTAAAGTTTGAAGTGTTTTCCTTGGATAACCACTACCTCAAAATATACTGATATGGTTTAATAGCTAGTAAACTTCAGAAACTATTGACCAAAACAACACTGCAGAGATGGGGATGTAGTTCAGTCACACAGTGTCTGCTCAGCAGGCAGGAAGCCCCGATTCAACTCCTCAAATCACAATAACAAAACAAACAACACTTTACACTTCAGTGTGAAAACATCACCTTAACACCTAAAGGAGCAAGTGTATGGTTAGGATATGCCTCAAAAGCTCAGTGAGTTACTACAAATTTACATACAAGTCTATGATGACTCAGGTGTTGCCTATAAATGAAAGAATGATGCCAAACTAAAGCAGAGAAAATATTGTCTAGGTCAGTAAGATGGCTCAGCAGGTAAAGGCACTTGATGCTAAACTTTTCAACCTGTGCTCAATCTGTAGAAGGAGAGAACCAACTTTCACAAGCTGTCCATTAATACGCAGTGTTATATTCAACTAACTCCACACAAAGTAAAAAAATACCTAAAATTGTCATAGTTCATTATAATACTTTTGACAAAAGTGTGTGTCTGGGGCTGGAGAGATGGCTCAGAGGTTAAGAACACAGGCTATTCTTCCAGAGGTCCTGAATTTAATTTCCAGCAACCACATGGTAACTCACAATCATCTATACTGGAATCTGGTGCCCTCTTCCAGCCTATAGGCATAAAGACACTGTATACATAATAAATAAAATAAACATTAAAGAAATAAATAATAAAAAGTATGTCTGTATCCAAAACTTGTCAAACCCAATAGAGTTGGCTTAGGGAGAGGGGGAAAAAAAAAAAAAAAAACACTATTCTCTTCAAATAATTCTAAGCAGAAAAAAGGAAAATATAAAATTTCTATCTTTGCACTGATTATAGTAGGCAAATAGAAAATTAACTGAGAGAATCATCTTATGTATTCCCTTCTTTGTTTAATAGTTGCATAGCATTTAGTAAAGCAAGAATCAAAATCTAAACTATACTATTTAATTCATAAATTCTCTAGATTTTCCATTTTAAAACTATGTAAAGCCAAGGTGGTGGTGACACATGCCTTTAATCCCAGCACTAGTAAGAGAGACAGAGGCAGGCAGATCTCTGTGAGGCCATCCTGATCTACAGCCTGATCTATAGATCAAGTTCCAGGACTGATTCCAAAGCTATATCCAAGACTGTTACACAAAGAAACAATGTCTCAAAAAACAAAAATCTTATATCTCAAAAAAAAAAAAAAAAAAAAAAAAACCTGACAAAGTCCATCAGGTAAACAACAAATCTAGGTATGTAGAGTAAGTGAACAGCCAATACTTTATTTCATACAAATGTTTGCCAACCAAATATTAGACATACAAAACACTTGAAAGAGTAATAATCATCAGGCTAGAGAAACATGTTACAAGGAGTACTCCCCAGGACCCCAAGAGACAAACTAACAAAAACTCTAGTGGCTTTTACTGTGCTTTAGTATTTTTAAAAAATCAAAAATGCTTGGTAAACATCAATTACAGGCTTTATTATATAAAAAGGCATCCCATACAATGCACACATCTTCACTAAACAGCTCCAATGCAGAAAATATATAGATGCTTTCAGGCTGCAAAATGATAAACCCAGACAAAAAAGATAACTTTCATCTTAAATCTACAACTGGAGCTCTGAATTGGTAACATGAAGTGATATTTCTCAGACAGATAATAACTCTGGTCAGTGAGAGTCTCACAGGCTGCTTGGCAACAACAAACTAAGAACTAACTCTGCTTAGTTTCCCTAAACCATTAAGACAGTGCTCCAGAGGCCTGACAGCACTGTATATGCATACAAACACACACACACCAGAGCTTTTAATAGTGCTGACAAGTTCAGTTCCTATTTAGAAACTAAATGTCTCTAACATGTAAAGACATCAAACTTTGACAATAACTATCAAGTTTTTTTCCTGCCAGATTCTAGCAGCAAACTTAAGAACTAAAACTAAACTCTACTTTTTATGACATGATTCTTAAGAACAAAAGTTTTCCTTTAGAACTGTAATCACTAAATTCTAATAAATCCATTAGTTCATTAGTGACTCTCTATTAAAAGGTACTTTTTCTTCTGGTTTTTTGAGACGTGGTTTCTCTGTGTACCCCTGGCTGTCCCAGAACTTACTCTGTACATCAGGCTGACCTCAAATTCACAGAAATCAGACTGCTTCTGTCTTCAGAGTACTGGATAAAAAGTGTGTGCCACCATGGCAGGCAAAAGGTACTCCTTAAGCTTATCTACAAAATACTCTTACAACTACCCGAAATGATAATCTATTATTTTTATATTTTTAAGAGAAGCATATAAATAAACAATGGGGAGATAAGTATATTAATTTATAAAATGTTTAGGCTTATAGTGATACCTTTAAACAATGACTTGACTAATTGGATATCTTAATTGGGCTAACTTTTATTTTTTTCAAGACAGGGTTTCTTTGTGAAACAGTCTTGGCTGTTTTGGAATTCACTCTGTAGACTAGGCTGGCCTCGAACTGAGATCCACCTGCCTCTGCCTCCCAAATGCTTGGATTAAAGGTCTGCACCACAACTCAGTATCTACTGCTAACATTTATAGTGACTAGAAGTACTTATCCCTAAATATATTTCCCAAATGGATTAAAAAGCCAAAAGGTTTAGATGTCTACAGAGATTGAGAAACTAAATGACTCTAAAATGTAAAGAAAAGCTCTAATCAAACTTTGACAATAACTGTTAAGTTATTGAAAAAGCATGAAATAAAGCACAGAAGGAAAAGACCAAATCAGAAGTGGAACCTGAAACAGTCTCAGTTCTCCAGGGTGAGTTCCAGTTGCTGTTGAGTCCAAACTTATGATATACAAGAGTAACAGAATTGTCTTATAGATGCAAATTACAAACTTCTTTACCAAATAAATGGCATACCAGCTAAACACTTTTATTTGCAGTTACTTATATTACACAATCAGTTCAGGACCATAACAATTAATTACTTTTAAAAAGTCAGAGTATGAGTGTATATGACTTTTTCACTGGATTGTGTTAACATAGTATTTCATAATTATTTTTATAAAAGCATACACTTAAAAGTTAATTCTGTTGCTTCAAAACAAATCATTGTTTACATTTGAGCATTATAAGCTACTGAAATGGACTATACCAGTACTTTCCTATATAGAACCTATCAAAGTAATTAGCTTTGGTCAGGGATGTAGTTCACTGGTAGAACACTTGCCTAAGGTTTGTGAAGCTTTAAATTCAATCCCCGGTACTGCAAAACAAAACGAAACACAGCTTTAGATTTAAAATAGTACTAAAAGCATCAGAAGAAGACTTAACCTAAAAAACAAGCAAAAGCTAATGGAAATTACCTGCAAATTCTATGGCTCAGCACTCAAAACAACAGAGTTTGGGGAAAAAAAAAACTGTATTACAATGTCAAAAACATTTGTTTAAAGCTTTGAAATGGATGAGATCAAGTTTTACTCCTCAAATTATGGATTGAACCAAATTTTTAAAATAAGACAGAACTTGCAACGAATTCTAACAGGAAAAAAATTTCAATTTTAACTAACAAAGTTCTACTTCTTTAGTGATGGCAGGATTTGAAAAAATACTTTGTGATTATGTGATCTAACACTAGATAGCCTTATCTTTCTTATTACTAAAGTCCTCTTTAGCCCTCTAGTTATTCTGAAGCTAAAAGTATCAGCAAAGTTTTTGGTTCTGCATGTATTTATTTATTTATTGTGTCACTGCATGGCAGTTCATCCCTGTAAATACTCAGAAAGGTCAGGAAGGGCAAGAGAATGGACAAGTTCAAGGCTGGCCTAGGCCACACAGTGAGTTCCAGGCCACCCTGGGTTAGAATTAGAAAGCTCAAATCACAAAGTTGCAATTGACAACATTCATGCAACTGAGTGCAATTCATTTTTAATTTTCAATTAGCTTTATTTTTCCACATACTTCCTTTTTCCGACACTAGGAAGTGAAACTTCAACCCAGTCCAACCAAAAATAAGCAAGTACTTTATTACTGACAGGCATGGTAGTGTACACCTTTAGTCCCAGCACACACGAGGCAAAAGGAGACAGATCACTATGAGGTCCAGACCAGCCTGGTCTACATAGTGAGTTCTAAGACAGTCAGGGCTACATAGAGGGGACCTTGTCTCAAACAATTAAAAAAAAAAAATTAACAAAAGAACCTTGTTACAAATTTAAAGCATTCTTAGCCATCACACAATGAAGAAGGTCTAGTTTTAAATATAAAATCCTGAGTGTACAGAAAAATGCTTTTGCCAACTGGGCAGCAACAAATTAGAAACACAGAAAACATGAACAATGACCATTAAGTCTTCTTGCATGTTAGACTAACATAATAATAACAGATCAAAAGTAATTCAAAGGCTCCAATAATGAACTAGACTGCAAGTAGATTCTCAAAGAATAAGAGCCTGTTTGAATTAAGATATCTGCCTTTTTCTAAACAAGACTGGGAAATATATTTAACATCTTCTTCTAGTAATTTGCCAAACTCTGAAATTTGGAGAAACAAGAATTTCCAAATCAATGACAACAACAACATAGGGGCAGTACTGAAAAACAGACTTTAATCGGATGTGATGGCTATTTTTTTTCAAGAATTGACTGTGTTAGTAAACAACTTTAAACACGGATGTTGAAGTCAGAACAGTGATGTAGTTTCTTTAAACCAGATAAAAGTGGGAAATGGGAATCTACAAACTAATCTTAATGGTTCCAAGTCTTAGGCTGTGTATACACTTCATAAAAATACTGGACCCACAAACTAAAACATTTATTTCTTTCCTTCTGGGTCATATTATATCACTTCAGTGTGTCATTATTAGCTTTTGCAGGTTAACTAAAAGTTTTACTGGAACTTTATAAAGAGTGACTAATTAAAATGATAAGATTATTTAAACACTTTGTTTGGGATACAAAGTCACTAATCACAGTTGGTCAAGGTGAGAAAATTCTAAATAGGGTCCTAGGTAAGAGGGCAGTTGGATGAAAAAGAACTGGGGGAAATGTAAACAAAAATATGAACAGGTTGAATCACTGAATGTGATTATTTATGCCTGTGATTACTTGTGACTATTTTGGTGTGAAGGCTGTGTCTGCCAGTATCTTAAAGCTCTGGTGGTTTCAAGACTGGAAACAACAGCTACGCTTTTCTCCTTCATTCTTGAAGACTAAGGACAGAGAAAAGTACAGCTGTTTCTCTGAGAAACAAAGATGCTTTCTACCATTCTCCTAAGATGGTGGAAGAGGTCCTCAAGAGGCTTCCCCAAGGAAAATAAGACGAAAGAGGGGAAGAAACCAACAGCAGAATTCCCTGGCTGTGCTTCATGCCACAAACCCTGCGCACCCTCTCTGGTCCAGCCATCTCCTCCAGGGAGGTTAAACCCTCCCTGGGTATTGTTTGGCCAGGGTCCCTATTTACACCACGCAGCTCGCCTCCACCATCAGGGCGATGGGGTCTCGGTAAGCCCCAAGGCTGAAAGAGGAAACGCTAGGACAGGGCGAGACCTCGAGGAGCTCTTCGGAAGCCCCTCTTCCTAACTGGAGAAAGCAAAGAAGGAAGCCGGCCTCGGCTCGGGTGGGCTCCTCAGTGGTCAGGGGCGTAGCTTCAGCCGGTGTCGGAGGAAGGTGGCCATTTGAGCGTTTCGTTTCTAATCAAAAAAGCCCTACCGGAGTGAGGGGCCTCTTCAGGGCCCGGGTTCGGCCGAGTGTCAGGTGCGGCCCGCGGTTCCCAACCCTCGGGGCACCGGCGGCCACCATGCACAGGCCGCCGGGCAAAGACATCTCCCCGCCCCACCTCTGGGGACCCGGCAGCGGAGCCGGGGCCTCAGCCGCAACGTGCCCGCCCCCGCCCTACCTGAGGGGCCCGGGCGGGGTCGCTAAGGGCCGCTCCCGGGGGCCCCGCGACGGCGCGGCTCGGCGACGGAGGCGCCTCGTCTCGCCGGGGCAGAGCTCGGCGGCGGTTTCAGGGCCTCAAACTCCATCGGGAGCTACAGGGACAGCCCCGTTGGCGGCGGCGAAGGCCGCGACGGGGCCTCCTCCTCCCTCCCTCCGCCTCCTCCTCCTTCTCCTCCTCCTCACCACGGAGGCGGACCTGGAGGGATCCGGACTTAGCTCTCGCGAGAAGATACTGTTCACTTCACGCGAGATTACGCAAGCCCGGGAGTTGGGGTGGAAGGGAAGTGTAGTGGCCCCCACCACCTAAGCTGTGCATCAGTTTCCCCCTGAAGAGAGCCACCGTCGTCACATGACATGGGAGATGCTGTAAGGACTAGGCAAGCAAAAGAGACTCATGGGAAAATCCCTGCCCAACCATCTAAGCCTTGAGCTAGGCTGCTTGTGTGGTTGAACCAATGTTAAACTTTCACCGAGAAAGGCTTGTCACCTATCGAAGCAGATCCTGATACATCTGTTACATCCTACTGCACTCTCTTGTGAGAGACTGACCAGACTAGCATATAATATTCCAGTCTACAAAACATCGGGACAAAAGTGAAACGTTTGTTAGGCGGACCCACTTACCTCATCTAAAATCCCAATTGTCTCAAAAGGGAGGACCAAAATTTACAAATTTTGGCGTTTTGACTCAGAGGATTTATAGCAAACTGTAAAGTGCGAATTACCCTTTGTGTTCTTATAAATGAAGACACACTGGAAATAAGGACGAGGGACGCAACAATTAATTACTATATGCCAGGCTGTATGATGTAATATTTTATAAGCATTTTAGTTTTTACTTGTAATTCACTTAACAAAATAATACTGAAAGATCGATACTATGTAACCTTTGTTGACGACGTGCAACTGAAGAATAGAGGTTAATAATGGTCATGCCTTGTAATAGAACTCACATTTTCCAATGTGAAATGAGATGTTCATCAAAAAAAAAAAAAAAAAAAAAAAAAAAACAAAAAACCTGTGATAGTAACTTGTACATAAACTAGAATATGGAAAAGTGACTTTGATAATGAGCATTTAAAATAGCTGTGAACCTAGCAATTGAAAGGCTGGGGCAGAATCAGGCTGAGCTGCACATCAAGAATTCTCCCCACTACCCAGTATTTGCATACACACGCACCCTCCATAACCACAGCAGCTCACCACTACCTGCAACTGCAGCTCCAGGAAGGGGCTTATAGCTTCTGGCAAGTGTCACAAGAAAAGAACAGGATTTTTGTGAAAGATTCATGGCCTCTACCAATATTACTTCCACTTGTTATTCCTATTTTCATTCAATTATGCTAATCGAAAAAGAAAATTCCCCATCAAGTGTACATTTATATATTTTCAACTGGACAGTGATGAAAAAATTTAAATATACACATTTCCTAACCTACTTGTATGTGTGCATTTTCCATCCTATTTCCATTAGATATACTCTTCCATTTTATAAAGAAAACATAAATTCCCAAAATGTGGAAAACCCTGTTAAAAGTAACAATCCCATGTTCTTTTCCTATCATTCTTTATCCCAGGCATTTTGCCAAATTAATTTCAAAACCTTACATACATTGTTTGTCTACCCCCACTAAAATAGAAATCCCAAGACAGCTGATATTCTTTGTCTACTTTAAATACAGATATAAAGAAACCCAGTATGTATTTCTAAAATGACTAAATAGCAGGAGTAACTGAATCCTTGGGCTGGATAGATTCCTCAGAGGTTAATGGAGCCTACAAGTCCTGCATAGTTCCCAGACCCGACATCTAGCAGTTCACAACTGCCTGTAACTGCAGCTCTTGGGGAGGACCCAAAGCTTCCAGCAAGTATGTGCCCACACAATACTCGTAACTAAAAAGTAACAACAAACCACACGCACACACACAATTTTTAAAAAATTACCAAAAGGAAATTGAGTCATTTAAAATTCATAGTAATACATAAGCCCAAAGTTCTCCATTCCCACCTTCAGTTTATTGTTTTATACATCCAAAGGAAAGAGGAAAGGATTTTCTCTGCAACAAAATAACTAACTTTTCAGGATATTTTACATATATAAATGCAGTAAATAAAAGAGGCTCAACCCAAACATATTTTGTCATATATTATAAACAGCTAAGAAGTATTTAAAAATTAATAAATGCTATACTTTGTCATACCTGCTTATTTTAACAGATTCTACTTGGCTGGATTTTTCAGACATGTCATGCAAACAGATACTCTCCCAGGAATTTTTTTGTTTTTTGTTTTCCTGAAACAAGGTCTCTTGTAGCTGAGGCTGGCCACAAACTTAGCTATGCAATGAAGGCTAAACCTGAATTGATTCTTTTGCCACTACATCCCAAGTGCTGGGATTACAGAGAGGCATGTGCACTTCATCCAATTCCTAGGAATGTTTTGAAATCAATCTGTCCACTTAAAAGAAATAAATAGTATAAATAACAACCACTTTATAAAACTACACCTCCACAAGCAAAAATTTCAAAGTGCTCACAAAAATTTTTCAACAATCTTACAAGGCACACACCAAACTTAAACACCTTCAATCAAAATATCCTGACATCCAATATAGTAGATACTGCCTCCTTAAAAAGTCCATTTTTTACTATAGTTTACCCTCTCCACCCATCCCTAGAACCTCCCCTCCAAAACTCATTCAAGAAGGAAAATTAAGAGTACCAGTTACAAGTAAACAATTTCTCAGAAGGAAATGCTTCAAAACTATAATTAGCCATTCTTAAGTCATGTGGGAAAAGAAATTAACCACTGAACTGGGCCATTCTCCAGTGGAACAAAGTGTTCACCTTAGAAAAGACTTTGTCTCTAAGAGAGTACTCAAAAAGCAGTTTTCATAAAGACATCAATGTCTCTTCTGTTCACATGAAGAATATAAAGTTGTAGAAATTTAGACCTAGAAATCATTCTACAAATTATGAAGATCAAAGTTACTCTATATAAAATTAAGAAAAGTTGAAGGAAAGGTGACCAGTTCAATGTCAATTTGTGACTTGGGTTATAAAGTCAATTGTGTGACTTACATTCTATTTAACTCTCCCAGAGTTAAAATTCTATGTAGAGCATTATTCCCATAAAAGTATACAAAAATTGTATTTAACACTTACATGATTTTTCACAAAAAATCTTTTGTAGTACAAAATATGTTAGATCATGAAATGTGTGGATAAAATTTAAATACAGTAGAAACTCTACATAGAGCTGAGTTATGTTGAGAAATAGGACAGCATGAAAGTGAGTACTTGTAGAGAGGGAGTGATGAGCAAAAAAGGGTTAAGACCATGCTGGGGAAACCCACAGAAACAGCTAACCTGAGCAAGTGGAAGCTCACAGACCCTAGTATTACAGCTGAAGGACCAGCATAGGACCGGACTAGGTCCCCTTAACGTAGGTGTCAGTTGGGAAGCCTGGGCAGTATGGGACCTGTGGCAATGGAACCAGTATTTATCCCTACTGCATGAATGGAACTTGGGAGCCAATTCCCTATGGAGGGACACTCTCTCAACATAGATATACAGGGGGAGGGCCTGGGCCCTGATCCAAATGATATGACAGACTTTGATGATCCTTCATGTAAGGCCTCACCCTCCCCGGGGAGTGGATAGGGAGTAGGATGGGGGTTGGTGGGGAGCACAGGAGGGTGGGAGAGGGAACTGGGATTGGTATGTAAAATAAGATTGTTTTTAATTTAAATAAAAATTTATTTAAAAAAAAAAAAAAGTGAGTGCTTCCTACAGTTAGGGAATGTGATCTGCCCTGCAGTGAATTTTGAATTTAGAGGTATTCATATAAATGAGACATTATAACTAATTATAGTAGCTTTCTAAAATTAAACTACCTACCTGGTTACTGCTTAAAAAGAAAATGTATATATAGGCAATTCAAAACAGAAAAGAGACTAGGCTCAATCTCAGTTTTCAAGAAGTGAGGCAAATTCGAGACCAGCCTCACTATATAAATTGTGTTAATAGTAAAACAAAACAGATATTTTAAAAAAAATGACTTATTAATATACACATAAATGAGGCTCAAAGGCATTATGTTGGGTAAAAATGAAAATATCAAATGAGAACATACTAGAAGATTCAAGTTTTATATCATCCCAGATTTGAACAAATTATAGTGATGAACTCTCATCACTATATTTATACTTAGAGTTGCAAGGGTGGACGACAGAGGAGCAGCATAAGGGCATCTGGAAGGTGGTGGAACTGTTCTGTATCCCAACAACAAAGAATTTTTGTAAGTGTTAAATTCACAGAAATGTAACTTCTCAGAGAAAGGTCAATTTTAGTGCATGTTAACAAAAACAAAGTAAAACAAAAAACCCTAAGGAAACTGTAGAACAGATGTCATCAACAAACTGTAATATTTAAGAAAAGTAACTTTCCAATCTAAGCCAACAAAATACTTGCATTGGCCACAGAAGTCTTAACCCAACTATATTATATGTAATCACATATTCTCGTGGATATTTAAATAATGCAATCCTAAGGATATTCTGCTGGTCCCATATGAATCTAAATTGTGCTCCTTTAGTTTTAAACAATAACCTGTTGTTCTAGCTATAATCCAAGCACACTGGTTAAACATTAAAAAGAAAATTGTTAGTCCTATCTACTGTCAAAATTAATAGTACTGGACAACTCTATGCTTCCAAATCTATTTTCATGTCATTCTAACTCATTAAAGTTACTATATAGTTAGAATCAACATTATATCTCTAATCTAAAAACCACAAATCATAATCTGTAATTATTGCCAGAGGACTAATACCTAATGTTTGAGGCAATGTAGAATCCCATAAACTTAATCATTCCATTCACAACTTTGAAATTAGAAATTTAGAATGAATAAGACATAGGAAGAACAAAAATGAAAGCTAAAGATTGGTGAGGGGCACACCACCAATGTTACATGTTTAAACACAGACATGCCTAACAGAGTAATCCTATGCTTACATCAAGTTCATGATTTGACTACAGTAGATTCTGCCTTTTGAGATCAGGCCTAGAGAGTTTTTCACCACTGCTTCTGCCATGAACAGAGGTTAAGTGTTTTTTAAGAGCAGATTTGTGTTTGAAATCCATATCACAACAATGGCACTTATACGGCCGGTCCCCACTGTGTATGTTCAAGTGATCTTGAAGTGTGCTTTTAGCAGTAAAGGTCTTCAAACACACAGTACACTGAAAGGGTCTTATACCCATGTGTCCTCGAATATGCCGGTTGAGATTTTTCTTCTGTGTAAATGTTTTCCCACACTGCAAGCACAAGAACAGTTTGTGCATTTTAAGGTGTCGAAGATAGTTTTCCACATGAAGAAAGCCTCTTGGACACCTGGGGCACTGGTGTCTCAATGAGAAATTCTCATCCAGATTCTGGATCTCATTTACTGTACCATGAGCTCCATCAGAATTCTCACAAAATAACCCTTGATCTTGATTTCCAGGAACTTCTGCCACTCTGTTTTCAACTGTAGAATTGATCAATGAATGCTGTGTTTCAGAGAAATACATGCCTGCTTTCGAGGAGGTACAAGGCTGTGAAAACTGCCCATTCTCTACATCATCTGTACTGACTGATTCTACATGGAGGATACAAATTTCATTCTCTTTAAAACCACTATCCACTGTAGAGAGCTCAGGTGACTTCAGTTCCCTGCAATCTGATGCCAACCTCTCTACAGCAGACTGTATGGTGTTGCTTTCCTCTTCTTTAACATGACAATCTAGGTTTACAGGACTATCTTCTGAAATTTCAATAATCTCACAATCTCTATCAGAATTTTCTTCTTCATTCTTAACATCTGTATCCGAAGACTGACACAAGTCAGTGTGTTGGTTGTTTTTCATGGAAAGATCAATTTCCAGATACTTGGACAAAGCTTCTGTGCATTTTTCTACAATGTGAACCATCTGAAGGTAACTGGCAGCAGTCAAGTATTTCAGAAGCTCTTTCCTTTTCACTTCAAGTGCTCCCGTGTAGCAGGACAGCAATAACTTCCTTCCAACTTCTGCACTCTGCAGAATGGTGATTCTGACATGTTTTGACTGAGTGAGCAAAAACTGATCTCTCATGAAAGTGGAGCAAGCAGCCAAAATCACCTTGTGCCCCTGGAACTCAGTATCATTAATATAAATTGATACATCACAAAACAAATTCTGTTGTCTCAAGAGATTCATTTTCTGTAAGACCACATCTCCTTGCTGTTCAAACTGGAAGTGTAGAACATCAGACTCAGCAGCCATGGTCACAATCTATGTAGAACAGAGCACAAGCATCATACAGGATAAGCAATGCTTTCCCACAGTATTATGGTAAAGAACCCCCCACTTCCCAACATGTACTGGGAAAAATGAAGACCTAAATTCTACTTTGAGAACTAGTAGTGAATCTGTCCCCAAATCACCATCTATAAATCCAGAAAGTCATAATGCATTTTTATATTATCTAATAGTACATAACTTTTAAATACCAGTAATAGGCACCATTGTTCATTAGTTACAGTTATAAGAATAAAAGGAAGAGAAGGGGTGGGGGTGAGTGGTTCCGGGTGAGGGTCCCAAGTGAGTTGGGATCCCAAGGTAAGGGACCACGTAGGAAAGCATAGCAGGTTCCATAGCACATGAGTGTGACCGAGGTGGGAGGGAACAACACGCCAGGCAGATAGAGCTTAAATGAGGAGATTATTTAGAAAGGGGAGTGAGGGGGAAGGGAAGAGACATAGAGGCACCAGGAACAGAAAAGGAGACAGGGGGAGACAGAGAGAGGAAGAGAAGAGCAGGGTACCTGAAAGCAGGAGAGCCAGAGAGCTAGAGGGAGAGGGAGGGAGAGGGGGTAAAGAGAAAACAAAAAGAGCATAGTGGGCAGGAGTCTGACTTTTAAAGGGGTCCTTTACACCTGCCTGCAGACTAGTACTCATGGAACCCTGGGCTGACCAGAGTCCTGCCTGAGTGCATTCAGCCAGGAGACAGGGGCAGGCCAGGGTAATGGCTGAATCCTTATAGGCAGTGGCACAAAAAAGTTCACTTAGCATCTTAAATTAGAAACTGTAGTCTTGAAATTGTCTACCACCCACCACTATTACAAGTCCCTAGTCGTGCCTTGACCATTGTAAGGACTTCAATAGGTCTCCTGACAAAGCACTCTCTAAATATCCTTAATTACCACCGTAATTAACATTATGGTTAAAAAAGGAAGAAAAGAGAAAACAACTCTTAAGCTTTAAGTCCATTATCTCCCCTACTTCCAGGACAGACTTTTGCTCTTAGAAAGAACGCAAACTCCTTCAGGATTTCGCCCTACCCCGCCCTTTACAGATTGCTTTAGGTCCCTTTTTCATGTAGTTATCATTGTACAGATAAAAAACATTCGAACACTCCATTTGCCTGTCTATCAAATTCACGCTTCCCAACTCGTACTTTAGCGTCATTGAGCCTAAACCAGAGATTAACCAACTCCTCGTCTCCAGAGAAATCTATTGCTCCTGATTCTGAGTTCACCCAGTGGTTACAGCGGCCCACACAGTAGGAGCTGACATGAATCCGAGATGGACGGCCTGTCAACCTTCTCCGGCAGGGCACACGGTTCACCCACGCCGAGCCTCCGCAGGACAAAGTTGTGGCTGAGGCCCAGGGCGCGCCTGGCTGCATAGCGTCATCCTCCATCCTCACCCCTGGGATGTCTCCTTCACTTTTACTTACCGACTCACTAAACTGGCTTTAAGGCTTCCGCAGCAACGGCGGCAAGGGCCGGAAGATGGACCTCGGCCGGGAGGAAACGCTTCCGGTGTCAACCAGCTTTATTCTTAACTGAGGCAGTCTGGACGCCCCGGAAGGACATCCTAAACTGTTCTTTCTTCCTCACTTTGTCCGATCCTGGAATGACAGAAAAACGTCAGAATCCCAGCGAGCCGGGTCTTTTCTGGCCGTTCCGCTGAGAAGCTAATTATAGCGAATGTAGAGCGCTCAAGACTGGAACCGCAGACGATCTGAGGGGGGCACGAACAAAGGACCTCGCGCATCAGCTACCCCACTGTATCCGCCCTCCCTACCCTGCTTTTAGACAACCTGTTGCTCTGACAATGCTACTACGTGCCCAGCTCGGAAAGACTTTTTCTTTGGGTGATGGGAATTGAAACCTGGGCCTTGCGAATGCAAAACATTGCCTTTCTTGCCAGTTACGCTTCAAAACTGGTTTATACTGATTACAAATGATCTCTAAGCTGCTCAATAAGTTGAGAACCAGTTGGAAATGATTTATCTTCAAAACTGAACCTACACATCAAGATATATGCCACAGCAAGGGTGAGGGATTATTTAGGATAAGATATATCTTTGTATTCGCAGAATCTAGTATTCAGATGAGGAGTGGTGTGTGTGTGTCCAGGAACATAGCCATGAGTACTGGAATGCTGGGCAAGCACTCTACCAGTGAGTCAGACACACCAGTCCTGAAGCTGGGGTCCTTTATTCTCCGCAGCTTCATAAAGGAATAACTGGTTCTACTAATAACATACTTTCTTCAAAAGGCAATCTCAAAATTTCCCCCAGGGTCATTGCATGCTGGGGGAATATGAGCATCATTTTCAGCTCCTGGCCATCTTTAAGATGTGTCTGGAAGAATAAAAACATTCTCAAATTTAAATTCAAGCCAACTGAGGAAGGAGGGAAGAGAGAAAAAAAGTCAATGACACCACTGTTTAATTGTCACACTTTTATTAAGGTAACTTCCCCATTTTAAGTAAAGAGGTAGTTCAAAGTATGTCTAACATACAACAGATTTAGAACAGCCATTCATGAGCTGAAATAAAATGTTCTAAGTTGTTTATTTAGGACAGTATTTTAAAAATGGTGACACTAGCCACCTTTCACACATCTTCTAAAGCAAAACCACACCTGATTTACCTCACAGCCACTTGTTTGGAGTTTGTTCTAATATTAAATAATAAATAAATAACAGTAATTTTTTAAAAAGACCAAACTACAGTAAAGAGAATTCTTTTCCTTTTGAAGTTTTCCTGGGAACCCATACAGCACAAATACTGAGCCTGGTGTGGTAGCACAATCCCAGCACTCAGGAGGCTGAGGCAGCAAAGGGTACATAGTGAGAACCTGCCTCAAAAAAAGCAAAATGCTAAGTAACTGAGGTTTACACTCTGACCCCATATGACTAGTACTTAAAAAAAAAAAAAAAAAAAAAAAAAAAACTCTTCCACTATAAAATAAATCAGTGTCATGGCAATAAAATCTGAGAAACATGTAAGCAAAGAGCCAAGTCCCACCAAACTTAAATGTCTCACAGAAGACTTCTCCAGGCAAGAAATGGAAGAGACCATAAATCAGGTAAGTGAAAAGCTAAAATTTTAATAACAGAAAACCCTAAGAAAGCTGACATTAAGCCAGTGGTTCTCACCCTTCCTAATACTGAGGCCCTTGGATATAGTTCCTCATAATGTAAACATTTGTGTTTTCTAAGGGTCTTGGTGATCCCTGTGAAAAGAAAAAGGTTGTTCAACCCACCTACTACAGGATTAGGACTCAAGGGTGAGAACCACTGCTTTAAGTGGTCAAAAGAAAACAAGGTAGCCATTCTTAGTTATGAAGTAAAATGGAGACCTTGTCTCACTAAAATCACATGACAGGGATCATATCAATCTTACCTTCCTATCCTCACAATCTAACATAGTACCTGGAAATACCAATTGATTGTTCATGTTTCTTGAGGCTGAGGGAGTAGCTCAGTGGTAGAAAACGTGTTCAACATGCTTGAGGCCTTGGGTTCAAACTCCCCAACATTTAGGGGGAGGAAAAAAAAAGGCCTTTGAGAGATTGAAATAGAGATCAATATCATTTGAAATCATGCTGTTTTTTCATCTTCAGACAAACAGAAACCAGACAATAATAATAACATGTGGAGCTCCATGATTTTGAAATGTTCCTATGAAAAAAAATTCCAGAGAAATTATTCAAAACATTGGATAACATGGTAGATCCCATTGTCTTTGGATGAATCATTAAAATTCAGAGTGCTAGAAAGCATTATTAAACCATACAATGAGTATGTTGGGTATTCTTATTTAAATATTTAGTAAAAATTATGCCTCAAATCTGAGCCATGTGTAAATATATCAAATTATAACAAAACTTCTTGTCATCTACATATATTAAGTTTAATTTTTGGATTATCTGTGTATGTACTCCCATAACTCAAAAATAAAAACAAAAGTCTGATAGAAATAAAGTTTCCCAGATAAAAACAGTTTCACATTTGGATCTATCTCACATTATTCTTTTGCCCTTTCCTTCATAACCCAACCAAATTCATTCACTTAGAAATAATATTAAACTAGCTTTAAAAAAAAAAAATTAACAGGCTAGAGTTGTACCTCAGTGGTAGGTTCAGACTTCAATAGCACATGTAAGACACTGGGTGACTCCCAGCCCACTACAATAAAATAGTTATATTTATTTAGGTTTTAGTCCAGGCTGGCATCTAACTTATAGCACCCGTCCTGCTTCAATTTAATAAATTCTAAGATTACAGGCACAAACCACCAAAATAAGTTTAAAAACGTAATTATCACAAGTTCTTCTGTGACATTTTGTTGGCAAATCCTAGGCTGTCTCTAAAGGCCAAAAGGGATGTAAATTAGTGAAACAAAACTGGAAACTTTCTGTTAATGTATTATTATTCACCATCTTTAAAGCCAAGGTATAGCAGGAAAGACATGAGGGCAGTCATTCATATTTAGTCAGGTGTATTGTATTTTTGCCAGTGGTGGCCAGACCTGTTTGACTCTGAATGCTCTGATTTAAAATGACACAGACAGTATAAAAGTTATTGTGACCTTTGGCTCACAAACAAGCTCAAAATCATGTCTGAAATGTACTTTAGAATAAAGAATTTTTTTTCCATCCTTCAAGATCAGCTATGAAAGGTGGCAAATTGAAGAGTGTATTGTGCATCTTTAAGACTATCTAAATGCAAAAATTCTGGTTGTTCTTCTGTATCCCAGTTTTTTGTTTGTTTTTGTTTTGTGTTTTCATGTTTTCAAGATGAAGGTACATGAGAAAAGAAAAACCAGGAGACACTATAAACTGTACAAAAGTGATGGCCAAACTCACCTTTCTTATGTAATAAACTCTGACACGAAGTTCAGACTCCAGTATAGTCCATTCCTATAGAGACCATTCATTATTCTTTAGCCCACTTAAATATACCCAAAGCACTTTCAATTACAAAAGCATCAACAGAGTAAATAGGTAAGCAGCCAGCCTCTTGAGACATGTTAAGAAAACCTTCCATGTGTCCACAGTTGTTTTATTATACTTCTATTATTTGCTGGTTACCCTCCCCATTGTGGTCCCTATTTGCCTGCAGATGTTGCTGAAAGCATTGCATTCTTGGTTACAAGAACAATTCAATGGACTGTGTTAGTGTTTAAGGTATAAACCAACATACTTCTTCATAGCAGCTCTAAAAAAGTACAAATGGTAGGAAGCAGACTTATTGATCATAGTCTTAAATGAATCACAGTAGACAAACAGAGGTTCTATCACTTAGTTAGGTCAACAGCAGTATTACCACATATCCCAGCCTCATTTTTACCCCCAAAGAAAAATAGGAACTTTTTCTGAGCACAGCATCTATTAGTGGGAAGTATGTTATTTGTTAGTACCTTCAGAATGTGCTTGGTAAAAAGATTAAAATAGTTGTCAGTCTAAGACATGTATCGACACTAGGTAGACAAATGGAATTATTCCTTAGAAAAGGAAAACAGACATCATAGGATAAATAACTCAAAGAGAGGGCTAAAGGAAAGCAAAGCCACTGCAAGTGGGAGTTGCCTGGTCTGCTGGTGGTCACCCACAACCACCTGCTCAGAGGCTTCAGAGAAGAAACTATCAAAACCACTCCTAAAAAGACTCAGCACTATTGGCACACTCTCAGTCAATCCTAGCTGTAAGCACTAGGCCCTCATCAGTTTACACATGTACTCTCAGTCCTTAAACTGAGCACAGCTTGGGTCAGTTTACCTGCATCCAGGACCTGTGTTGCCTCAGGTTGTGGTTGACAACCTTTAGAGTCTGTGACTGTTGTACATGCAAAAGAATCAAAATCCACTGTGAGGTCTTGCACATTCCTCTCATTGGCATTATCAAAGCTGTTTTTGCCATGTAGCTGTTTAAGGTGTTTCCTCAAAACTGGCTTATGTGCAAATACCATGTCACAATAGTTACATTTATGGGGCTTATCTCCACTGTGCAGGTTAAGATGGTCCTGTAAGGAACACTTCTGAGAAAAGGTTTTCCCACAGATCTTACACTGGAAAGGTTTAATTCCGGCATGTACACGCATGTGTCGATGAAGATTGCCTTTCTGAGTGAAAGTCTTGCCGCAGAGTAGACACATAAAGAGTTTGTGCATTTTTAAATGGTTGGCGTAGTTCTCCAGGTGACGGAACACCCTGGTACACTTTGGGCATTGGTGATGCCACTGTAAGCCTTTGTCTACACCTCGAATATTAGGCCCAAAGACATCTTTTGAGGTCATGATGATGTCATCATTGCCTGTGTAAGAGAGGGCGTAATTGTGGAGATGGCTCTGGTCTAATTCACTTACTCTGTTTTCCACAGTTGAGTTTATCAGGGAGTGCTGGGGCTCTGACGAATGCAAAGCAGTGGGCTCAGAGGAAATGTACTGGTTCTGATCTTTCTTACTTCTAACCTCTGATACATCCCCAATAGACTCTACCTTAACAATCTGAATATCACTGTCCTCCATATCCATACTGTCTTCAGATGGATGAATACAAGGTAAGTCCTGTTTTGGAGAGCCGCTGGCATCTCCCTGCTGTTCTTTCGACTGGGGAGAAGCACTCTGTGGTTCACATCCCTCTTTACTATCCATTGGTTGTTTTGGCTTTATAAACTTCCACAGCGCCTGTGTGCACCGTTCTACAATGTGGCTCATTTGGAGAAAACTCGCAGCAGTCAAGTAATTTACCAGCTCCATCTCGGGGAATTCCAGCACTCCACTATAACAGGATAAGAGCAATTGTCTCCCCACTTCAGAACTCTGTAATATGGAGATTTTCACCTCTCGGGAATCATTCAGTAAAAACTGGTCTCTTAAGAAGGGGGAACCTGCAGCAAAAACAATTTTATGCCCCTGTACCTCAACATCATCTATGAAAACAGTAACATCACAAAATTTATTCTCTTCTCTTAATTTGTTCATTTTTTGTAACATTGAATCTCCATAATTTTCAAACTTGAAGTGAAGGAGATCTGATCTTTCAGACATTTTGGCAGACCTAAAGAACAGAAATGTAAAAAAGGTGGGTTTTAAGAAAATTTAAACAATTTAGAAACCTGGATTTACCTTTCAAAACCAAATGTTTTGTCATGTTTTATATGTATTCAAAAACCTATAACAGCTTTCAAAGACTATGAAAAATTATTCTTTACCAATATCAGGTGCCAACTGTACCCACAGAGTAGACATATAGAAGTGTAAATAAGTGGGCATTCACTCAACTTTTAAGAGACTTAACATAAACAATGCTCCAGTTAGTTCAAGAAGTTTATTTTTCACTTCTCAAATGAGAATTCTATTGGTTCAAAAGAAAACATTATAACCCAAGTAACAATGAAGACATTATTTTCTCTTGCATGACAGATGTACCTATTTATTTTTCCAAAATAAAATGTTCTTTTCCTTTATTTATTATTTTGCCTGTATGTGTATCTATGAGCCACATGTGTACCTGATCCCTACAGAGGCCTACAGAGGCCAAATTCCCCAGAACTGGACTTACCAATGGTTGTGAGTTGCCATGTGAATGCTGGGAATCAAATTAGAGTCCTTTGCAAAAGCAGAGAGAGCTCCCCAACCCCTTCATTTTAGAGTCTACAGGAGCAATGCTTGCTGGGAACCAGCCCCGTCCTGTTTTGATTTAAATTGGTATGAATTTGTTCATATAAGTGTTTCTGTCATGAAAGTCACAGACTTAAGGAGATGGTGTTTGTTCATTGACAAAGGCACAATTCTTTATCCTATATATTATGGATAAATCTAAACTCACTTGTAAGGAACATTTCTTTATATGGAGAATAAAACAATATCAGATGAACCAATCAGTATGAGTGGAAATAGGTGCAGATTTAATACTAGAGTGTTCTTTCCTTCTAATCCAGATGTGCCCATCATTTCTCATGTGGACTACTAAAAGTAATTCCTAAATGTTTACCTTGGATTCCAACTCCTCTGAAACTCAACTTTCTGAAATAACAGCAGGGGAACCTGCATAGTACCAAACTAGCTCCTCTGAATGAGGGTGACAGTTGTGTGGCTTGGGCAGTCTGTGGGGCCACTGGAGGGTGGGACCAGGATTTATCCTACTGCTTGAACTGGCTTTTTAGAGCCCATTCTCTTTGGAGGGATACTTTGCACAGCCTAGATATGGGGGTGGGGGTAGGGGGAACCTTGGTCCTGCCTCAAAGCTCATTGACACCCCCCCATGGGAAGCCTTACCCTCTCTGAAGAGAGGATAGAGGGTGGGTGGGGGAAGGGTGAGGAGAGCAGAAGGGGAGGGAGTGGGAACAGGGATTGGTATGTAAAATGAGAAAAGATTGTTTTAAAAACAATAAATTAAAAAAATAAACTTCTATCGAGTTAATAGGTATGCCAGTTCTGTCTCTGAGAAACAGTTCTATAATCTCAGTGTGTTTGGAAATCCTACTTGAATTTTGTGTACTCAACAGTCCCATACTTTATAGTAAAGCAAGACAACTAGCTTTTCCAAGATACATGAAGATTTTGTTTTTTGGGGTTTTTTGTTTGTTTTTATTTTTTGAGATAATGTCTCTCTATGTAGTCCCAGCTGTCCTGGAACTGTCTTTACAGATCAGGCTGAATTCACAGACAGTCGCCTGCATCTGCCTCCTGAGTGCTGGGATTAAAGGCATACACCAAAATTAATAATCTTAATTTTTCAAAAAGTGTCAGCTCCTAATGACAGTGTCTGGGTGTCACTCCTTAGTGTTTGATACATAATGTATCTGCTTACTCTAAGCTGTCACCATGTTGCACTTGTCTAGATACTGCATTCTAGCCAATCTAGCTCTCTATTTCCCAAGAGGCCTTTGTCCAACCACTTAGAGCAAAAAAGTTGTCTCTAGAGCACAGTACTTCTGCATTACACTCAAAAATGTTTCACCAAATAATTCCTTCCTGTCCAAGCTACAAATTCCCTGGCATTAGGCAGCAACACATACATGTCATTTCATGGGGCTAAAGCTGGAAACAGTTTGCTTTTACTTCAAATACTTATTGCAGCCCCTGCTTCTCTTACTGTTGACCACACGCTCCTCTGTTCAAACTGGCAGGCACACACTACTATCACCTCATACAATACCAAACACACAGGAAGGGTTCAGTATGCAACAGTTGAACCTACAGGATGAGTCTTGCAATAAAAAGAAGTCTGTTAAGTAGACCAGATTAATATGTATGGAAGCATAACATGACTGAGGCCACAAGGGCCTAGGAAGGAATGAAAATGGTAATAAGAAACAAGTGAAAAAAACAGTTAAAGGTATTTCAAAGAACTTGACAACTGGGGAAGGAAGGAAGGAACGAAGGGAAGGAGGGAGGGAAGAAAGAAGGGAGGGAAGGAGGGAGGCAGGAAAGAAGGGAGGGAAGGAAGGAGGGAGGGAAGGAGAGATGGAAGAAGGGAGGGAAGGAGGGAGGGAGGGATGGGAGAGAGGGAAGGAAGAAGGGAGGGAGGGAAGAAGGGAGGGAGGGAGGGAGAGAGGGAGGTAAGAAGGGAGGGAGGGTGGAAGGGAGGGAGGGAGAGAAAAAAATCCTTGGCCTGACAAGAGCCAGGCCTTGAGCTACATAGTGAGATTCTAGCTCAAAAAAAAATCTAAATTGAAGCAGAGTTTAGCTGAAAGTCACAGAAAGAAGTAACATTTGTTTGAGAGGGTGTGTCACATGTATGTTTAATCACAGACTATGTAAGGTTTTCTCCTGTATGGCATTCTGAATGTGTGAATAATAAATGATCTCAATAAGGATTAAGAATTGCCTTGCGAGAAGAGAATTTCAGAGAAGGGAATGTGACAGAGAAATGAATGCATTTCAAAGAAGGGAATTAGAAAACATGGGGACTATTATTAGTAATTTTGAGCAGCCAAACTATTATCACTGGTCAGCTTTAGTGGCAGTAGCTTAAAAATATTCATTCTATAACTGGAACAATCAATGTTCCAATTTAACCAAAAGTTATAAAAATGACCATTGTTTCAAGTGGCCAAACAAAATGGCATTCTCTTTTTAGAGTTGAGCTGATCTTGAATTCACTAAAGCTCAGCAGTGTTTTTATAGTCATAGGAAAAAATGAACATTGATTGTTTCCAACTAGAGTTTGAGAGAACTCAGAATGTTTTAAGTCAAGTGTCTTTGGGGAAACTTGTTCCCTGTTTCTTTACAGGAGTTCAGTTTCATTTACATCTGACTTGTGAGTTCTCAAACTTATAGAGGAGGAGGAAGAAAGAAGAAAGCCCTGCTTTGATCTTCCTGCTGCAGTTCAAGAAAGTTAAGAGAAGTCAGCTGTTTACTTTACGAAGTTTTTCCTAATATATATCAGCACAGTTATCCCTTTAATAATCACACACTTTTGCCATTAGTTATTTCCTGTCACTACTTTCCTTTGCCAATAGGTCATTAGTTATTTGAGAACAAGGATCAACTGTCTATTATACTTTATACAGCTCATAAAACAAAACACAGCATTAGAATGCTGCTTGCCGTGAAATTGTTATTGACCTATAAAAGAGATGATCTTCTCTCTCTCTCTCTTTTTTTTTTTCTTTTTTGTTTGGGTTTTTTGATTTTTGTTTTTTTGAAACAGGGTTTCTCTGTAGCTTTGCAGCTTGTCCTGGAACAAGCTCTGTAGACTGGGCTGGAGATGATTTTCAATACCATATTATCTTTTTTTAAGAAACCGGAGAACTCTTTAGATCATGTAGAACCAAATTTGCAACACCTTTTTATTTTTAATAAAAAAAAAAATTCTTTTAAAAAATTGCTCAGTAGTGGAATGTGTACTTAGTATATATGGAATCCCAGGTTTAATCCAGCACCACAGGAACATGCACAAATAGGTAATATAAAAGTAAATGTATGTACACACAAACACATACACCCAAACAAGTTATATAAAAATATAATAATCAGTGGGGATGTGGGGGGGGAACACACCTTTAATCCTAGAACTCAGGAGGCAGAGGCAGGCAGATCTTTCTTTGTGAGTTTAAGTCAGCCTGGTCTACAGAGTGAGTTCTAGGCAGAAAAAAACTGCCTGGGGATGGATGGAGATATATATATATATATATATATATATATATATATATATATAATTAATCCTGTTAGATGAGATATGTATGTTCCACTCATCTAACAGGATTACTTCCTTTTACAAAATGATAACCTAATTTCTGAATTCAAGTCACATTCCAAATATACCCCTAAATGCTTTACATAAATTAACTGAGTTAGTCCTGAAAATCTCTACTGGTAGGTTATTATTACCCCTATTTTGCCTATGAGAAAATGAAGCTGAGAGAACATAAATAATATGCTGAAACTAACAGAGACTGAAATTGCTAATTGTTAGAGCTTAAACTTGTGCTCAAGCTATGAATCAATACATGAAACAATTGGGTAAGGCACAGCTTAGCTCAAGGATTTATCTGAACTGTGTTCAGATAATACTTCTCCCAGTGGAAATCAACATGAACATCTATGGAACACTACATTGTGATTTGTAGATATTTGTATTTTAGTTATACTTCCATAAAAGACATCTAAAAGCACAAAGTACAAATTAAAACCAAACATATGTTGAGTACAGAAGACTATAATGACAAGCCATTTATGAATTGACTAACACTTCTAAAGCATACATATATTCTTGCTTGCATCTTATGCCTTTATCCTTTTCCTACTGATCTCAGGAGTTTATGGTTTTATTTTTATTAATATTTGTGTGAGTGTCTGTATGTATGTATATGTGTAGGCACATGCAGGTACCAGTGGAGGTCAAAAGGAAACATCGGATGCCCTAGAGCTAGAGTTATACATGGTGTAAACCAAAGGATGTAGGTGTGAGGAACCAAACTCTCGTACTGAACAAAAGAAGCAAGTGTTCTTATCCCCTAGCCATCTCCTGAGCCTTGGATTTAGTTTCATTTTTTAAAACCATTATATTGCTGGCCTGTTTGTGAAGAATCACTAAATCATGCAAAGGTAAATGCATTCTTGAAAGCTGTTTTCAGTTTGTTGCTGTGTTTTGTCAATATTTAATTCCACAGAAAATCCTATTTTCTAAGGTTTATTCTTTCTCTATGGTAAGAATTCTGGTTCCTATCTTCATTACTAAATTTAACCAAGTTAAACTCAACTTAATATACTTGAAAATACCTGCTCTAGGCATTTAATATTTAAAAATGATGATGCTTATACTCTTCACTATCCAAAACCCAGCAATTTGAAGATAAAAATATAGAGCAAAAATGGCTTAGTGGACAGCCTTTAACAATGCCATCATTTTAACAGATGAAGACAGAAATGATGAGATTGTGACTATAGGGAGAAATCTGAAAAAGAATTTAAAGCAAACAACCCCCAAACCAATGATCTTGTTCACCAAGGTAGATAACAAGAAGAGAATTACTAAAATAACTCTATTTTGGTTCATGTGATTGAGTATCTTTGAGTAATCCAGTTCCATTCAGTAATCTAGAGAATACTAAAGGAGTGATCCTAAGGCTGGTCATTAAAATGTGCACAGAGAACCAGGGGAAAACTAGTAGCTGGTTAGAAACAGGCCTGAAGCTGTAGAAGAAACCTCAGTGTAAACTGTAAGTAAATTATAAATGAAACATTACATTGGAGTAGAAGAAATATACTTAGAATGGGATGGAAGAGGACCCTAGAACAAAAGAAAGAAAAAGCTTACACACAATAAACTCATCACTTACCTCTTTCAACCTTGCTATCCTTGTAGATCTCTTTAAAATCAATAAGCCTATTTTTCCATATAATGTTCCCAATCCTTGACTCCTATATAGTCACCATATAGCACAGTAAGTAAAGCATAGACTAGAATTCACTATCTAAGGCTAAAATTTTGCTCAGCCATTTACTAGCTATATGGTCATGGATGTTTCAGCTTTCTTGTCAACCAAAAATAAATTATGACATTGCTAAGGGAAATTTAATAAGCTCATCATTAAAGAGTATTTAATTACTTAATATCAAGAATGCCTGTGTGTATGTGCACAACTTGCATGGTATCTGTGGAAGTCAGAAAAAGGTATCAAATTCTCTTGAACTGGAGTTAAGGAAGGTTGTGAGTCATGTCGGTCCTAAAAAATGAACCAATGTGCCATATCAACAGCCCATCAGTTCATTTTCAGAAAGGCTTAAAATGGTGTCTGTTATGTGCTCTTTAAACATATTAAGTAAATAAACAAATAAGGCCTTTGTGAAATCCTTCATGTTTTTCCCATTTAATGTCAAACCAAGTGAGGCCTCCGATATTTTATATTGTATTACCTTGTATTACCTCATCTACTAAAATTGTTTTTTAACAGGTCCCTGATGGCCTGTTAATAAAAAAGATACTTCCTTTTTTCTTTTTCATTCCCCAGTAGCTGAGCATGATCTAACAAACTCTTTTAAAATTCTCTCCTGACATATGGATCACCATAGTTGTGTCCACCTTGTATTCTTGGGCTTTCTTTTCTAACTCTCTTACTGTAATCCATTTTTCTGCTTCATTAACGTAACCATCATTCTTCAAATAATCTTTTTTCAGTACTCCCTCTTTGATGCCAACTCTTATCATTGTGTCTGTCCACATGCTAAAATTCAAACGTTTTACTTGTAACCACAATGTTTAGGCTGATCTCCACACTTGTATTCCCAACTCTTAAGCTGGATAGCTCTACATGGCTACCTCTTAGACATGAATTCAACATAAATAAAAACTGAATGTGTATTTCCCATTAACCTTATGGTTTTATTTCTGATTATGACATCACTATTTTCAAATGTCAACTGCCTAAAACTTAGGTTTTTTTTTTTTTTTTTTTTTTTTTTCTCCTTCAATCTACGGGACAATAGCACCTTCCTTTCTTGTAATAATACCATAACTCTATTTTAAATTTTATTGCATCTCACCTGGATGATCTCAATACTTTTTCAAAATAATTTCCAATAGAAGTGCCTACATTTTAGCTAAAGGAGCACAGATTCAGCTAGTCTCTATTCTATTGGCTTCCCAGAAAACAAAATGACTTTCTGCAGTACAAACCTGACCACCATATCAGTTTCCTGCTCTGAGAGCTTCAATTAATCCTTTAGGGTTAATTAAACCTTTCACTGGCCTTCATTTAACTTATCTGCTTCAGAGTGCAACTTATGCACATAACCTCTCACACCCCTATTCCTTCTTCATGCACACCCAGTCTGTTACTTCTCAGTAGCACTACAACTTTTCCTTTTGCCAGAAAGGTATTTCCATGAAGTAGAACTTAGAGGCCACTCTTTCTACAGGCTTCCCAGCAACCGTCCTTGGAACAGCTGATGTAAATAGTCGATTGAATACCCCGACCTCAATTCGAGCATCAATTTGTTCATATATAGCGTCAGAACTTGACCATGAACACTAGATATGTGATGAACCTTCAGTGCTTGGCATAGTACCAGTTAATACAAAAGGCGCTGTAGCCGGCGGCTGAGCAAGGATAAAACCCATCAAAACCAGGAACTTACAGTAGTCTCGCAGTCGGCACTGAAGGCCTTGCCTTGGCTAGCTCCCGCCGTTCAGTTTTCTACCAGACTCAACTCCAGCACTTTTTACAAAACGCCAGAGTCTGGCGTCCTGGCCAGCCACAGGGCCCTAGGTAGAGCTCCCAGGAGGCGGTCCCTGGGGCATCCTGAGACTTCCCGCTGCAGGTTTGGTAAGGGGAAGAAGGTGGGGTGCATCATGGGCCGGTCAATGGCTCAAGTCCCGGGGGCCTACACTAGCTCCTCGACTCCCATCCCAAGACAGGTCGTGGCTGATCCAGATGCCCACGGCGGCTCCATTTCCAGAGACCCCTACCCCAGCCCGGCTCTCCGGGCACCTCCTAACTTACAGACCCAGTGGGGAAAGCCGCCATCTGGATCTGGCACGGCCAGGAGCTCCGGCCCCTCGGGGCTCCGGGAAGGGGGAGGGGCAGGCAACCTGAGCCAAAGGGGGCACCCAACGGAACCGGAAGGGCAGCCCTGGCCGGACAAAGACAACTTCCAGGTCCCATGGTCATCTCCGCCAATCGGAATGCTCGGAGGACGACGGGCCCCCGAGAGGGACTTTCCGCGTTGTGGGCGGGGCGCAGGCCGAGGCTGGGGATTCGGGCCACAGAGCGTCTGCTCGGTACGCTCGGCAGCTTCGGTTCTTCCGTGGGAGGTGGGTCCCAGCTCTGTTCTCCGCGGCTGCCAGCACGCAGGGCTTCCGCCGTCCGCTGCCTGCATGGGCCTGAATAACTTGTCTGCGCAAAAGCCGTGGTAAGTCCCTCCCGCCCAGGGATGTGGACTCGCCGCGTGGGAGCTCGAAACGCAGAAAGCTGTTGATTTCCCTCCCCTGTGGATATTGGTGTTTCTTTGGGAATCTTCGTAGGTCAATCCCTTGCCTTCCATAGCTTCGGTTACCCTGGAGGTTCGCAAATCTCTCGTTAGTCTGAATATCTTTCTTGAGCTCCAGAGCCAACCACCTTGACGAGTTTCCTGTTGCTTGTTCAGTGTTTAGTGTGCCTTTTTGAATCAAGTTCATGCCCAGGCCTACCCAGCTATAGGGAATCATCCACGTATTCTTCCAGATAAGAAAATTTGAGTATCTTTGTTAATCCCCTTTGCTTTGCCAATCTACTTGTTTGCTGCGTTGTCTCCGTTTATTTTATTTACCCTTTGGGGGCGTTATTATGTAATACATACAGAATAATCATCATTTTAATCATTTGCCAGCATAAAGTTAAATGACTTTGTACAATGTTGTGTAACCACTACTAGCTATTCCCGCTTTACCTCCCTTTACTCTTTTGTGGATATCCATGTACCTTAACATATGTTAAAAATCTTTCGCTCATTGAGTGGACTTGTTGAAAATAAATTAGTTTATGAGTTATTTTACCTGGCTGTCTACAGTACGGTGATCTATGTTTATCCATAGGCTAGTACAATATTGCTTTAATTACTGTGACTTTGCAGGCCACGTTTTCCATTTATTAAGTGCGTCCTTCATCTTTATACAAAAATGTTTTGGTTCTTGAAGATATTTGGCAGTACCATTTGAATTTGGTACCAGGAATTGAACCTAGGGCATTCTTGACACCACAGATATATTGTGCTATATCTCCAATTCTATTTTCGTATTGATTTGAAAATTGACTACCATTTCTTGGAAAACAGTTTTGTTGGTTTTATGAATCTGTAGGCTCTTTGGATAGTATTAAAATTTTTGTGTCTTCCCATCCATAAAGAGGCCTCTTTCTTTAAGTGTTTGTTAATTGCTTTCAGAGATGCTTTTTAGTTTTTGGCATTCTTGGTTCATTCACACATTATTTGGTTTTTTTTGTTTTTGTTTTTTGTTATTGTGTGTGTGTGTGTGTGTGTGTGTGTGTGTGTCTTCCCGTCCATAAAGAGGTCTCTTTCTTCAAGTGTTTGTTAATTGCTTTCAGCAATGCTTTTTAGTTTTTAGCATTCTTGGTTCATTCACACATTATTTGTTGTTGTTTTTTTTTTGTTGTTGTTGTTGTTGTCTTTTTCAAGACAGAGTTTCTCTGTGTAGGCTATCCTAGAATTCACTCTATTGACCAGGCTGGCCTCGAACTCACAGAGATCCACCTGCCTCTGCCTCCCAAGTGTTGGGATCAAAAGTGTGTGCCACCACCACCCAGACTTCATTCACACATTTTTATTGGAATTGCTTCCTTAATTTTATTTTCATATTGCTTATTGCTAGTGTCCAAAAAATAATTAAAAAAAAAACTGGTGGTTTTTGTTTGTTTTTTGGGGTTTTTTTTTTTTCATGTGTTGTGTAACCCTTGTAATTCACTTATTAATTCTGGTAGTTCTGGCCTCTTTTGATTTTCTACTATCAATTGGTGTAGTCTGTGAACAAAAATCATTTTACTTCTTTTCCAACAGTATACATTTTCTTTTCCATGTCTAATAGCTGCAGTGTTGAACAGGAGTAGTAAGAGTAAAGTAAAAGTGGACATCCTTGCTTTTCATTCCTGATGTTAAGAGGAGAAATATTTTTTGGCCTTAAATTATTGAGTATGTGTTCATTATGAGTTTATCATAAACACCTTTATCATGTTGAAGAATTTTCTGCCCATTCCTGTCGTAAGGATGTTACCATGATGAACAGATGCTTTCTATGAATCTGTTGAGATGGTCATATGCCCTATTCCTCTTTTTGTATCATTGTATTTCATTGATTGATTCTGTTGAACAACCTTGCATCTGTGGAATAGACTGAATCCTTCTTGGTCATGGTGAAATTCTTTTAATATGCTTTTGGATTTAATATGCTTATGTTTTGTTGATTATTTTTATATCTAGTATTCAGTGATATTGATCTATATTTTTATTTATCTAGAGTGCATTTGTCTGATTTTGGTTTCAGTAAACGTTGGCTATGTAGAATGTATTCGGAAGCATTTATTCCTCAATTTTTTGCAGAAGTTTCAGAAAAAAAAAAAGAAGAAAAACCATGTTAATTCTTTCTTTAAACATTTAATAAAGCCAGTCAGTGGTGTCACACTCCTTTCATCCCAGCACTCAGGAGGCAGAGGCAGCCTGGTCTACAGAGTGAGTTCCAGGACAGGTTCTAAAGCATTACAGAGAGGAGGAAACCCTGCCTCAAAAAAAAAAAAAAAAAAAAAAAAAGAAAATCCATAATGTTGACAATAATATATCCTTAGTTTCATTTCTTATTTTCTTATTATACTTATTTGTACATTCTAATTAGTCTGGCAATTGTCAATTTGTTGGTCTTGGTGTTGGTGTTTTAAAGTATTTTTATTTCTTGTTTAATCTTTATTTTTTTTTTTTTTTAATTTTTGTGTTAGCGTTGCTTCTTTGTTTTGTTTGGGTCTCCTAAATAACTTTGGCTGTCTTAGATCTCTCTTTGTAAACCCTATTGTCCTCAAACACACAGAGTTCCACCTCTGCCTTCTGTGCCTAGCTCGCTTTATACTTTTTTTTATGTCTTTTTTATAGATCTTTGTAGTGTAAGGTTTAGGTTTTTGATATGAGTGTTTTGTTATTGTTTCTATGTTTCTTTTGTTGTGTTTTTGAATTTTGAAATAGGGTCTAGCTCAGACTGGCATTGATCTCACTGTTTAGCCCGAGATTGACCCTGAGTTTGTTATCCTCCTGCCTCTGCTTTTCAAGTACTGGGACTACAAGTGTGCATCATCTACTCTACCACATCCGCCTCTGAGGTCTCTTTTTAAATGTAAACTTAGAACTGATTTTCCCTCTGATGATTGTTACAATGACAACTCCTAAAATCAGTATGTATGTTATGTAGGTTTATTTCTATTCTCTTTCGGCTTTCTTTTCTCACCCCTTGGTTTTGTATCTACATGTTTGTAAAGTTTCTAGTTTTCCTCTTCCTGTTAGTGTCTAATTTCATCCTATTAGGTTGAGGGAAGTTCCTCTATGCGAACTTGTAAAGTCCTTTGGGGCTTGTTTTGTGGGCTAACATGTTGTTTCTCCTGGTGACTCTTGCATATACGCTTGAGAAGAATGTGTATTTTGTGGTTAGTGTGTGGAGTGGTCCATATATGTATGTTAGCTCTAGTTTTTTGTGATGCTCAGTCTCCCCACTTTACTTTCTTACATATGGATGTTCTACCCACTGTTGGACTTCTACTATTGTGGTTGGTTACTCTCTCTCTCTCTTGTTTTTTTGGGGTTTTTTGTTGTTGTTGTTTGTTTGTTTGTTTGTTTGAGGCAGGATTTCTCTGTATAGTTCTGGTTGTCCTAGAACTCACTCTGTAGACCAGGCTAGCCTTGAATTTAGAGATCCACCTGCCTCTGCTGGGATTAAAGGTGAGCACCACACTGCCTAGCCGAAAAACTTGACTCATGGTTTCAGAGTTTTCAGTACATCCTGGTCACAAGGATGTAATAGAGCAGAACAGCCACAAAATGAATGCTTGAGCTCTTTCTTCTGTTAGCCACCACCACCACCACTGTTGGGAGTTAAACCCAGGGTCTTACATATGCCCTTCATTGTTTCTTTTGTTCACTGGGATGTAAGAACAGGTTAGCTACGATTGTTTGACTATTTTGACACAGTTTTTAGGAGTTTTAAGGGAATAGCATCTGTATTGTTTCATTTTCACTCTATTTAGAATCAAAGATTAGAACATTCAAAAGCAACTGTTTGGAGCAAAGTAGATGGCTGCTGTGCTGATCAGGCTCACAGAAGAGCCAGGAAAAGATTCAAACTGTGCTGGAGAGAAGGCTCATTGCTTAAGAGCACTGGTTGCTCTTCCAAAGGACCTGGGTTCAGTTACCAACATGGCGGCTCACAGCCATCTGTAGCTCTAGTTTCAGGGTACCTGATACCTTCTTCTAACCTCTGAGTACCATTTGGCACACATGTGGTACACAGATAACACATGCTGGCAAAAACACCCATATACATAGAACAAAACAAAAATTAAAACCCCATCAAAGGGGGATGAAGGAAATCTTGATTTTTTTTCAATTACCACATATGATTCAAATGTCTTAATTTTCATTAAGTTCAAAAATCACAACGAGATGGCTCAGTGGTTAAGAATACTTGCTGCTCTTGCTGCCCAGGTTCAGGTACCAGCACCTACATGGCAACTTGCAACAGTTGTCTGTAACTCCATGTGCTGGTTTTGTGTCAGATTGACACAAGGTAGAAAGACTGGAGAGGAGGGAACCTTCAATTGAGAAGATGCCTCCATAAGACTGGGCTGTAGGCAAGCCTGTAGAGCATTTTCCTGTGG